CCCCCCCCCCCCCCCCCCCCCCCCCCCCCCCCCCCCCCCCCCCCCCCCCCCCCCCCCCCCCCCCCCCCCCCGATATATAATATTGAGCTAGAAATTTATAGGTTTGCATGGTTCTCCGACGTTTTCCGACTATCGGCCCTAATGTCGGAAATCATCGCATCCATTTCCCTACAACTTCCTATCGGAATCCAATACCAAGGAATCCAACTCTCTCCGACAGGATCCTGCCGGAAGTTGTCGGATTCCTATCGGTTAGTATTGGATTATTTGCGATATCCGATAAGATCCGACAGGATCCAACTCTTGGATTACTCGACCTGGGTAGTTAAATGATCAGTTATTAAATTAAAAGCTATGTAATAAAATTGCAATATCAGTCAATAAAATAGAGTAATAGTTAGTTAAAGCAAACAATAAGTAACGAAGCCAAAACGTAGAGTATCCAGAAGTTTGCTAATATGACTCTCACCAATAATGGTGAAACTCCACCACTTTTTCAATTATTAGAGCAAACAATATTGATATATGATATGGACTCTTCACAAATCCCATACAGTTTATCTTATGTTCTTGTCAACTTGACTAACGTACAGCAACTTTTGATCCAAAGTTGAATGATTCAAAGCCTGTCGTTACTATAGTGAGTTGCCCGAGTTGACTATCGTGAATATTGGCGAATGTCCACATGCCCTTCGCTAATATTGCCGAAAGTTGAATCGACGTTCGCCAATATATCCCCTGGACTCCCGCCAATAATTGGCGAAAATCATATTGGTGGAGATCGAGTATCCCAAAAGGTACACCAAAGTGATTTATGGTGGGCTATGGCTTTGACTGAATTTGAAGAAATGAATCTAGTGGACACAAACAACCAAAGTCCCCACTCACTCGCCATCATATCATGCTCACACCCACCATCGCTATGGGTAGTTGTTTAAAAATTTGCAAACAACCATCGGTAGCAAAGACTATCTTGATTGGTATGAAAAGAAAGAGAAATCGACCAGAAAACGGAAAACGTACTTTGCTAATGCAATATATTTTTTTCTGATTTTTCCCATTTCAATTTTTTTCTTTTATTCTATACTATATTTTATGGATAATTTTCATCTTTTCTACTGGTAAAATCTATCTTATTTACTTATCAAATTTTTTTCTTTTACTTATTAAATTTCTTTCTTTTACTGCTATTTTATATAATAAACTGATCACTTTCTCATTATTTACTGATAATCTAAATACTAATGCTTTAATCTTTTAACTGATCATTTATAGACTATTTTACTGGTCATTTCATCTATTTTACAAATCAAATATTTTGTTGCCATAGTATTATATTATAGTAGAATTGAAATAAACAAAATATCTTAAACAGTTTCAATAAAGTATTTTGACTAATATTCATCTCCTATTAATAAACGTACAAAAAGAAAAGATTCAAAGAATAAGTTTTTCTGTCTTTTTCTTCTAATATAAACGTTGAGATTTCTTTTCCAAACTAGTATATCAAAATCTAATCTAACCACATCAGTAAGGTGACAAGTCGAATTCTTTTGTTTTACACTGTTTATCATGAAATTAGACCTAGACAATTAGAGACTACGTGCTATTATCGAGCAAACCAAAAGAATTTTATTACTTTTCTCAGTATTTTCTTTAAAAAAAGAATCAAATATTCAATTTCATTTGGAAACAAATTGAAACCCATATTTATCATTTATTCATATAACATTCATTTATTTTAGTTCACTAACAATGATAGTGATAGAGTAAATTATTGAACGCTGTTGAGTGAATTCGAGCAGAATAGTTTGACTTTTAATTAACATTTTACGATTAGAATAAATCAATGACTCTACTCGTTAACAACAGAAAAGAGAATATAGATTGAAAAGAATATGAATGAAAATTTATTTCAATCAGTATTTTTATTAGACTTTTAATAAGAATTTTTCATCGAAAATTCAACTTATTCAGATTTATCGTCAAATCAGTTTTTGTATTCCTCTTCGTTTTCAATATGATCGAATATTCAAATATTAAAGGATTCTTTAGTCGATATTTAACGATAACAAATTTCATATTTCTGTTTCATCATCGATTATTATGATTGTTCCTTTCGGATTTATCACTTCACACGATCAACAAATTCATAATTGAATTGAAGTTGAGAAAAAAAAACAATATTTTCTATGGTAAATTCTTTAATCAGCTTTGATGATTGATTTCTTATAGGTTTGTTACATATTTTATTACGTGTTTACATTTAAATTCGTTGATAGATCGATCTGCAATAATTATTATAGAAATGCAGACAATCATCTTTTCCTTATAAATGAATACTTGTTTTAAAAAAAGCAGGATAATAATTCTTTACAATCTGGTAAATTAACAAAAGAAAATCTTTATATTTCAATTCTATAATAGGAAATATACTGTGGTACTTAGAAAATCGATTGAATAGCGAAACGACTAATTAATTTTATCATTTGACAAGTTTAAAAGAAAACTAAGACAATGAACACAGGATCGATCCATCCTTATTTAAGAGAAAAGTATTCGGAAATTCTCATAAACTGCTCAATAAATTCGACCATCACAACAAAATCTAATAGACAATTTTGTTTTTATTCAACTTATAATTTTGTATAGATTTTCAATTGGATTTTAGTTTTAGAATAAGAAAAGTAAAAAGAAAACGTTAGTCAACAGTATGCCATCTATCGTTGAATGACCTTTACCTGTAGAGTCTCATTTATTCAGATATGAATTGTCAAAAAACAAAGATGGTTGATTTATCGATTGAACTCTTTCACCTTGGTGTGTTCTTTTCTTTATTCGACGAATAATGTTTATATTCTTATTTGGATTTCCTCTTTTATCTCTAACTGGTTTGTATAAATGAATAAAAAGAAACATTTTAAAGCTAAAGAGAACCTGAATTGTTCAATTATTTGGAATAGGTGGATGTACATTTGATCGACCACTATTGGGTGAATTTTATTCATATGAAAATGGCCTTGAAACTCATACATCATTAAAAGAAAATGGAGTTGTTGATAGACGCTCTTATCGTCGAGAATCAGGTGCTGGTGCAACACGAAAAGATGGTGGAGATCTTTTGGTTACTCAAGATCTTGGACAGTGTTATCAATTAACTCTTAAACAGAACTACTATGAACTTATTTATCGCGACAAGTATACTATTTTCTTGTTTTTTAATTACGTACATAAGAACTTTTCTTTTTCAAAGAGATAAATCTTGTTTTCAATGTTATCAAATGTTTAATCGAACAAAAAATGTGATTCAAATTAGAAAAAGTATTTTAATATTTGACAATAAATTTTTATGTATTTATTTCTGCAAGGTTCATGTGAAGAAACGACATCTCTATCGACAAATCAAATGAATTTCGACGATCTATGTCGAACTATTGATGAACAAAGTGAATTTATTACACTTTTCTGTAAGTTTTACTCGAAATATTAAGAAAAACAGATGCATGGAAATTGAAATGTTTAGCAAAAAGTTACTCAGCTGAAGAATGTCGTCGAACAATATATGGAACATATCATTTTACATATGAATTTCGTGAAGGTGGTATTGGTATTTGTGATAATCCTTCGTCACGTCTAATAAGTTGTCCTGATCCTGGAACTCCATTTGAAGCTGTCAATGAACGCTTTAGAATGAAATATGGCTATTGTAAATATTTAACATCCTCATTTGATGCTGATCAATTAAATCAATGTCTTGGATCTTGGTCAACACCTGATGGTAATATAATAACTGCAATTGCCAATGAACGTGTTGGTTCCGAACGTTGGTATGATAAATTTCGTTGTATGTTATCAAGAAAAGATCAACCACAATGGTTTGCTAAATCTCTATTTGCTGAATGTTNTTTAACAAGTATAACATTGTCAAGATCAGCTGGTTCAGCTTGTGGTTTTAATCAAACATCTGAAAGTTATAAAGCAGAAGATGGAGCTGATCTTACTATTACACTTACTGAAGCAGAGCGTATTCGTAAGTTATTTATTTATTTATTCTATTTTAATAGAAACACCTAATGAAAATTTTCACATAGATGATGATTGTCCAATTCGTTATGATGATGGTCGTAATGTTTTTGTTGATTTAGAAGAATTTAATTTTTATTATGCAAAATCTTCAATTGTTCAGCTCAACAAATTTTTTCTTTCTTTTTTCTTTTTTCTATTATTCATATTGTTTAATTAATCTTTTCCTTTTTTTTTATAGAATTCAGATAATTCTTAATCATTCCGTTGTCAGATAATGTTCTTGTTGTACATTATGTTTCGATAATCTCTGTCAGATAATTGTTGCTGTTGCTTTTTTTTTTACTTTTGTTTATCAATTAATAATTGAATACGTAGATGAAATCGTTTGTTTGACTATTTCATGATAATAATAGAGAAAAAGGAAATTCAAAAATGATTTGATCATATTTTATTGATAAGTATATTTATAAGTTTTTTTCTCAATAAGATAAATAAGTAAGTAAATTATTTAAAGAATTCGATTAAATGTATTTATAAAAGAAAAAGCGAAGTGATTGAATAATATTGCAAGAGGTTCCTAATGGCTTGACAATTAATATTTTTATCAGATAGAAGTATTTTTTGATGAGTAACCACGGCGGATTTCTCAAGTTTTTAGAACTAGTATTTCATACATATGGTATTGCAGAGCTGGTTGAGACGTATCAAATAGCATATGAAAATTCATGTTTTCATCCAGATTTTGTGAGCATTCAGCTGACTATCATCTATGATGAATATATGCAAGTTTAGTTCTTTTTATTCAAATCGATATAGTTAAGAGTGTTGCTCAATTTTTAAAAATTGATAGTTTTCATCACGGTTATTTTGTACTGAGAAGGGTTATCTCTTATCTGTCAGTGTTATTTATCGACTAAACAGACAGTTTAGTATTTTCAATCCTGTGCCACAGACCAATGCAGTATCAATGTGAAACTTTCCCAAAACCTGTTCACTAGTGAGTTCTATATACTTATTTGATTGACCAAACCTTTCCAAGTAGCAGTGGTTTGTTGTTAAGTCGCACAATAATGGTAAAAAATAGACTAATTCCTTATACAGTAGTTTGAGTCCGTAGACAATACTCTAAGAGTATGCAACATTCTTCTTCAAAATATATATGCAAGCATGAGTGGGATAACGGATCAGGTTGTTGCATCTCTTTTAATCAATTAATTATTTTTCATACGTATAATCAGCCAAAATCAAATAATTCGAAAAATTCTAAGAGATGTATACGATAGCAATAGGTCATAAATTGCTCTAAGGCATTTGACTTTAATTCGGAAGACGAATGAATAACGAATATTAATCAATATGCAATCATGCTAGAGATGAAGAGAACGAATAATAATAAGATGTGTCAATAGGCTAATGAATTTCAACATAACCTATATCAACGACAGCACTGATCCAATGTTCGTATTTATGCGACCATGATAAATAAAACTATATATTGAGATTGATCATATATTTCATTTCTCAATATCGACGTTTACTGCACACTACTCTTCAAACAAAATATCAATTCTTTGAATTTGACAAATTAACGTGTATTTTTGGAAAAAAACAAAACTATTTTTCGTTTTTTTTCATTTAGTTTTGCATTGTTTTTAATGAAGAGGGAGCTATGACGAATAGAAACAATAATCAAGAAAAGAAAGAAGGATAGAATAAATAAAGTTATTGCGCACATCTCTTAGAATTTTTCATTCATTTTATTTTATTTCTATTGTTCATCTTAAAACAAATTAATCAAGAGAGATGCAGCGAAGTGATCGAGACGTATTATACAAGTGCCAGCTTGAATCTCGCCCACGCTCCTCCAAGAAGCTTATTCAAACTATATGCAAAATATAATGAACAATGACAATATTAATTGGCAAGTTTTGATGAGGTCAATGGCAGGGGCGGCGGAACGATTTCAGTCTAGGGTAGGCTCAATTTTTCAACTAAGACAGGTCTACCTATGTAAAAATATTTGAATTGAAATCAGATTAAGATCGATAAAAAATTGATTAATAATTGATTATAATTACACGATTTTTATCGATTTTTAATAAGTTTTTAAAGAATTTTAATCGACACTAACCGAAAAATTACATTTTCGTTTATTATTGCCATTAGTGCCAATTATAGTCGATTGAAACTTCGTAACAAAAATTGATGATCATCGATGCAAATCGACGAAAATTTCGTGATGATTTTCATTTATCACAAAGAAAAATTAATTATTTTCGATATCTTTGACCTTTTTATTGATTATAATCGGAACTTATCGTTATAGTCAATGAATTTTTTTATTTTTTCGAATAGTTTCGATTAAAATCAAATGATTATTATCAATTATTAATCATTTTTAATCTGATATCAATCTTAATTCTTTTACGTGGGTGGAATTGGCTTTGAAAATGATTCTCCTCATTTCTTTGTAATGCTGAACGCTATAGATTTTCTTGTTAGATTTTAATTCAGTATGAATATNTGGATCGGTTGCGACAATGTTCGGTTGTATTATCCGGCAGGAAACGACCGGATCATTTTCCTTTGAATTCCGACGGGGTTTCCGGGAGCAAAGATTCCGGCGAAATCCCTGCCGGATCCTGGCAGATTTGAGTGGGAATCATGCCGTCTTCTGGTGTTATCCGGTGCCGGTTCCGACGGATCCCGACTGAATCCGGAGGTAGGATGGAGTGACTTGGGATAGTTCTTTTTCTAAAATAAGCTTTTCTAATTCATCGAACGATCAAATGATCTTGATTTATGAGAGAAAAAAACTTTCGTTTAAATAGGATACCACACTTTCATCTCTATTAAAAAGAATTAAACAAATAACAAAGCGTTTCTTAATTACAGAATTTTTTTCTTCATAAGGTAAAATAATTTCAACCTATTTCCTATCAATATGAATTGAATATGATACAAAACAAGATAATAATTTCTTATAAAATGAAAGTTTTTGAATTCAATATCAAATATGCATCTTGAATAATCAGATTAAGTTGTAGAGAGTGTTCATCAACAACGTCTACGGAGTAATACATAATCACAAATGGCTGTTACACTCATTGGTTTTTAGAGTTTCATGAATTTCAACATAAAATTGTTTGAAAATAAACAGGCCTCGCAGCAATAATATATTTTACTCTCCTGATTTTCTGAAGGTGTCCTGATCATCCTGCGTTTGATTGAAAATCCTACGTTTGCCCTGATATTTTAAGATTTATCTCTGCAGCACCACATATACTTCATTTTGACGTAATAGATTTTTATATTTAGCGTTTCTTACAATTTTTATGGAAATAGTTATAGAATATTTTCCATAAAAAGAACGATGGCATTCAAATTTTTATTTATTTTAATCATCCTCACATTAATTAATTTTTCAAAGCAGTTATTTTGTCATTAGCGATTATCACAGCTAGTACGTCAACAGCACCAATATCATACAAAACCAGACCACGCATGAACACACCATGTCTTGTAGTCCCTTATTCTAATATCTTAACTACTTACTGAATTTCTCTTGTAAACGCTTTATTCGTATATTTAATGAATCTCCTTTATTTCTTATTGTTTGTGTTCAGCATCAGAACCTCGCTTTCCATTGACCATAGGCGGCGGAGCCATTAGGCGTGGGTAGGCTCAAACTATGACAGACCAAAGGCTTGGGTAGGCTCAAATTATAATAGATAAAGTCTTGAACAGGCACTATTAATGTAAATGTATCCTATTATCGTTTAATTTTTGTTTTTGTGACAAATGACACATTGTTACAAGATCAGTCGATATTTTCTGTACCAATACCAATTTCTTATTTAATGAGATACTGATTGAACGTCACTGGCATTATAGTCGGTGAACCTATTAGGCTCGTGAGGCTCAAGCTTGCCACGGAATAGAGGACGGTAGGCTCAAACTAGAACAGATCAAGGCTTCGGTAGGCGTGACTACATGTAAAAAGTTTCTAGTATTGTTCAGTTCTCGAGTTCTTGTGTGTGATAGCTGACGTATTGTTATAAGGTCAGTCCATATTTTCTCTATTAGCAACTCAATGCTCAATGAGGTATTGATTGAACTTTATTGGCATCTTTATCGACATCGAATTCTTGCTTCTTAATACAAGACAGTGAAATTATTTCCGTACATTTCAATTCGAATTGACTTATGCATTTTAGATATCTAAGTAGCATTATTCTTTCTATATATATACCAATATCAGCGAATTAAAGTCCGATTATGTTTTATTTTGCACTATAAAACAAAAGCCCAATCATGTATTAATGAAAATCCATCATCTATGGGAATTTTATTTATAACGCATTAGATCGTAATCATATTCATACTGAATTAAAATCTAACAAGAAAATCTATAGCGTTCAGCATTACAAAGAAATGAGGAGAATCATTTTCAAAGCCAATTCCACCCACGTAAAAGAATTAAGATTGATATCAGATTAAAAATGATTAATAATTGATAATAATCATTTGATTTTAATCGAAACTATTCGAAAAAATAAAAAAATTCATTGACTATAACGATAAGTTCCGATTATAATCAATAAAAAGGTCAAAGATATCGAAAATAATTAATTTTTCTTTGTGATAAATGAAAATCATCACGAAATTTTCGTCGATTTGCATCGATGATCATCAATTTTTGTTACGAAGTTTCAATCGACTATAATTGGCACTAATGGCAATAATAAACGAAAATGTAATTTTTCGGTTAGTGTCGATTAAAATTCTTTAAAAACTTATTAAAAATCGATAAAAATCGTGTAATTATAATCAATTATTAATCAATTTTTTATCGATTTTAATTTGATTTAAATTCAAATATTTTTACATGGGTAGACCTGTCTTGGTTGAAAAATTGAGCCTACCCTAGACTGAAATCGTTCCGCCGCCCCTGCCTTTTGTGTATGGTGACTATTCAAATGGGAAAATCATTTTTGAAATAAGTTTTCGGAAAAAAACACATCTTCAGTCATTATATATTGCTTGATGAGCACAAGGAAAATTAGTAAAAGACTTCCTAAACTACAAGCGTTTTCCTAACGAAGTCAACTATGTGAAATCAATTATAATAGGACGAAATTCTAATATTGTATGCAAGGGAATCAAGTTTAATCAATTTTTCTACTACAATCCATTTTAATTGATTTTTCTACTATAATCTATTTTAATTGATGTCTGATGTAATTGTGCCATCTCAAATGGAATTAACTTATATAGGGGTTCCAACTTAACTATATTTGAATGATTCTGATTCACAGGCAATTGTTTGTGAATATTAGGAATGTAAAAAAATCATTAAAAAATTAGGGTTTTATGTCCGAATCTCGGGAAAAGCACACTTTTCGCGCCTAATGATTAAATTTGATTACAATGTGATAATAGATTAAAATCGATTTCAAGGAAATAATAAATTATAATGGTTTACAGTCTAGGAATTGATTAAATGGATTAAAAGATAATAAGAGATTAATATCTATAAAACATGTAACCATAGATTCAAATCGATGAATCGAGGGATGTCATAATATCCACAACTTGGGTATCGAGATGAATACTCAGATAGGATACTCAGTTGGATGGACATCTACGTATCCTCAGAGCTGAGGAATTTGAGTACATTTGGTGTAACGAGATTGGGTACCGGAAATTTTCCTACTGTCAGGTCCTACTTCAAACAAATTAATATAAACCACAATTCAAATAACATGCATGTGACGATCCGCAATAACACCAACTACACAGCATGCTACAGTTTCAACCCGATTTCCTTGAGTGATTTTGATGAAAGTCGTAATAAATTGTTATCACGTAAAAATGAAGTTCTTCAACGAATATTTACTTGGAATTGCACGCTATCTGCAATGCTCATTAAACAAATCTGTACATATCGATAAACATTGGCATAAAGCTGACTACATGAATACAATAAATTTTAACATAGCATCCCCTAGTCAACTTTCCCTAGAAGAATCCCCAGGGAGTCCCCTGACAAATCCCCGGGGACTCACGACAGGGAGTCCCTAGGGATTTCGTTATTTTGCGGGGACTCCCCGGGGAGTCGTCGGGAGAGAGTGGATTAGGGTTACGTTTCCTTATTTATAATTATAAAGCCAAGTATTTTTACAATAGGGTATCCATTTCCGATACCCATTCTCGTTACACCAAATGCACTCAAATTCCTCAGCTCTGAGGATATATAAAAATGGATACCCATTCTCGTTACACCAAATCCACTCAAATTCCTCAGCTATGAGGAACATCGGTATTCATTTTAGTATCCATTTTAGATATCCACTTGAATGGATATCGTGACTGGTATGTCGACGATACCCAGTGTTAGGATATTATGACATCTCTGGATGAATCAGTAAAATGGAAATACCTTGAGTACCATATAAGAAATGGATTACTATGGATTTAAGATGATAATATATTACAATTAATAAAAAATATGAGCATAGATTAAGTGAATGAGAATATGTGGATCGATGAATTCCCATCAAGATAGCCATAAGTTAAAATCAATTTTTTTGTGATTATAAATCTATTTTAATGGCACTGTTATAACCCTAGTTTAATCATTATTTAGATCGAAAAAATTGATTATAATCGATTGGTCAATAATCAATTATAATAGATTTTAAAATAATCGATTATAATCAATTTTTTCGATCTAAATAATGATTAAACTAGGGCTATAACAGTGCCATTAAAATAGATTTATAATCACACGAAAATCAATTATAATCAGATTTTTCGCGATTTATTTTTACATGGGTTACCTGAGTGATTTTGAGTATAAAAATATGTACGAATTGGTTGAAATCGGATAGTAATAAAAAAGCTATATTTATGACTCAAGCAATACCAAGTTTCTACGAGTTTTCATCGCCTTTTGTTGAATTCTGCACACAAGTTACATTGTTTGCATTTTTCGGACAATTTCAATTGCTTGCAAATCACTTTCAGTTAAGTCCGAACGATGTTGTGAATTAATTTGTTCAAGAAGTTTTCTTGATCGAAGCGTTGATAGCAGCCACAGCATATATTGGTTACTATGCTCGTCGATGTTCCTATGAGTACAGTACCATTATGAAGAGAAAGTCATTAGTCGAACCGAATGAGAACGATTTGAAAGACCATGCTTATATTAAAATCCGCCAGACCATGAAGAACGCTAGCGTCAACAACGAAGGTTATCGACATCTTAATTGTATTCTTGACGGTATGATTCACGATTGCATTGCTCCATTCAAGTATGTATTCAAAAAGCTTCACATCGATGGTTTTTCTATGGACGACAAGCGCTGTAGTCACGATGGCAACTTTAGTTGGGCTGAGAAACAAATTTTGGAAACATCTTTCAAGCTTCTCATGAAAGAAGGTATTAATGAAATTATGCATGAACTGAGATCCGAATGGGGTCACCATTCGAATGTAAAGCAGACAATACCTGCGAAAGCGATGTCAACAATGAACCACAGCGGCTAACTCAAATTGCTGAACAGCTCGCTACGGAAGCCGTAGCAATTATTAAATCTACACAACGAAGGCAACACTAAATAACAAGACGTGTTGGTTGCGTATCTGCCTCCAAGAGAAGCGCAATAACTATTCCGTTCGTTATAGTTCAACAGAAAGTGCCACAATTAGCACTAGAAGTTGTTGAAATAAACTTTACTTTATAGATCTGTAATAAACATGAATATTCAAATTGCGAACGACTCTTAAGGGAGCAAGAGTACTCGATTGATGCCGTTGGAGCTGAGTTCTGTATTCGTTCAATTACTAAATTTTCGCTACAATAGTCCTATCTCACATCAGTAATATATTGTGCCATGTAGTAGTGAGAGAGAATTATCAATTGTTGATAGTCGATTCATATTCGCTCATGATCAGTCTACAATTATAGGCAGTCAGAAACTTCCGACACTATGGCACATCATGTACATGCGATGATTAAATATTCTTAGGAATATTTTATGAAATTCTTATAGATTGCTTATACTTCAAATATAATCGGTTCAGTTTTCTCCTGATGTTGTTCGAACCATCTATAGATTTATTCATTTCCCAACATTTGAAATTTACAAGCGTTTCGAAAGTTGAATATTTCAGAAGTATGGAAAGATCGATTTTCATTTAAGAGGAATCTCACGTAGAAATGCTTATTTTATTATCAGTAAAACTATTGTACTCGAAGGTATTTCATTAATTATTAACCGCGTAAAGCATTTCCAAAACAGTGATATTGTTCGATGTATTAGATGTGCTCTAGCTGTCACTAGCAATATTATTTTTCACAAGAGGATGCTTTCGAGAATTTTCCCTAAAATAAATAAAATCTGCTACTAAATTAATTTATATTGAATCTTTGCATTGAATTTTTCCTCGTTATCTATTGGAATTTTCCATTCGATATATTACGTTGTGATGTATGCAAACAGTGTCTATTGAAAATAAAATATCGAGTGAAATAAGATTTCGTAATAGGAATTTGAACGAGAAGCAAACACACGACTTCAATCATAAACAATATCTAAAATGATGCCATTCGCTCCTTTTGCTGACAAGAATCCGTGACAATTTCGTGCTAAAGTGTGAATCAACGTAAACAAAATTTCTCATTGATTTATGATACTTCGAAAGGAGCATACGATGTTCGTTCGACTCTAAAGGTTTGTATATGCATGAGAGTTTTGTAAAAAAAAATATAAAGTACTGGCCTTGCTACTTGCAGATATGATATCAATTGAATATTGCTGAATCATATATTTTAAATGTTTTTCTTTTCTTTCCATATAATACTACTGGTTAGTGTAATGAGAATGTGTACTTCATGATAAGTTTGCTCAATGGCAAAATTACGACCTACATATTTTCATTGCTGATAATTACTATGTTAATAAACTTTTGAAAAATGAAAATAAAGTACAGAGAGATTTATGCTTATCCATATATAAATAAATGTCTCTTTTTCTTTTTAAAGCAAAATAGAAATCATAAAAAATATATTTAAAAGCATTCTGTATAAGTCGATACTGTATTTCCTTGTTTTGTTGTAACAGTTCGACAATTTTTTTGAGACGAATCCGACGAATGTACATACATATTGTTACTTGCTTCAAATAAGTGGCTGCCAAAATTAAAATGATTTCCATCCGAAAAGTATTCCGTTTCGTATCCATCATCAACATCTTCATCGTCGAAAAGGGAGTCGAAATTAAAACCAAAATGATTATGGTCGGCGTGGTGAAAATGAGATGATTCCGAATCAAAATGTTGAAAAAAGTCGTTCATATTGAAATGAAAAGGTGAGTAACCATTTGAGTTCGATGATTGATCGCCATATCTATCGTATTGTTGTCGTTTTGTTGTATCACTCAATATATCGTAGGCTTCAGCTATGGAACGAAATTTATCTTCAGCTTTTGGATCTTTATTTTTATCTGGATGATATTGTAAGGCTGAAAAATGATTTAGAAAGTTGTTTTTTTACGAAATATTTTCGTTTTCATACCTAATTCACGAAATCGGCGTTTGATTTCCTTATCACTAGCATCTCGTTTCACACCCAAAATTTCATAATGATCTTTACATGTAACTATTATGACACAGATTATCAATATGATAAGCTGAATCCATACGTAAGTATTCATTCCTTTGCGTGATTGTTAGCCACAACTATATCAAAAGAATGATAACAAAATATATATAGTCGATTGTTATTCATCTTAATATCCATCGCTTCGTTATACTCAGTGTAGCAGCTGATGTTGCTCATAACTATTGGTTTTTGAATAATCAATTACATTAATTCTTTTTAACTCACAATAATAACATTTGGTTACAAATTAAAAGGTGAATATTCAATGAAGAATAAACAATTTTTCATTCAAAAGTATTTATATTTATAGATGTCACTAGAAAATATGTAAATCTTCAAAATTTTTTATGGATTTATGTACTATAATGTAAAACTATTGAAAGAAAAATAGAACTGTCAGTAATTAATACTTGAAAAAAATATAGAATATCGCCATGTTGATCAATCATCCTCTACGACGATGCAATTTATTAGAGTCAATAACATAATGTTTACAACGCGCCTCAGTTGTTAAGTTGAAATTGTCTACTCAACATTGACTGATAAAATTACAATAGAGAAAAATGCCACAACAAAATGATTACTTATCATTTTCTTCAAGTGCCTTTGTGTCATGCATTGATTATTCCGAAGTTCAAACTATCCTTGAATTAACCACGACTAAACAAAAACAACTCCGTCGACAACGTTCACAAATTCTACATAAACAAGTTTTACTTAAACGTACATATTCACTTGTATGCGATTTATTAGATTCAGATTGTTCATATCCCACGAATGAAACATACAAATATCCATTATCAACAGTCGATACAAACAAAAGAAAACTATCATCGGACGAACAAGAAATTGAATCTACAGTAAAAAAATCCAAAAGTGTTATGGATAAATGTTATGATATTAAAAATGATAATGATGTATTACAATTTCTTCGTGAACTCAATGCCACCAAACTAACATCCAGGTATTGAGAATAGACAGAATATAAACATTTTTTTTTCTTTGGACACTTCGGTTCTATACCATATGAACTTTAGTGATGACAATGAACAAAATATACCAATAATCACCTTCCTTGTGTAAGTCAATTTAACAAGGCAAACATTTGTATCATTCGGTGAATGAACTTTCTTTGTTTTTGTTTTACTTTTTTCTTCGTAACTTTATCAGATATGTTGTAGTGTTTAATAAAGCAGTCTGAAAATATATATGTACGTATGCATATATCTATTTCTAAACAGGAAAAACACCTGATGAAAAATTATTATTATCATCATCGAATATGGACGATGAGTTATGTATGGTAAACATATATAATGAATTCTATGTCTTTTTTTCTTTTTCTTTTTAAATTTTGCGGATTAAAACAAGCTTATATGAACAATTGGTACGATCTAATACAAATATCAAGGGGAAAAAAAGCATCATAAGTTAAATTTTGTTTTTATTTACCTTTTTTTTACTTCAAATAGAGTTTTGTTGATTTGTCTGCTCTCTCTCTCTCTACGTATGTTTCACGACGAAAGATCATTATGAGCACGATTTAAAGGTAAACCAAGAATATTTTAGTTAATTTCTAATGAATGAATTATTAAATGGTAGAAATAAATATGTATGTGTTTCGGGCTAAGTTTGAAATATTTAGATATAAATTCTTATCCGTATGAATGGTAAATAGGATGTGTGAAGCAGTCAATAGAACAGATCGCACATCGATTCATCAATAGAACAAAAACCAATGTCGTATGAAATCATTTCGATTTTGCTTACATTTTCGTGTCATGCTTTAGGAGATGTTCATTTGAAAAGAAAATCAACAACCAAATGGTTAAATACAATAACAGATTTGCAAAGCTAAAAAAAAGGCAAACGATCTTGCTTTTAGAAAGACAAATTATTTACTTCAACTTTCATCTTTTACGAAAAAACGAAAAAAAGAGTTTGGAAGATAAAAGTAAAGATTCGACTTCTTTTTTGTTTAATTCTATTAACAATTTGAAGAAACTCAATGAAATGAAAAATTAAGTTTTCAGTATCACAAGTAAAATAGGTAATTCAAGCGCTCATGATTTTTGAAAGCAAAAGGAAAGCTCACATTTTTCAACAATAACATTGCGATTACTTCTGGGTCTTGACGTCAATGTCTGTCAACAAGCTATTTGCTAGATCTATCAAAATCGATTGGAAGTTAAAATGGTTGTAAATCAGAGATTTGTATTCAAGTGAGCCAAAGGAATATTCTATGTAAAGCTTTTTATAATACTAACCAAAAAACGAAATACGTCTTCGATGTTGATCACACAAGTTTCAATCTAGATGATACAGTTCGATTATTTTCTGATAATCTGAATGAGGATTATATTGAGGGCATATGTAGGTGCACAAGCAATTAACAAGCTCTGATTTTTCAACGAGACTAAGCGATGCGAAGTCATATGAACGCGGCATACCGGAAAAAATTCAACAATCAGAGTTTTGATTCTCAATTAAAAGGGCTCTTTATCAGTAAATCTCAAGCATTGGGTGCATCCGTACTGCGTGAGTGTGATACAAGAAAAAGAATGTCGATTAATCAGACTGCTCTCAATTTGTAAATCCATTAACAGCATTTTTGTATGTATTATGTGTTTTGTTTTTGTAACGTGAATTTATTTTATCTAATAAATGACATGCATTATTGCATAGGAACAAAAGAAAAACAGCTGACAACGGATGATTTTTCTTTGTATTTTGGAATTTCTGACTATACGTAAATCCTGCTGTGTCTTTTTTTCCATGTGGTGAATAAATGTTTTGATAAATAAATATATTTCGTGCTGAGATGAAAACAAAAAGATCGACTAGATAGATATTGAAATAGGTTTTATTAGCAAGAATGCTTGTTCCACTGGGACGTGTTCGTCATAGTATTGATATATTAGTGAGTACGAATTTTTTCGACTTCAAATAAAAGTTTTATAAAATTTCAGCAAAAAAATATTTATGAATATCACCATGGATCAAGTTTATCTTTATCAACAAATTCAATTCGATATCCATCAGCAAACAACAGTAAACCTCGACGTTGTCCACATTTAATACAATTAATTGAAGATTCATGTACAATAATTCAAGCAATATTTGTTCGTTTTATATTTATACTTTCGACTGTGGTTGCCGTTTGGCGTCTTGTTGAAGAAACTAAACAAGTTTATTATTGGTATTTGCTTTTATTACTTATCTTTCTTTTAATTGAATCTTATGTTATGATTATTCACCGAAAAGGTTATGAATATAAATGGTAAGATAATAGCTTAACTTTATTTAATCTAATTGATTATTTTGAAACAAAAAGGTTTTGTTCATCGGCATTTGCTTATCTGATTGCGATTGTACCTTGCATATGGTTATTAGAATTAAATCATAGTCTTCATGTATCATTATTGTCAAATGGAACAAAAATCTCATTAGGTATTCGACGTCGATTTCAATTGACAACGTCGTCTAATGGATTTTCGGATAATTTTGATGCTGACGATAGTAATTCAAAAGAAAATTCTATCATACATGAGCATGTTTTTGCTAGTCAAAAGAACAACGTTACTTCAACAGAATTAACAACAACAAAAACACAGGATTTAATTTTAAAAAAATTATTGCAACGACCACAAGAATTTATATTAAAAGTAAAATGTTTTTTGTTAGATAATAAATTAAGTAAAAGAGAAAAAAATACATTTTGATTATTTGGTTTTTCTTCAATGGAAAATCAATATTTTATTGAGAATTACAGTTCGATCATACAAGTTTCTTACGTCTTGAGAGTGATAAGTCAATATCAACGCGTATTTATCGTTTGATAGATTGCACATTCTTTGTTTACAAAATATTTTCGCTGCTTTGTAAAACAAAACTGTCAAATGTTTTGCATTGCTTGCCAATCTGAATGATAGAAACGATGAAAACTCCATCATTTCCTGTCAAAATAATTTCCGTTTATTCGCTATTCGACGTCAAAAGGCGGACTGAATTATTGATAATCGAACTGCAGTTGATATGTGACTACTATCACAGTGATTTCCTTGAAGAATAGCTCAACAAAAAATAATACAGATTAGTTTAGTACGAAAGATTAATAATAATAATAATAGTTCATAAGATCATATATAATAATCTTGAAACATCGTTTCCATTTTAATAAAAGAATTAATCGTAGAATAATTCAATCATTTGTCAGAACTAGATAGAAACCAGATATCAGAGATGATATGAATTAGATTAAGACTCGTCGAATAAAAATCATTGCCAATGAAACGAGAAAAGTTTGTTATTTTTTAGTTGAATACACATTTATCAAGAGAAGAATGGCATATGATTATCGAACAAATGACCTTACTCGTGCTTATTCTCAGCCGGTGGTTATTGCCAAAAGGTGAACTGACTCGTGAAGAACTATCACAATTATTACTAGTAAAAACAAAAAAATGAAAATAATTTTGATTATTTATGAAGAATGTCTTTTTATTTACTTATTTTGTTAGGTTTATATTGGTATTGCTGCTGATATAATTGAATTTTTTGAAGTGTTCAAAGAGAAAAGTGTATGTATTGAAACGAATAGAAATTTTAAGGCAACAAAAAAACAATCGAATTTTTAATTGAAGGTTCGAACAAACTCAACATTAAGTATTTTGGTTCTTCTTCTTTGGACATTAAGTCTATTACAATTTTGTCTTGCATTTACTATATCACGCGGTCGAAAAACTCGTCTTGTGCTAAAAACAAAACAAGAAAAACGATATGTTTGTAGTCCGTCGGATTTTTGGGGAATGTTAATATCATTATTTCTTCAAGATATACCATTTTTTTCATTTCGAGCCGTACTTATATTTCATTATCATATTTTTTCATATTCGACAGTATTTTTTACATCAAAAAATGGCCTAATTATTATACTTCAATGGTATCGCATAACAGTGATTTTAGCAACAACAATATCCGAAGAACGTCGACATCACCGACATAATCATAAAAAATTAATTCCAATAATTGAAACAAATCCTAATAACAGAACAATCAATAAAAATGAGGATCTTTCCGAACAAGAAGAGAGCACTTATAATGTTTAAATTTGATTTCAAATAAAAAATAGTTTATCTAGAAACTAATTACTATCGAAGAACATCTTGAGTGATATTAGTTAATGATGCTAAGTAGTTGTCTCAATGGTTTACATAAGAAGAAGCTTCTATTTGGATGAAACTCGTACATCTTGTTCGATGGATACACATTGAAATAATATCGCAATTGATGATATGTATATTATACATAGAATATAGATCAATGTCATTCTCTGATCGCTGTGCAGATTATATCAGCATCTTGTATTAAACACTACATTGTTTTCTTCAAATCAAGGAAAAGGTTGCATAAAAATCTATGAATATAATAAATAGGACAGTAATTTTGAAGATCTATTTATTTTGAAGTAAAACAAATTTTGTACAATCGATTGTATATTATAATCATTAAATATGATAGATATTTTTTTAAAATAAGGCTCTGATAAGATTATCGAAAACATCTGTCGCATTACCCTACGATAATTTCTGAGTACGACTAGCACGGCTTCATTATTTTTCGAAACATTCTTTTTTTCCTTCTACTAACAGCTGCCGATGCAAAACATGATTTCCATTCGTTTTGGAATTATTTTTTATTGAATATGATCACTGATGCAACCCATTCATCAAAACAAAACACTCATTAGCATAATGGAATATTGAAAAATTCATCTAGAAGCATGTGTTAACTATTTGGGTTTATCATGCAAGGAAAAAAGAATAAGTCTATTACTCTAGTAATTGAAATCATGCATAAATTAACATTTAGATTAATAGATGAACTTTAAAAAAATGAATAAATATTATTTTCAGAAATTTACACTTGATCATTATTTTATTATTATTATTCGATAATTGATTTTTTTGTCGCATGAATAAAACTAAACGGAAAGAGAATAGATTTTATTCTTCGTCGATCTATGGAAACAAAAAACAAAAAGGCTATAAGGCAAGAGATTTTCTTCTTTCTTATATAACAGAAAAAAACCATCGAAGTATTAGTCTATTCTATTAATAGAATCCATTCAATCTTTAATCATTCTTGCGTTAGATTTTATCTTCATTTACCAAAGAGGTAGTCTATGTATTAAATTGAATAGTTTTCATTAAAATACGTTAGTATTTAAAAAAAAACAAGTGCTCCATATATTAAAAGATAATTAAATTATTCAAGATCAAGTTTTCTTCTTTTCTGAATAGATTAAAAGACATGTATCTATTTGTCCTATTAATCAAATATTGATTCGACTATTTAATTCGATTTTCATCATAGCTTCTATTTTGTTTTGTGCCTCTTGAATCTATATCTATCCTGATAGAATGTATACATATAAAGAATGAATCCATTTAGTGGTTGGCTTATGATAAAAAAAAGAGTCATATGTCGACACAAACAAAATTGTTATTACCAGCCAAGCGGTTTTCCTTTTTTTTGTATGTATTTCTGTGACATTGACAATGGACATATAGAGGTTAGTGGTGTATTACAACTGTCGTCAATGATGATATATCTCATCAATATCTTAAATAAGCTCAAAAAACCCTTGAAGACATAAAATTAATATCCATCTAAAAGTAGAAAAGATTTTGTTGAAAAGATGATTAAAATCTCTAGTTAGCTTGTTAAGAAAAGAAGATTTTTTTTTATATCATGCGTACGAAAAGATTAGCTGAGGATTATGACAGAAAAAGAATTCTCCACTATAAATTTTGATAACATAAATGGATGTTACCCGTGATAGAAATATGATATATACTTTTTTCTTAGTTGTCCTTAGAAATAAAGAAATAGATTGAAACAAGCAAATGTTGTCTGGTATTTTCCGTAAGATTAATCGTTTTCAAACACCGTAACATTTCTGATATTTATCTGTTAATTAATTTTTTCTTCTTCTGAAAATGACATTTTCATGAAATGAGAAACCAAGATGAACTTATCCTCAAATCAGTTGCCTAAACAGATTGAAATAATCAAATGTGAATGTTCTGTCAGTATTTCTACTCTTATTTCTATTGTTACATCATTCATTTAATGTCTTTAGATATGTTTGTTGATTATCAAATGTCGATTTCTTTATATATTTGCCCATCTCAGGGAGTTAGTCGAGCATTACAATCGATTGATCGCAAGCAATAACATAGAAGGAGAGCTTGGTGATGTTCGTGCTTATTGCTTCTTTACTATAGTAGGAGGGACGAACTAGAAAAAGACGACGTAGAAGAAACCCAAAATGCAGCGACAGAGAAGAGTGCAAGAAAAGAATGACAATAATATTACTAGAGGCATACAAACACCCTCCATGTATATATATATACATACATATGCAAACCAGTAGAGATAGAGGAGCATCGTAGCAGTGGATTTGATTTCTGTCTGTGTATAGTCGCGAACAAGTAATGAGCCGAGAGAGAAGACAGATTTTCGACATGGACTAATATATTAATAAAACAAGAATCTATCTTCTAAATAAATGATAGATCGGCCATCAACAATCCGAACTAATGAATTCTATCTTTGAGAATTCTTAAATGCTCTTGAAATCTTTTCCGATTAGTATGTCTATCCATCGATATATCTATTTATCTTTACATTTCTTTCATTTTAGTTCTTCTCTATATTGATGTTTCTCATCATTTTTTACTATTAATATAAAATTCTATAGCAGAATTTAAGTAATAGCAAGTTATAAACTGACAATTGTTCTATTCTTACGGATGCGTTAATTGATCTCTATTTCATCGTTTTTTTTCGTCTTTCTATCTGCCTCTCTCTCTCTCTCTCTCTCTCTCTTACTATTCCCTTCGAGATATCCTAGTCAAGTCGCAATTCATCTATTCATTGTTGAAAGGCATGAATGTCTTCAACATCCTTTACTTTCATAAGGGTATCTATATATTGAAGGAAATTGTCCCATCGTTCGTACAATGATGATCCGAAAACTATTGTCATTCTGTAGATAGATAGAGACAGAGAGAGAATATGTATATGTGAGGGAATAAGGTAACAAAAAAAGGGAGAATTGCTTGTATTATTTTGAAAATCATAATCAGTAGTAGTGATGGTGGTGATGGTGGTGGTGGTAGGAAAAGACACACAGCATGCGCGCACAAGCAGCAAATATTGATTGAAAGCGACAATTTCCTTTTTGCGCTTCGCTCTTGGTCTCTCTCTCTCTCTCTCTAAGTTACTGTCTGTTCTCTAGAACGAGAGCATCGTCTTCAGTTCTTTCTCTCTTTAACATCTTATTCTCATCGTCGCTGGTGATATCTACGGATAAGATCATTTCTTTTACCACAGCTATGCATTTCGCTTGTCGTCGTTCGTTGATGTTAGACTGACGTCGAGATCATACTCGTTATTTGCTATGGCAATAATATGTTAGTGTATAATCCACCATGAGACGACAGCACTAGAAACAGCAGGAAATCTCTTTCCCTTGTCGATTGATATTATTCCGACATTTAGAAAAAAATGCGACTATGCTATACCTCTGTTTGCCTCTGGTCTCTGCCTTGAAAAGACACTGAAGATAGGAAACATTTAGATTCTTTCCTTTTTTCTTCTCCTGCTTCTTCTCCTTTTCTATGCATTCTGTCCTTTCGCCTGCTACCGTCATCATTATCATGACCGGTGACGTTATTTGTGTCTTGTTGCTGCTGCTGTTGTTGTTGTTGTTGTTGTCTGTGTTGTCGTTGCCACTGTCGTCATCATCATCATGCAATTTAGTATTTGTAGACCACAATGGTAGATAGGGTTCTGTTGTTCCTATTCTTGCTGTTGGTAGTACATACGCACATTACTTTTCTTGTTATATTGTTCTGCATGACATTAGTTAGAAAATACAAGCAGCAAGCGATCATTTTGTATTATTATTTTTATCAACGAGTTTATGTGAATGTTGCTTCCTACTCTTCTTACTATATTATATCGATCACAAAAGTTGTTTGTCTCTTCTCTTGTGTTTTAATGTGTACTCATCGGGTAGACTATATAAGTTTGAATCGGCAGCAAGTGTAAGAAGAGAACGCATAGACAACCAGATAATCCTAGATGAACATTAATAAGTGAATGAATGATAGACAGACATAGCATGAGAGAAAGAAAACCAGGAAGAGGAAGTAGAAGAAGAGGTAAGTACTATGTGCATTTTTTCCAGAATCACAAAATTTATATATATATATATATATATATGTGTGTGTGTGTGTGTGTGTTTCGATAATTGAATCAATTAAGTGTTATTGAAGTAGTAGTGCTTCTGATGTTTAGTGATTGAATTCTCAATCGACTGCCCGTACTATCGTTATCACCGACTAAATTTTCCTTTTCTCTATGCCTACTTCGTGTTTCCAGTTTTTCTCGCGCTCTCTCTCTGGCTGTCTTTATTTTACTCTTTCCAATCGTTGCCGATGTTGTGTCGTGGTTGTTTCGGATGAAAATATATTTCCTGCTATTTTTTTTTATGATATTATAAAAATTGACAAGGAAAGCAGAAAGATTTTTTTGTCATTTTTAAGTCGTAGTCTTGTTATTTCTTTCTAATTATATTAATGATTAGTTTTTACTTTAGGATGTGAGCTGTGCATTGTTCTAGTCAGGCTCATTTCGTGATGTATTCTATTCGTTATCTATCACCGTTGGTGATATTATTTACATCAATTAGCCTTGTTCATGGAGCAAATAATTTAATCCAATATAATAACTCAATAGAACTATCGTTATTATCTTCTAATTCATGCTCAAAAATTCGCTCGAATTGTACTCAAGATGGTTTAATTATTCCTCTATGGCAACCTCAAGACAACATATCGACTGGTGATCGAATCTCACGTGCTATTGTTTATTTATTAGCACTTATTTACTTGTTTATTGGTGTTGCTATTATATCAGATCGTTTTATGGCTTCAATTGAAGTAATAACATCACAAAAACGTGAAATTCGTAAAAAAAACCCCGATGGTACAGTATCGGTAACGACTGTAGCGATATGGAATGAAACAGTATCAAATTTAACTTTAATGGCATTAGGTTCATCAGCACCGGAAATTCTTTTATCAATTATTGAAGTTGTAGGAAAAAATTTTCATAGTGGAGATCTTGGTCCTGGTACAATTGTTGGTTCGGCAGCATTTAATCTATTTGTTATTATTGCTATATGTATCATGGCTATACCAACCGGTGAAATTCGTCGTATACGCCATCAACGTGTCTTTTTTGTTACGACAGCTTGGTCCATTTTTGCATACATATGGTTATGGGCTATTGTAGCAAAAATATCTCCTGGTTATATTGAAGTATGGGAAGGAACATTAACATTTTTATTTTTCCCATTAACTGTTTTTTCGGCGTATATTGTTGATACGAAAGTTGGTCAATTTATACGTATACGTATAACAGAAAGAAAACAAGTTCTACAACTAGACAATCATACATCAACACAAATACCATTAACACTTGATCATGGAGGAAATATTGATGATAGTGAACAAAAAAGTATGATGGATGGTACAATACGAAATTCGGCAACACCGAGCGTAAATGATTTATATGGAAATAAAGCAAATTCAATACAAAAATCAATCTCAGGTGCTGTATTTGATCAATTAGGTAGTACAACAGGTGGTCTAGATGAAACAACGATAAGTGATCAAATCGAAGCGCAACGTAGACAAGAATTTATTGATATATGGCGTGAACTACGTAAACTACATCCAAATACTGCTCTGCAAACATTGAATGATATGGCTGCAGTTGAAATGATGAATCGTGTACCAAAATCTCGAGGTAAACAACATTCAAAATTTCGATAATAACGATATCAACAAAAAATCTCTTTTTTCCTTCTTCCTTAGCTTACTATCGTATTCAAGCAACCAAACGTTTAGGTGGTGGTGGAAATGTAAAAAAGAAATTATTAGAACAATTAAATGAGCCAAATCAAATCGCTGTGCCAGAAAAACAACAATTAATTTCTGATACAACGCCCCATATAAGTAAAATACGTTTCGAACCAAACCATTATACGGTGTTAGAAAATGCTGGTTATGTTTCATTACATGTATTACGTACGGATGGAAATTTAAGAAATACTGTTTATGTTGATTATACGACAGAAGATGGTACAGCCACACATGGGGCCGATTATGAACCTGCCGAAGGTACATTAATTTTCTATCCAATGGAAACACATAAACAAATTCAAGTGAAAATTATCGACGATGAAATCTTTGAAGAAGGTTCTTTTGAGTGCTCGTAGTGTTCTTTTTTTATTCCATTGAATATGTCTTTTTTTTAAGATGAACATTTCTCAGTTAAATTAAGTAACCTTAAAATCAAAGACAATCAAGGACGTTTAACACCAGGTATATTCGACAAAAGTGTTCAATTGGTTGAACCATCAACAGCCGTTGTAATGATTATTGACGATGATCATTCCGGAATGTTTGTTTTCGATTCTGATGAAGCAACGATTGTAGAATCAGATCGTTTTATGGATATTAAAGTTCTACGTACATCAGGTGCTCGTGGTCGTGTACGTCTAACATATGCAACTGAAGATGAAACAGCTGTAACGGGCCGAGACTATGTTGCAAATACGGGTGAAATTACATTTGAAAACAATGAAAATGAGTATGTATTTTATTTTATTTTACTTTATTTGATTTCATCGAGAACAAATGTCAATCTATTATCTTTTGTTTCCGATTAGAGAGAAAGAGAAAATAAGAGGAAAAAAATTAGTTCTTATTCCATTCTATTACCAAAGGTTTTTCTTTTCTTCTGTTTTTTTCTTAATGAGAATTCGACTCGCACGTTTGGCAAATATTATGTCAATAAAAATGATGTTGTTCGAACGTCGATCGACTAATTACATCGGTGCCAGAGGATGAATGGAGGCTTTCCTTTACATATGCCATATTCCCATTTTTTTTTCTATTTGTCAGAAACAAATTTCTCCAATCAGAAATTATCAATGTAATGCATTCCTGCTTTTTTCTTTTGTTTATAGGAAGACAATAACAATTGAAATAATTGATCGTGATCAATATCACCGCAATGAAACATTTCTTATTCGATTAGGTGAACCATTGTTAATGAATGACGAAAATGAAAAAGATAATTTAGGTAATAAGATGATAATTATGTTTTTTTTTGATTTATTAACATATGTGTTTATAGTTATGACTGAAGAAGAAAAATTAATTGCTGAATTGGGTAAACCAAAATTAGGAGACAAAAATATATTGCGTATTCGTATACGGGAAAGCAAAGAATTTAAAGTATAAACTTATTGTTTGTTTCATTAATATCTTATTATTTTCTTTGTAAAGAATGCTGTTGATAAAGCATTATATAAAGCAAACACTGCTATACTTGTGGGTACATCAACATGGTTAGAACAATTTAAACAAGCATTCAGTGTCAAAGGTAGATTAAAAAAGAAGAAACCGAATGAATTCTATATGATTTTTATAGAGGATGACGATGATGATGGTAATGAATCAGGAGACTCAGATGGAAATGATGGAAAATCTGCAACATGTAAAGATTATATGTTACATTATGTATCATTTTTTTGGAAATTTCTATTTGCTTTTGTTCCACCAACAAGTAATTCAATAACAACAACACAAAAAAAGACAGCTTTATAAGTTAATAATGATAAAATTTATTTATTTATACAGGTCTAGCTGGTGGATGGGTTTGTTTTGTTGTATCCATCATAATTATTGGTTTACTAACTGCTGTTATTGGTGATATAGCAACACAAGTAAATAATTATCTTTTGATCTTTTATTTAAAAAAAAATTCTTTTAGTTCGGTTGCACTATTGGTCTTACCGATACAATGACAGCAATTGCTTTTGTAGCATTAGGAACATCATTACCGGGTAGAATTCTATTTGAAAGCGAAGAATATCTATTTATTTTATTTCTATTCAGATACATTTGCCTCGAAAGTTGCTGCTGAACATGATAAATATGCTGACAGTTCAATAGGAAATGTTAATGGTTCAAATGCTGTTAATGTATTTTTAGGTATTGGTTTACCATGGGCTATGTCAGCATGGTATCACTTTTTTAATGATGAAAAATTTGTAGTTGAACAAGGCTCATTGGCATTCAGTGTCACGGTATTTTGTTCTTTTGCAGCTGTGGCTGTAATCATATTAATGATAAGACGATTAAAATTCTTCGGCGGAGGAGAATTAGGTGGTCCATTTAAATATCGTGCTATATCAAGTGCGATATTTTTTTCACTTTGGATTGCTTATTTGATATTAAGTGGCCTTGAAAATTACTGTCATATTAATGTTTAAAAAAAGAAAACATTCACGTCTTTCCGTTAAATGCGCGTGCGTGTGTTTTTTTGATGTCGGTATATAATTTATTTTTTTTTGCTATTTGTTTATTGTCTCACTTTTACACATACAAAAAAAACATAGAGCAGAACGATGTATACCAAATATTTCGATTGATTAGGTTTATTGAACAGCGGCTGAATCGGAAGATGAGCTGGAAACTAGAATTGGCAAATCAAGTTTTGCCGATTGAGATATGTTATCAGATGTTTCGACTTCTGATACACGGAATTCTTTGATTGGTAAATCCTCAATTGGCTTTTTTTTCTTATAATATTTTTCATGGATAAGTCGATAGAAAAATATTATATTGAATGGTGGAGTGGACAAAAAAGAAACAATAAATGGAATAACAATCGCTTGACTATTCCATGGTGGAGGCAATGAATAAAGTAGAACCATAAATGCAATACTAAAATTTTGAACTCCTTAAAAATAAAGTAGTAAATAATTAAATTAATTGTTTCAACCAATAGAAAAACGTCTCTTCGATATTTTTCATGCCTGTTTCAATGCTAATAGTTATAATTCCCTTCCAATCGTGTCAACAAATCGACGCAAATAAACCAACTAATGAAAAGCCCAGTTATGGCAATAAAATAACGGTAAATATTATAGTCGCATCAACATATTTATATAGATAATAATTAGCAAAAAAACCAAACATTAAGAAATAAATTAATAGCACTACCATCATTGGTTTTAAAATATATCGTACAATCGGTTGTAGTTTTGGAAAAAAAATAATGAAGAAGCATTCCTATTCCTATTGGCAAATTAAGTGCTAACAACGATTGGACTAAATAAAAATATGGTATGCGAATTTTCAGTGCGTTTAAATAAGCATGCTGTCGAAGTGTATACAATTACAATGGCATCATAAAAAATGATGCGAGAATTGATGCGAATGTCATGCATGTGGATAAATTAGTGTCACCATGAAATATAATGGTCCATTGGTTTGATGCTGCGCCGCCTGGGCAACATCAAAAACAAATAATGCAAGACCATAGAGTGGCTCATATCTAAAGATTTTCGTTATAGAAAAAGCTATTAAAGGCATGAAACCATATTGACAAACAAAAAAGATGCAAATTTGTATTGGTCGACGAATCAATTCTTTTAATACTTCTCTATCAATTAGTATACCCATTAGAATTGCATCAGTGGCAGAATTCTCACCTAACAGAATCCAAGAATTCTGCTGTTCAATACAAGCAAAGTTCTAGTAAAATTCTGCTGTGAATACCGAATTCTTACATTCTGGTTGTGAGACTTCTGCCACCCCTCTACCATTAGAATAAGAGAAAAATTGAAAGAACGAATCTGATTGCTAATATTAATCGTTTGAATAATATAATGAATATCTGTTCGATTCATATATTTGGTATGGATCTTTAAGTTATAAGTTGTAAGTTATAACTTACAGTTGATTGATTATCATATTCTATAAAATATCAAATGGCAAATCATATGATACACAATTAGTGGTAAACAAAGTTTTACTTTCGTATTGCTTTATTGATACTTAAGGGAATACAAACTTTTCTCTTCATTAGTCGATAAACCAAGCGAGAAATAGGAAACACAATCTGTAAGAGTAGTTTTTCGAGCAAATGCATATACTCTGCTTTATATTTCTTAACATTTATTTATGAAACTGGAGTGTATGATGTACTTTTATTCATTATTTAATACTTCAACAATTGAAGTTTTTAGCAATTCAGAGTAGCACTACTCGAAAATTCTATTTATACAATTTTAACGCTGAGGTCAAAGAAAAGTCATATTAACTATCAGTTTGAACTATGAGTTTGATGTAGAATACTAATATTGAAGTCTGGTAAAATCGTCTGCTCTTCTTGTTAAAACAGTATGACATAAAAAAAGAAGGAAACAGAATCATCATGTTTATTCCAATTAAAAGTAATGCCGCCAAATGTCGAGTTATCTCTCATAACCATATGGGAAAAGATAATTTTTTCCTTTTCCTTACCACACATAAATTGTTTATGTCACGTACTCATCGTGAAAGCGACGTGAGAAATACGAGTGCAAAGCACTTTGGCTTGTTCTTATTTATTTGCAAGAGATATTTTCTAACATAACTAGGATTCAATTTTAAATCAACAGTTCATTTACTTTTAATATTCATGCTTAATCGTTCACAACTTTAGTCTTCGCTATTACTTCTCTTCTTTAGTATTCAAAATTATGCCTGCAAAGAAATGTAGATCATATCTACCAGTACACTTTCGAACATATAGCTAAATATTTGTAAGGAATTGCAAGATAGCTAAGTTTTAACTAGTACTTACTTTCCGTATTATTGTTCAAGTATAGAACTGTTTTAATTGAATGAAGATGATCGTGAAATCCTGCTACTTTTCTGTTAGTAATGAATACATGTAAACGGATTGTATGAATGCTTACTTGGTTCAAACGAGTACGATTTAATGTCAAACGTATGAATTGCGTAGTAAACAATGGTATTGTATGAGTTTTATTAAAACATAAGGATGATTTCTGTTTAAGAATGGATCGACTTTGACAATTCGATGAAAAAGTGAACAGTGTTAAAAATAAAAGATATATCAATCTAGACATTTGTTTATTTTTCTCTTTGATATAATGATGAATAAACTAAACAAATGCATGTAAATGAAACATGTATATGATGTATTCATTAATACCTTATTTTCATTGTGTCCTGCATCATTAGTTTTTATAATATCATCACTTTAATAGTTCTGATATGCTACTAATAAGACTTGGCATTTACAAGGAGGCCAATCATTAGTTTTTGATGGATATAAATAAAAAGTACCAAATGCTTTTTTATCTTATACTGCCTGAATAAAATAGGGCAATGCATTTGACAGGAAGCCTTGTAAAATACGGAATCGTATTAATGGCAAACGACGCAATATTGAGATTTGACATGCGCCACTATGCATGAGTTGTCTAATTCGAGTTCAAATATAAATGAAGCTCGCAAAACTTTAATTTACTTCGAAAATAAAGGCAAAACAGAGATAGCACTTTCATATCTTGATGATCAAAACTAGTAAAATTGAGCTGTGGTTATCAATAAGTAGACGTTGATGAAATTTTTAATTATTTTAGAATTCGAATTAAGGAGTTATTTCATTTACTGATCTCTACGTGGAAAAAAGGGTCTTCTAACATGTTTTGTGAAACACGATCTGAAAGGAGTGTTGAAGTATATAGGGTAGAAATTTGGACCCCCCCCTCCCCCACCACAGACAGGGACAGAGAAATTAATTAATTAGTTAACTGATTAATTAATGAATTAATTAATTTCTCTGTCCCGGTCTGTGATGGTTTCTGAGGTCTCTGTCCCGGTCTGTGATGGTCTGTGAAGCTTCTCTGTCACTGTCTGTGATGGTTTCTGAATTCTCTGTCACGGTCTGTGTTGGCATCTGAATTCTCTGTCACTGTCTGTGATGGTATGTGAAACTTCTCTGTCACGGTCTGTGATGGTTTTCAGAGACTCCATACATCATAATACAGACTGTAATAGAGAAGCTCCAGAGACCACCAGTGACAGTAATAGACGAATCCCAGAAAAGAAGTTTCATCGTGTTTCACACTTTTAATCCCAAAGGGATTGCGCTAACAGCTTTTTCATATGAAAGTCTCAATTAAAATGACAAAAATCTAGATAAATAAAGGTTTTACTGCGACATTTTTTCTCTCTCTAATTTACTTTTACAAGACACTTTGTGTATCTCAAGTTTGTCACAATTTATTATACACAATTATTTTCAAAAGTTTCTTTAATATCATTTTTTTCAAAAAGTTTACAGTCGTTTTCCTTATCGTCGAAAAACAAGATTAATCTGTGCGCCAGAGCATTTAAAAATTTTGTAATAAGAAATTAATTATTTTCGTAACTGCAGCACAGTTGGCATATTTTTGTTTGGGCTGAAAATCATAATTAACGGTGTCTGATTATTGAATGGTTTAAAATTCGAGTAAGTATATATTGATTGAAACTATTTTATTCCGTAGAGATTAGCGCAAGAACTTCGTTGTCCAAGATATATACCCAGGTCGAACATTCCGGCCACCGGATCTCGTAGGATACTCCAGGGAATATGCGTGAAAGTCACCATATCCTGCAGGAAAACACGGGAAATCGTTGGAACATGGAAGCAGTATTCCGGTCAAAAATACGGCCGGACTTTTTCGGCGAATTCCTGCCAAGTTTTGGTGTTTTCCGGCAGGAATTGATCGGAAATCACCGGAAAAATTTCCAACCGGAATACTGCTTCCACAAAATCAACGGAACTACCCGCAACCAGCCGTTTCCAGGCCGTACTGTTCGACCTGGGTACCAATGAAAGTGTGGTTTCTATAAGTCTCTTGAGTATTTAACAGCTTGCGTTTTGTGTATATCACTGACATAAGAATAATAAATTAATGTTCCTAACATTGACTTTTACTTATATCTAACAATAAAGTTACTAGAATGATCACAATTAGTCAATCGAAGTAAGTTAATAGGAATATGCGAACGGTGTGCAAAAAACTGTGCGCCATCAATATGTGATATTTTTATATATAATGAATAAAAACGAAATAGAGAATCGACTCACTGCGAATTAAGTCTATAACAGTTGATCATTTCTAAAAAGAATCTTGTATTAATGAGTGACTGGAAGATTTATGAATGTTAAGGAAAATACTTCTGTTTTTGTTGAAGTTCCGAAGAAACTCGGCTTGCCTAAGATAAAGCTTAAATATTCTTCATAATCATGTGCAGAATTTTATATTTACCCGCGTTAATATGAAGTCTCTATTTATTAATTCTTGTATAGATAGCTTGTTTTAAATATTTCAATAATCATCACATTTCTTAATGACGATAATAGCATGAATATGTATAACAGACGATAATGTCCAGAATCATCAATATTACATTCGCAACTTTCTACGAAATGCTTGGTACACTAGCATATAACATCACATACTTATCCATTGAAACGAAAAAAGCGTTTGTGTGCATTAGTGACATATTGTTTTTTCCTATCATCCAGTTCAACAAAAAGATAAACCCATTTTTTTTATTTTGCCTTTTTTTGCCCTATTACTCTGAGAATAGCTGTCTAATTCGAGTTCGAAGATAAATGGAGAAACGAACAAGTTAAACTAAAATTAAATCTAGGAATAGATTTAGTTTTAGTTTAACTTTCCGATATATGAGACACATGAAGCCATATATACCCCTCACTCGCACCCACATTTGAGCACTCCTCCATGGTATCCATCAACCACAACCACATTTAAAGTACCCCAGGTATCCCTCGCACCCCTCAGACCCACTCCTCACTCGCACCGCCACCCACAGTAACCCCTCAGCCCACGCTCACTCCATCTTAAACTAAATCTAAAACTAAGTATATTTCTATCGCTTATTTTCTAATTTGATGCCATGCAGCTGGATGTCCATTTATATTCGAATTCGAACTAAGCATCTCATGGGCCCTGCCGATGCTAAAGGGACAATTGAGCTTGAAAAAAACTCAATGTATCCACGAAGAAAAGCTTTAAAAGAACTGCAAAACGAAGGAAGCTCATGGCAGCCTTGAACATTCTTAACATTCTTATCCTTCCAAGAATAAAAATAACAATAAAGCTCAGGTGCAATGAGGGGAAGAAAATAAAATAAAAGAAGAGAGATAGAGAAGACAATGTAAAAGAAGAAGAATGAGAATGAGAAGAAAGCATCACCTACTGATAAGCATGATATCTTAGCAAGGAAGACAAAAAAGAGCAGAGACGATAGATGATCCGACAATAAGTTGTGAGTCTTAGTTTAGGAGATGTTCAACCATGGCTCCTTAGAATAATTTTCACGGACGACCAGTTTGCTCAGCACGAAATGGATTCTTTCTGTTTTTAACAGGTTTTCATTGATTGTGTATATCATTGAATTGATTCGATCTAACTGATTTTTCAACTGAGAATTCGTTAACATTATTTTATCGTCCAACTTATTTTTATTTTTATTACTCTGGTGATGCATTTCAACTTGTTCACTCATGGAACTTGCTCTAGTTGAGTTACTACGGTCAGTTTTCCGAATGAAATGTTTAAGTCGAGGTAGAGCAAACTTTTTGTAAATTTTTACTAGGATGAGAATCACCGCAGTACGAACAATAAGCAACAGCAGAAGTTCCCTCCACGATCTATGTGATCGAGGAGAGCCGTAGACGTGGCTTTTTATTTCCTTGTTTTTTTCGACTATTCATTTCACGTGACTGGAGTTAGCGAAATTGTTAGTAATAAATTCGAATTTATTTTTGATCTGTTTAAGCTGATTATTATGATTTACCAACATATTAATCAATCCTTGATTTTTATTTTTATTTAGTTGACGATCATCGTTTTCTTTCTCATGCGCATCCAGAGCAGATAACAATAACTTATCCAGTCTCGAACAATTGATTTGAAGATCTACGGTGCTGTTTTCATTGCGATTAGTATAACAACCGATACAGTGCGATGTTATCGATGATGCAAATATTTAGTTTGTGGAAGAGTGCGAGAGTGATATATGCGCGTTTAACATGATGATAAAATATTTTATATCGTACCATTATTATAGGAAGATGAGTATAAGTACAAGAATAAATGCGTTGGTAGTATGTTTTGTTCTGTTCTCCTTTTTCTCTTTTTCTCTTGCTTTCTTTTAATGCCACATTCTTTTTCTTCTTTTTGTCAGTGTGACCTTAATAATTGTAGTTACTTGAAGCTACCAGGGAACCGTGCAAAACAAAGAAGATCTTCGTAGCTGTAGTGGATGACTGAATCTGATGTCTCATGAGTTGCCATCCAAGTTATTGCTTGTTCTAGAACATTTCTGTGAGATACGAATCTTTTTGATCTTCTAAGACAACGAATCGAACTCTCACCCTCTTGCCATTTTGATCTACATCCGTTCAGATCCGATTGTTTCTATAATAAGTAACCATCGTTGGAATTTTCCAGAGCTTTTAAATATTTTCCCCATTATGCATAACAATAGTCATCTAGATGTTTTTCATCATACATCGATGCAAATATTAAATCCTCCTAACGCTGCCAACGATATGCACGTTTGAAAAGTATGAAATACAGATGATTAAGACTTGTGCGCTGTAATTCAGTAAATAATGGGAATAACCCAAATAGCCATGCGAAATGTGATAGGACGAAAGTAGAAAAGAGAATACGTCTGAGATGTGTAGATGATGTGCCACTTATTCTGAAGAAGTTCACTAAGGCAGTTCGTTGACGAACGAGAAGTTTCGTCTTGTTGATGATATTTCCCTAGCCTAACTTCGTCGAAAGCCAGCATCTCAAGTACTTAAATGAAGTGATCCATTTCACTTTGTAGTCACCACAATGCAGTTGAGGTAGGGGATTCGGATAACTAGTCGCTCTTGCTGAGAACATGGCTTGTGCTTTTGGATTAATTAATCGGTTGTACAGCTAGTATTGCATAGAATTCTAGTTGCTCAAACAACGTGTGTAAACGGCATTCCAGGTGTTTGCGTTGATTTTTAAATCTGTTTCCTATTTGACCGGTTAGAACTGCTGACAGATCATCCGCAAAGAAGAAAGACATTGCACCTGGCATAAAATCACCCATATCGTTGTGATATGTAATAAATAACGTCGGTGTAACACTAGAGCCTTGGTGACCACCACGATTAATTTTGATCCATCTTGAAAGATTGCCATGAACCTCAATCACTGCTTTACGATCACTAAGTCAAGCTCGAATCTAATTGACGAAAGCTGTTGGAATTCCCATCCTTGTAAACTTCCCAAGACACCCTTCGAACCGTAGCTGATCGAACGCCGATTTAAAATCTACAAAGGCAGTCGCAGTTAGAGAGCTGTTTGGCATATATGATGATATATGTTCGATGAGCAGAAATTCACGTGTTTGTAATCTAAATCCAGCACGAAATCCCGATTGGTTACCTGGTAAAATACCCCAGTCCTTTAAGATTTTTAAAAATCGATTATGAAATAATTTCTCCTGTACTTTCAGAAAAGAATCGAGCAGAGAGATTGGTCTAGTTTGCTCCGGTGTGCACACCACATTTTTCTTTGCTAGCAGTATCATTCTAACCTCTTTAAATTTCTTTAAAATGTAACCTTTAGTAAAAGAATAGTTGCATAGTTGTACCAGTAGATGCTAATAGTTTTGTGATATTTTATCAAGTATAAATGGTGAAAGTCTATGACTGTCAAGAGACTGTTTTTTCTTTCTTGAACGTAAAATATTTAATATTTCTGGATAAGTTACCGTCGGTATAGGTTCAGCTGCATTTTCCCATTGTACTGGAGGAGCATCAACATACGGGTGTCGACGTGTCATTACAGGTGCTTCAAATAATCTTTTACAATGATCAGCTACCATATTGGCCATTATTTGCGAGTCTTTTATAATTTCACCACTTGAAGAGAAGAATCCTTTCAATGATGACGATACTTGACGAAGATGATTTTTTGTTTTACTCCGAAATAGCCCAGATGTTTCACCTGGAAGGTGCATTTCTTTTAACTGTTTGACTAATTGTTCCTTGTGGAAACTTTTTAACTCGAAACGTGGTAAGTTTCGTAGACGACGAGCTTCTTTTCGTAGTTCAATATCGCTCTTTCGCTTAGCTTTGAACGATAACGAGCGGCTCTGAGCGTGTAGTTTGACAAGGTTCTGTGGAATAGATGGTCTAGCATGGTTAAGAAAAATGTTTCGTTGAGATCTGGTCTTGAGTAATGTAAGAAAAGAGGTAAACCTCTCATAAGTTATATCAGAAGACTCTTTGTTCCATTTTCCCCCAATAATCAAATATGTAAGATAAAATTAGAGTGAAAACAGGCCATATTGTTCTGGATTCTTCGTCTGTGGAGGTTTTGTTCCCAACCAGTACACCTAAAAGAGATTTATGATCACTAGTGGTATCACCTTCATAAGCTTGAATTGTTAGATCAACACAGATTGACGCAGCATAATCAATAGTTCGACCAGAACGAAGTGATGTATTGGAATCAGGAACTACCGGCCCAATGCAGCATGAATCCATCCACTCGAGAATTGTATCTGCTTTTTCACCATCTTGTTCAATATCAATATTAAAATCACCCAAGATCATACAACAGTTGGTAACTAATGGAGGGAGGTCTGTTCAATTCCACGTTTTACTCTTTGGAGCATACATAGTTAAAAGTCTAATTGTCTGGTCGAATTGAAGATCGAGTGCATAAATGTTTGACAATGAACAGGATACTCTAATGGCTGAAATATTTTTACGCATCATGGCAATCACACCATCATGTGCACTTTCACCACTTTGATAAAATACATTATGGTTAGATAGTGCAGTACTTATTAGGGCGAAATCAACACGTCCTACTTCGCCTAAGACTATGACGTCAGAAAGATGCTGTTTGACCAGGAGACAGACTTCTCCCCAGCGTAGATCGAGACCACGAATGTTGAAGCAAAGAATATTTAAAGAAGAAGAAGAATATCCGTGTCGTTCATTTTTTCTTTGATGTTTTTTTCATTTGAATTCTAATACACTGAGAGAAGATGCAGCATGTCACTCGTCGATAATAACCTTAAGTAAGCAAAAATCTTTTGAAGAAAGCATAGTTTTAGCTTGATCTGGAAAGAGGGTTAATTTAATGTTATATTTATAATGATGATTAACATATTTATAATTATCAGTGGTTGGATTAATCATAGCGATGGTTTTGATAACGATGCCATGGCTTCAATCAATGTTTTAATTTGTTCTTGACAGTACGGTTTATGTTGTTGTCCTTGTGAACTTGGCGGATCTAATAGAGTTGTGCATATGTTCTGAATGATCTTACCAATCCGTCCTGAGAATTCCACAATTTTCTTCTCCGTTTCTTTCACCTTTACTTCTATTACTATAACTTGTTGTTTCGTTTCATTGCAGCTGTTTCTCATTTCTTGCTTAAATTCTTCTAAGGATTGACGGGTTACATTGGATTCTTCTTCCATTTTTGTTAAGACACTATCTAGTTAGTTTTTTTAGGTCTACTTCATTTGCGTTTGTTGACATCGTTTTAACCATGTTGGCATAAGATTCACCATGAGTTGTTCTAGCAGACGAGATAATACCGCTACGAATAAGGCCAGTATTAGAATTTGCTGTGTTTACTGAGTCTAATTTTGAAAGAAGATTACGAGTGAGAGCAATTCGATAATCCTGTACTACTTTACATTTTTCATCGTTTGAAATGTGTGATCCACCACAATGAATACATTTTAGCACGCCAGAACATTGAGGATCCTTTAAGTTTGCACATTTTTCTCCACAGGTTTTACATGTTGATTCACTTCTGAGGACAATTCTTTCCAAAAATGTCCTATTCCGTAACAGTTTGAGCAAATCAATACATTGGCATGTGTAAAAGAACTCGACAACTTTTAGTTTTAAATGCATGATCGAGATTTTATTAGCTTCTAATATGTCATTGTGTGCTTTCGCCGATAAAAATTCTAGTTTAACTGTTCGTACTAGTTGTTGTGCTTTATTTTTTAAACGTATAATGTCTGCTATGCCCGGATATTTTATTTTAGTTCATGTACGAAATCCTCCCATTCAATTTGTAATGAGACAGCAGGAATAACCAACGATAGCTGTGGAGGAGTTGATGAATTTTTTGTTGTAAATTCTTGCCCGGCAAGTGTTGTAGGCCAGTTATTACGTTCGTACAGGAACGGAAAAGATTCACTGTTCTCGACGAAAATAAGAATCCAACACTCATTATTTTCAGAACGACCACGTCGATAGGCAACAGTTTTTAACTCAAAATGACAATTATCGCTTGCATGCTTAGTTAGATCGTCGACGACGATTTTTTCACGAACTTGTTGCGAGAAGATTATCGAGAACGGTGAGAACGGAAAACGAGATGTAGCATATCGACAAGCGGCCATTGAAGGTTGCTGATTATTGTATGCTGATTCTGCGGTGTTTCTTCCTTCTGTGATATCATAAGTAAATTGGTCGTCACAATTTTGTTGCCAACTTTCTTTTTGCTGCTGATTATATCCACAATGACGCTTGTTAGGTGCATTACGAGAATTAAAAATACGAGCTGTCTGATAATACTGCGGTCGTTCTTGTACATTCAATTCCGAAACACCACTGGTGTCATTGCGACCTCTCTTGGTAGTAGCAGATATTGGTGTTGATGAAATATTAAGATTAGTCATTGATGAAGAAAGCATAACATTAGTATTAACACACGGATGATAATAAGACATTAATGCTTGTTGTGGATACATGCTGGAATGTAACATCGCTTGTTTCACATAAGCAGACGGAACGTTACTAGTTAATGGTACTTGTAGCTGATAATGTTGATGTTGATTTACTATATGGCTTGATGAATATTGATTAACAATTTGACTGTTTGCTGTAGGTTGAACACACACATAAGATTGAGGCACTCTGAACGGTTGATTTAATATTGGAGCCATGCCATAAACAATTTGTTTTTCTTTCAATGTTTCATAATTATTAAAACAAGAAGTATTATTTGACATTGTAATTGGTCCCAGATTATCCTCCGTCCTATCAACTGTTTTCTGTTGTTCAGCTAAGTTAAGTGGATGTCTACTAGACGAGGACATTTACCACTCGAATCGAAGGTTACAACCTTAGACTCAGTGACAATGAAAGAGAAAAAGAAAAAGAAAAGAAAGAAGCGGAAAAGCAGTACACAACAGACAAGAGCAGACGCGTCTTATCACTAGTACGATAGGAGAAAGAATGACAAGAAGATACATTCTTCTGAAAGCAAGTATCTTCTTTACGAAGTAAATATTGCTCAATATGAAAAATTACATAGATACGTGTAGTAATGTGTAGACAGCTTTGTGATGTATCATCAAGTTTTGACACCACAATGATGAATGGCTAACTACGTAGCAGCATTAAACAACTGCAATACACCTAAAAAATAAACTGACATAAAATGGGTTTGATGGTTTGTCAGTATATGTAGCATAGTAAGAAATAACTCTGTAAAACTTTGGTGCAATATCCTGCGTAAATATTCCTTCATGTTATTTATAATAGTATTATCTAATACTATGTAATCGGATTTAAGCTGTTTTGATCACTTCACTAACTTATGTTTCAAACAAATGATTCAAACATTTGCTCTAATTTGATGCGAAAAACATATCATGTGTAGTATTTGCAGTTGGATCTGATGAGTACGCAACTTAAGTTATTGTTATGCTCCGTTTTCATATTCATTGATAATCCTAAAAGAAGCATGTATATGTTGTTGGAATGCAAAAGTGTAAACCATCTATTTGACCATGAATTTTCTCCCAATGTTACCTGTCATTTCTGATAGATGATACAATTTTCAATATTGCTGATGTTGGAAGGTATTGTTTTTAACGAGAAGCGCTAGATATATAACCTTCTTTGATGCAGTTGTTGTAAGCAACATGTCGAAAACGACATGATCAATAAAGCTGATTTGTATAAATAAACTGTCAGTAAGTTTATTAAACTATTTTTGGATTGAATCACGGCAAACTCTGACATTAGATTGCTTTTAGCACTTTTATCTTGAATTAGAGGATATTCAAAAGTTTTCGAACTTGTTCATTTTTTAAACCATTAAATAATGACAGCGATCGCAGTTTGTTTGAAAAAATGTTTGTAAACTTTCATGTTACATAGTGATTTGTCTAGTGTTATAGCAAAACCATTTCGACTTAGTAATTTGATTAACTCTGTTGCGATGAATGAGAGTGAGTAAATCATTCTAGATAATTGATACATTTATTCACTAAAATTGTACCCACTATAATTATATATTCCAATGTCTCTAAGAAAAGTAAATCAGATTCTAAAGAATTAACTTACCAATGCGCAACTTTTCGTTCATCGAAATTCTTTCTTCAGTTATCCTCTCTTTTGGGCTATATCTGATATTTCGACAAGAAGAACAGAATTAAAGATAGGCACTAGCGCGCACTATCAAATAATCGGATTTGCCCATGTTGTTGCTATGCTTTGCTAAACAGGATTGACCACATCAATGTTCACATGTGAAATGGTTTTTCTAACGAAAATGAATTACTGTGAGCAGTTTTTTCCCTTCGAAATACGATAAGCAAGATATGTATATACGGGTTGCAAGCATTCTTACGTCAGTTTTCCTCACACTACGAGCACACTCGACAAGAAATACCTGACAGGTTTGTAGCAAATGTTATATTAAAAGTCTCGACGATCTCATTTCGTTCGGTTTCCTTTTATGGTGCACTCAAACGTATCAGTAAAATATAGTTAGGTTCGGTAATGGAAATTTATTATTTCTCAATTTAAAAAGTGCATATCTCCACTACAATTAATTAATTTGATTATACTATCAACATACTGTAAATATTATTATATCATGTTAGATTGATGTTGGCGTTTCAACCAGCCTCGCATTCCTTCAGAATCTTTTTTTCAATTCATCAAGCTGGTATTTTTGTTCATCTATCTTTGCTGTGCCGACAAGAAGGATAGAATATGATGTTATAATCATTTCAATTCATTAGCTAATAATTTTTAGTATAATAATTGGAAATCAACAGAAATTAGTTGTTAAATAATCAAATTAAACTTATTGTAGGTCAATTTGGTAATAAACAACTTAAAAGTGAAGTGAATAGAAACATAGATACATTTCTTTTTGATTGTAAAGCGATTAATTTTGTCAACTTTGATTGTTTTTTAAATTTATTGATACCAGTATTTATTGTGAATTCATTAATTCTAGTGATGACTAAAAGAGAATCACGAACCAACCAACCATCTCCGAACACATTCAATGACAGACGAGATATGAACAACGAATCTAGAAAAGCTGCTTCACAGAATGCTAAACATGCGAGCGGTATGGCTAGAAGGCAATAACCAAATGCAGTGACACATATGCTCGAAGTGCGGAATAGGTTTGCCACAGGCCAATACGTGAGACAATACGAATATAATAATCAGTATGGCCAACAAATATCGATTCGAGAAGATCTAGCAGTACACTATCCAGATGGTAGAACCGGGGCCACCTCATTTTAACGCTGGTCCATCCAGAGGAAAACTCAGCCAATATCATAGTTTTCCGGGAAAACAAAAAATAACGTTCATTTGATTTAGTATTTGCGTCATATTTTCGTGTTAATCTAGATATGTCTTAATTTTGATTTTAAATGACGTAATCAGTTTTTACATGAATAAAATTGAGCCCGATTTATTTTCGAATATTTGAAGAACAAGACTAATTAGTAAACAAAGGCTCCCGGACGAGTTGCAATGTGATAAATCGTATCAGAAATTGTGCAAAGAGCAGATAAATTACAAGGAGCAGCAGTTTTCCTCAAAGCTTAATGAGAATTGAAAAAGTTGTATTATCTCAGAAATATTTAAAAAATAATTCTTTTATATCATTTCGATAAAACATTTTGTAAAGAAACTGTATATGCGAGTGTAGTTTTTCTTGCAACTGTCGCTATCACTGCTACGGGTCTGCCCTCACATATTCTAATATCATTTCTGTTTTATCGATGTGACGTCATTCTTTACGTATTATGATATATCTCTTTCTTTGGTGCAATATCTTTCGATCACATTATCTTCTTTTTCTTGTATTCGTTTTCTCTTTCGTTTACCCTGGATGTGCGGAACGGACATATATATATACGAGTGTTTCTTTCTGTTCTAGGTGGTCTGATTTAGTGTAGTCGTTGTGTGTATGTGTATCCGTACGTGTTAAGTAGTGACTTAATAAAGAGACGGGGCCCAAGTGAGCAAAAGACTGGTTAAATGACTAGTCTTTTTTCTAGTCGTGTCGCCCCGTCTCGACTAGTCTTTGTCTAAAAAAGTGCTCGTCTGGGACTAGTTCGAGGTTTTGACCGTCATGCATACGCATCCTAGTACTCTGATTGACGACTAATCATAAAATCTAATAAGAGTAGTGGTGACGAGTGTCCCTGTCGCTCGTCCGAAAATGGTTTATGAATGAAAAATTAAGGGCGTCTGGGACGAGTATACAACCAGCTGTAGCCTTATATAGTGGACGAGTCTGGACTAGTCTGAATGGAAATATGTAAGGATGAAGATTAGATTCGAACATGTATACAATGTGACACTTACCCATCGCCAGAACCATTGAGCGATATGATCGAGAAGTCATATTCTGCACACTCACGAACATTCTAAGATGCTATTTAATACAATTTTTACTCCAAATTTTTAATTTTATGTATCAATAAAAATTATCTTTTACCGAAACGAAATTACTTTAGATAGCGTTAAATAAAAATAAATTAAGAAGATTTCATAATTTTTTCGACAAATATATTTTGATTTATAAGCAAGTGTGATTAATTAGTTGGGCTTTAAAAATATTAATTTGAGTATAAAAATAAAATTTATTTATTCCGGAAAGAAACTAGATTTTTTCATACTATTTTAATTTAATTTCATACTCAAATCTCCGTACATTGTACATTCATCCAATAAATAAATTATCTTAGCCTAATTTAGAATTATTACAATTGATATTTAGCATAAACAAACATTATATTTTAATATGAAACGATTTAGGTGCTTCTCAATTTTTTTTAATTACTACCTATCACAATTCAAAAAAAAATATAAATTAGCACTCCTAGATGCGAGATCAATTTTGTTGTTAATACTAACCTCTGCTATTTTATGTTTTGTTACACTCTTGAACTTTTAGCATATAAGATAATGCAAAATAAAATAAAATATTTCAAGACAGGAATGCACGCAACATATTAAATCTTTTCGAATGCACTATTGATTACAGCAGACGCTCTAATTGCCCTTCTAGCTAGAAAAAAAATTCGGTGAGCATTGAGTAAAATAAACACTTCTTAAAAAAGGACTAGTCATGACTCATGAGATGTCCAGAAGATGCTTCAGACCAGTCCTAATAGCTGTTGAAGACATTTCAGACTAGTCAATACCGTTTACGTCGATTTGTTTCTGATTTTCTATGCATGGATGGGAGTCAATAAATAAGTTTAGACCATATATACTTACGGCAGTCTATCTCAGTGTCCTAGTCTGCCGTCAGGATATCCGTCATATCTCGAACACTGTCGGGTTGGATGTTCAAATCCACTGTGCAACCTCTTTTTTAATCTTCTTACTAGTCTGGACTGGGTCAGCAGACAACACGGACTAGACATGACTGGGTTCAAGGACATTTCAGACTAGTACATACGTGTTTGTAAGACACTCCTCATTAAGCTGACTAGACTTGACGGAAGCTGTGAACATTTCTGACTAGTCATGTCGGCAGTCTCCCTTCATTTTTTGCTTACGTGGACGAAGAACAATATCAACCCCTAATAACCACCCACATCCGAACTTTTACACACAAAATACATAGACTCTGCATATTCGATGCCACAGTGCAATCCTTCAGTGAAGACTATATGAAAACTCGCGATTACCGACGAGATCTTCCTCTGCCCAAGATATTTTACAGAATTGCGTAAAAGGATTGAAAAATTTCATTGTGAAATATTTTGGAAACAAGTTACAGAAACTTTATTTTATTTTTTTGTCGACTCATTGGTTCGTCTCTCTTGACCATATGTAGGATATTTGATTAAAAGTGTGTGCTTTTCTTTTTCTTATCAATTTGCAATCTTCTAATGGCTAGTACCGTGATATTCCATGGATGACACCTATACTTACTGATTTTTCAATTTATTTCAAAAGATTTTTAGTAGCATCAATTTTAATTGAAAAATTATTTTGCTTTGGATCTCAGTGTTTATTTAAGAATTTGAAAGGCATAAAAATATGCTTATAATTTGTTGTTATAGAATTCGAATTATATTTTGAATGAATACGGCGTTTTCTCTACTCATTAGTGTAGGAAATCGTTCAAAGAACTTGTGATTTTTGTAAACATCTAATTGATACAATTTACATTGTTTCTTTCTTTATTGATCTAAAAAATAAAGATAGATTTCGGAAAGTGAATTCCTACATCGATCAATATTGTATGATCAATCAAATTCGATTAACTAAAATAATTCCCAATTATATTCTACCATTCACCAGTCTAATATTGAAGTTTCTTTTTCAATGGAAATTTAATGCATTTCTATTCTATAGGCTTCATATAATATAGTTTTCCCATTCTTTTATGATTTGATTAATGAAGAATTGGACGCTTTTTCATCTGGTCATAATACGAATTGCTGGCTGATTCGCATGTGTTTATCAATTAGCTCTATCTTGTGTACAACTTTATAATACTAATATGTTCATGTTAAAACGTACGTTTGTCTTCCTCTGGAAAAAAACTATAAGTATAATTCCAGTGGGATCAACTTGTGAAAACATAATGTAAGAGTTTTTTCTAATCAAATAGAAGTTTTTTTTTTCTATCTATTTTTGGGATAGATTTGTTTACCATCATATTACTTCATCCTCGAGAAAATCAATAAGTAATTAGTGTATTCATGATAACGAGACAGCATTGACGCACAGTCTGCTGAAAACTCAGAGATCTTTCTTCCATATTTCAACACCTCATATCATACTTTGAGCACAACGAGTAGCGCATTGATAAAGTCTGTCACAGCTAGAATTTTCTTCGTCAAATTATATTCCTAATTTAAAAGATGTTTTTCTCGTTTGAGTTTAGCACTTGCTCGAAACGTACGAGAGATATTATCTATTGATTAATACGCTCTATGAATTTCTTAGACCATATATGCGATGATGTTTTGATAATTAAGTCATAATTAGCTATTACATGTCAATTACTCGAGCAGAAAAGCGCTTGGAAACATGTGTTGAAACGCACGAATTAGAACTGCGATTGTGAGTCATGCGCGATGCTTAAAAAGAAAGCCAGAAGTTCTGCTGTTTATTAAGATAAGTTTGTACTTTCAGAACGTGAAGACGAGAAATAACTCTAATTGTTAGCGTTAACACTCGCTTTTATTCAAGAATTTCAATGACATGTTCCTTCATGCTAAAAATTAGAGTTGTTCTCGATATTCACACTTTGGAAGTGACAATTTTATCTGAAAACAAATCGCACTTCTAGCATTTTTTATTCATCAGAAATGTTTGACACTGACCGTACTAATTAGAGCGTTGGAATAAGTATTTCCACCTTTCTGTCTGCTTGATCATACTCTTTAGGTTAATTGCTCTTGGATCTAGTCAATAGAACACTCTTAGATCTGACCTGAACCTGAGATTAACTTGACAGAAGTTTAACGTGCTGATGCGTTATTGTTTTTAATAGATTTATTTGAATAGAACTAGGCATAAGTGTTGAGAGTCATTGTGTTATTAGTTTGCCGCTGTTAATTGAATAAACAATGTGTTTCTAGCTCAATTCAGTTGAACTAGAATATCTCTAATAGATCAAACAATTGTTTTATTCTTCAAAACAATCTAACAATCAGTTTTACATGCAAACAAAAAAGCAAAGCGAAAATAAAAACAATAGTTTTACAATAGGCACACGGTTAAACAAGCAAATGATTATTCTTTATTCTGATACTCAATAGGCGATGATGTTTGTTGATATTGTTTTATTATTTGGCAGTGATCATATTCTCGTCTGCTACATAAGTCTTTACATTGAAGGATAATTGTTCGTGCTTTAATAATTCGTTTTCTTAAATTTTCCATACTTGTTCGACTGCCAGCATACGATCGTCGCATATCATAACGCATATCTTTAATAATTTGTAGTAACAACAAGTATTTTTCAGCTAAAATAGTTGACTGTGGTTTAATTGCTATTGAATGAATTGAATGAGAAGAAGGATATACATGATTCTTTGTTATCAATGAATAACGTAAACGTTTTGTTGGTGTTGAATTCATTTGTTGTAAATTATATTTAAATAGCGCGAATTTACAGTAATGAACATTGTTGTTTGTCACGATATGGATTGTCTTTCGGCGATTGAAAACCCACGACTAGTGCATCACTTGATTGATGATCCGTAACATAACGAACAAGATCTTTGCAAACAAGTGATACTTTAATACGATCGCATCGTGCTTCTTCACGTAATTGGTCACATATGCGACGTTGGCTAACAAGTAAGTTTTGTGAATGATCTTCAATGAAGAAGAAAAATCAAAATCAAAATCAAATAATAATCGAAAACTAAAAAAATGAAGACTCGTATATCAGCGATGTAAATTAGCTATTTAGAACTCAAAAACAAAACAAAAAGGGGAGCAGTTCTCATGCATGCCAAATTAAACGAGTTTGAAAATATACTCATTTTTATTCCTTGTGAAAACTTCCGACTTTTCATTCTTTATGAAACAAATGCTACTAAGAATTAAAATTAATGCGCGTGTATATTTTTCCGCTCTGTTGAAATAAAAGAAACAACAATGTGTAAAACTTACAGTCAGGCGCATACGATCGAGATGAAGTAAAATTGTCCGATACGCGTCGATTTGGAACACTATCTCGATTTGTGGTTAATTGGTTGCTTGCGTGACTGTTATTTTGGTGGGCAGACATGTGAAAGGTTATATAAAATTATAATAAATTTATTCTCTAGCGATGTTTATCATAAATTTTGGTTTGTTTCACTTAGATTATGAAGAAATAATTTTGATTATCAATAATTGAAGATCAATATAATGTATTGTTTCCGTTTGTCTATTGAATAGTTGCAGGTATGTAATCAAAATGTCGGGTACAAATTTTGGTATTACCAGTTGGAAATGCCAAAAACGACTTTTCTTCTATCATGAAAAAAAGCGAATAGCTAGTTAGAATGGTATATAAAGTAATAATCAATAGGAAACAGAAAAGAAAATGCGAGAAGAGTTTTTCCTCTGTGTCCTAATAAGGCTATTTCTTTTGAAAAAGCTCGAGGACATGTTCTCCTCTTACATTTTTCCTGTCTGTTTTTCTTCTTCCTTTCTGTTCTCAAAAAGCACTTTGATAATGCGTAATGCAAAAGTTTTATTTCTTCGATATCCTATTGAAGAGGCATCGGATAATGACAAATCGTTGCTTTTTTAAACGAACTCGACGATGTCATCTTCTAAAAGCTTAATTTTTCGATTGTTCTCGTGTAAGATTTTGAAAACAAAAAGAAAGTATTTAACTTTTATTAAACAAGAAATCATTCTAAATAAAAGAACACAGATGAATCGGCTATTCAAAATTGTATCGATGACAGTTTTCCGAAAGATTAATTCTAGTTCGTTACATCTACGAAAAGTATTTTTCTATATCTGAATTGGATCGAAACACTAATTATCAGCCACTGCTTCGAAAACTACTATAGTTAGACGACTAATATCTCATAAAAAAAAGAGTCGTAACACTCAGTTTTATAGAGACCCAATGGAGCATTCCAATGCGTATGATTATCATTAATCAACATTTTTACTGCAACTGAAAATTGAAGGACTCGCTGTCAACTCAACCAATGCGGGTCAAAATCAGCCTGATAATCTTTCTTTCTTAAAAGAAACATGATTAAATCAACAAAAAACTCGCAGTAATCTTGTAATTGTACTCAGTCGTCGAGCAAGCAGGAACTCGTATAGTTCGACTCCTCATAATGCACTTTCATAATTTATGATCAATCAAATGTGAATGTAGGTTTTCTTGTGAATCGATGTGTACTGTGTTCAAGCATTTAAAATAATTATTTGATGACAGAAAAAGAAATAATTTTGATTGAAATAAATTGCAGTAAACTAATTTCTAGAAGCCATGACAACCTTTCTTTAGATATCGAAGACGATGAAAAACCATTCTTGTGCAAGTTTTAAATCATCTACAAATAATAGCTACGACGATAGGCCTTAATGGAATACGAGAACAGAGTACACCAGGTTGTGATTCTTCTTCTTTGTTAGTGATTGTATATAAAAACAAAATAAACTAGACATGAAGACAAAAGAAGAGGATAGCATGCGAAAGAATCACTTGAAACTTCTTTCCGATAGGAATATTGAATAGAATAATAATTGTTTTGAGTAGAATTTAGTCTATTTTTGTATGATCTTCAACATCATGTTAATCATTCAACAAAAATAAAATATTCTTATCTATTTAATATGAAGAAAAGAAATATTGTGCGATACTATTCATAATTAAATGTTCTACGTCTGCTTTTATTACAATAGCCGCAACTACTCGTAAAAAAATGTAAACCAATATGACAATGTAATGATCATGAAAATAGAATTATCTGTATTTAAGTGTATTTTGACCTAGTCGACGGATTTTCAATAATTAGTTCATGTTAAATATGAATATAAAATAGGATAAACGAACAATATTTTATATAAACTGGGATTATCTTCTACCCGAATTTACTGTACCCATCGGATTATGCACTTCAGCACCTTGTGAATGTATCTAAAACGTATGCCTATGTAAATGAAATCATTGCGGTTTACAAGCACTATTTCTGGCAAAAGTATATCCATTAATTGATTTTTTAAATTTAATAAATAACATTATTTTGTAAATTATCTTCAATACAATAATAAATATCAAGTATTCATGAGCGAGTTAAATTTATTAGACGTAATTTATCTAATGAGGCATTATTTGGCAGCTATCGCATGTCTAAACCATTACATGTACGAGATTGAAAGTTATAAAGAAATATTTCTTTATTAACTGATCGTTTTGATATTTAATTGCAGTCAATGAATGCTACTAATTCTTATATTTTTATATCCATGAAAAGAAAATGATTATATTGTCCCTAATTTGCAAAAGTCAATTTCTGCCAACACTCGTCTTATTTGAGAGCAATTGTGTTTTGAATTTCCAAGGAATTACACATGAATTCACTGACTTTTTAGAATTGAGTTTTCTTCTTCTTATAATAATAAAATATTGCCACTACAAGTATCGTACTCCTTAAAAGATTCTTATTACCAAAACATCACATCGGTACAATGGTAGAAAAAATACGGTCTGCATAAATAACCTTTGACATGGGAAAAATGAGCGAATCCGTTTTTGTCTATAAAACTCCATCGGATGATTATTGTAATTATGCGTTCAATCAAAAGCATTCATAATTATTTCCGTTAATCTTATGCAGCTTGTTCTACGTAGAGACGTCAGTAAAGTCATTTATCTGAACGATTCCAATTTTTAGTACGAGCGAAAAACTCGATGTGGTACGTTCGGTTCATCGTAGAAAAATAATCATTATTTTTCGTACCCTGAAAAAGCGAAAACTCTTTTTTGTGAAAATTTCGATAAGAAATATAAGATCGTAACAGTTGTGATTAACCTTGAACCATTCGTTGATGTTCTTCATCAAGCAGCTAATTTCATAGGAAATATTCCGCTAGATCAGTATTTTTGTTCAATCATAAAAGAATACGTTTAATTCGTAGCTTTATCATCAATTCGAAGAATTATTACCGAATGTTAGTCAATATCGATAGACAATGATTTTTTTTTAATTATGCTGAATTTCACTCGTGACATCCATACATTTTTTTGTGATTTTTGTGAGCGCTTACGAAACAAGTCAACAGATAGGACTACGATAACAAACAGACAACGAATGACAAGGAAGAGAAAACGAATAGAACGAAAATCGAAATCGAGGCAGTGATGACGCGGTTGGTTTGCATGGCTGTTCTTCCTTTGTTTATTCGTTCGATACCGTATATCTTGATTCCGAAGACGCCGAGTCGGGGAAAGGAATCGAACCTTCTCCTGTCTGACTAAGAATCAGATACATAGAGCCACTACGCCAGTCCCAGCAGTAGACAATGATTAATAATATTGTTGTATATATTAAGCATAATAAAATTTTTCTATTAGGATCATACATCGCAGCGCTTGTCAGAATTCCAGCGAAAAAATGATTTGCAAAGCACGTTCCCCGCGGGATTTATCAGGACACTGCGATGTATGATTAGGAACTACCGTCAAGAGAAAATCACGTTTTCTATTGATCAATAAATATATTGGTTCACCATGCCAAATAAATGGTGATATTAATAAATCATGTTCCTAAGTAAGACGATCAGGTTCCAATGATAAATCAGAGCTGCACAAAGTACTGGATGGATAAGCAAGAAATCCATAACGAAATGAATATTAACTTTCTTTTAGTACTTGTATGACATAGAAAACCCCGTGTGACGACAGCAACGTCACTGATCTTGTCTTGATGCTTGTTATATCACGTATGTTTATCTCTCCTCTGTGTTGTTCTCTCTTGTTGTTTATTGTCGCGCTTGTTATTTTCAACATAGGCACATTTTTTCGTTTTTCGCGCTTAGACTCAGAAAATGAGACATATAATTAATGTCTTGTGCGAAAGTTTCTGGACAAAATGTTCGTTCATTTTCCGATCAATTGCAAGAGTTAGCCAAATTTTAAAAACATTGTATTAGAATCAAAAGTTTGTGTTCTCTCTGAATCTGTGTTCAGAATTTTTGTGAGGCACTCAGATTAGAAATTATACTTGAAGTTTTGAAAGGCGCGAAAATAACGTTAGTACGAAACTACATGAACTGAAAAATTTAGAGACGGAAAATCCGATCATGTCCGATTTGAAATTGATTAAATGATATTTTTTTTATTTTCTAATTAAAGAAAGCCAATATAACTTAGTTCCAGTTTCCTTTGCTTAATCGCATAGCAGTCTGGATCTTTTTCGATCAGCATTTGGGTTGTATGCACCCTCCAAAGTGAGAATTAACTTATTATATATTATCCATCTTTTTTGACAGTGTAAAGAGCATGATGGTCCTCCAGAAGCTAAGAATTGATAGTTTTTCACCAGTTTTTCAGAAACAATGGAGGTAATTTTGATATGTGAAAAATAATCATTTCCAAAAACGTCATTGAACCTTTTACTAAGACTCTTACTATTCGAAGAAGCTTCAAAGGAGACTAATTATTAGAATACAGTTTTATAAGGAAATCTTTGCTGTATCTCTTGCAGTACGTAGAGTATTTTTTTACATCTATCTTGGATTATATTTTTTGTATTGAAAACCGTCAAAACGTTATTTTCGCGCCTTTCAAAACTTCAAGCACAATTTCTAATCTAAGTGTCTTACAAAAATTCTGAACACAGACTCTGAGAGAACACAAACTTTTGATTCTAACACAGTGTTTTTAAAATTTGGCTAACTCCTGCAATTGATCGAAAAATGAACGAACATTTTGTCCAGAAACTTTCGCACAAGACGTTACTCTCTTCTTCTCTTCTAGTTTCTTAGAAGCTTCTTGATATATCTCTCTTCACTGAGATATACTAATTCTTCTTTTTCTTCTCTGACTACTACTTTTCTTCTTCGTCAAAAAGAATCATCTTTTTGATCAAATTACTTTTTTCTTTTCAACTTGATTGTTCTTTACAATCAATCTAACTCGATTTCCTCTTACAATCATTCGAACTCATGTCAGCTATTTGCTTGTGGAGTTCTTCTTATTCTCAACTATTTCTGTTCATTGAATAAACAATTGAATCTTCATCCAATATTCAATACTATTTAATTTTCATTGTTGTCATTCTGCCATAACCAATACTGTGGCATCTGGCATTATGATTAGTTGCGTCTCTGATCCTCATAAAGGCGTTACACCCCGCCCAAATGAGGAGATTTTAAAAAAAAAAGTCCGATGAAAATGAATAGCTCATTTTTCACTGGCTGAGAAATAATTTGAAACATGAGCTATTAAAATATCATTTACGCCAGTCTTAACGAATATATTCAGCATTTGATTAGTAACAGGAACAGTGTTCACGAAGAACTGTGAGCAGGGAGAACGCTGCTATGATATACGAGACGATGATTATGATTAATGCATAGGTTTGTTAAGGAAAGTTTCGAAAAAAAACAGCGAGGAGAAGATTGATACCAGCAGTTATACACTTTTCTTTGTGAGTCGCATGCTGAAGAAGGTTTCTGACCATGTGAAACTTCTGCATCTGTCGATCAACGGTGACAAGCATCATCGATCAGACTGTCTTTCCTTTTGACAGTCAAGGTTTAACTTTAATGTTTACAGTTGTTTTATGTTCTATAAATACAGCAAACATTCGAACTTTTCAGCATCTAGCAGAGGATGTAAACATAGTTTTTAGGATGAAGTATCATGACTGGGTTAAACAAAATCTCTAAAATACGAATTATTCAATTGAGATATAGCAATCTACTATTGTTTGGAATCGCCTTTAGGAGCTTCCATAATGCTATTGTATTGGATCCAAAATAAGAATCTGCAAAATCGCTGTTTCCCAGTCCTGGTCTTTATAAATCAGTATGTTTCTAAAATCGAGTAGTGTTTTTTATAATCGGTATACTTTTACGAATATATATAAAATTGGCATAAATAGCGTTGACTGGTTAACACCGAGAGCATTATTTTACACGCATGTGTCAGAACAACAGATACAATACACGATTTTCTGATTCGGATCAAATGACTCTAAAACTTTTCCGAAAGCCAGTAGTTCGTAAATGCATACGAATTCAATGAAAGTACAAATAAAAAAATGCTGTAACTGATATTTTTAGAAGAAGTCCAGGTACCGCTTTTCATAAGATTTGAGTCTAAACTTGTATATTTATTTTTCATATCCGACAAGTAAAACCTATACAATTCGAGAATTCCGATTCTTCGAAGCAACATCGTAATCATTAACGATTCTTATCAGAATAGTGAGTAGAAATAGCAGATACGATGTCTTTAATCAGATCAAAATAATTAATACGAAAGTATATTCGATAGCTTTCTTTTAATAAACACTGATCGGGACTACTTTGCAGATCTCTAATCCAAAACGTTATCGCACAGATCTTTCGAAGACATTCCCTTTTTTTTACAGACTTATCGGTTTCTCCTTAAAAATCTGATCAATTAGAATATCCAAGCTATTTATTACTTCGTTACATCCTATTACACAATTGAGATCGCTGTGGACAACAATTTTCCTAACTGATGAATGGATCACTAATTCATTTTATTTTAGTCCAATTGTATAAATATCAACTTGACCTCTCTCAGTATGTTTATTTTTCATTCAGTCGAACGCCTTGAGAACCATATGATGCGCACATTTTTATTTTATCGTTTTCTTTACAAAAGCATGCTTATAATAGGATAAGAGTGTAGGTGGTAGCTGATGATTTTGTCTTGTCTCATTCAAGCAAGGTAAAACGAGAGAGAGAGAGAGAGAAACATGCTGAAAGTCGAATCATTCTAATGTGTTTTATCAATATCGAAATAATACAGTTTTCTATTTAGTTGTATAATCAAAATCAATCATTCTGACAAAGCAGCAACTAACGATCCAGTTTTTCATCAAAGATGTAAGTAGAATGGAGAACATCTCATCTTCAAAATCATGTGGTCGAAATCAAATTGAGAGAAGTTTTACGACAAAAAGAACATTTGGAATAAATATTTACCACTGTACTTCATTTTAAAAGTGTAATAAGAAAATGACCTGATCCCTACAATAAAACTAACCATATATTGTGCTACAGATATATATGCTAAATATTTGCACTTTGAAATAAAATTTCTATCCGTCAAGAGGCCTGATAAATATACCAGATCTAAGAATCAGCATTCTTCCGATCGTCTCGCATTTTTAACATAGGAAAGTTATTTTAAGATGCGCAAATAGAAACTTCACACTTTCTCGAACAATTTTACAGAGAGAATCAATAACAGTAAGTTGAATATGTCAATGAAGACAATAAACAGACGATTTAATATACTTTTCGGACAGCGATGCATTTTCTTGTTTTATGTACGAAAACGTGTCCAATGAAGTTGACTTGAAAATCTTACAAACGACATATTTCGTAATGGGCACATTCTATTCGTAACAAATGCAAATTATTGAACAATAAATGTTACTCAAATTTCAGATTTTATCATAACTATGAGAACTCGGCACTTTCTTATCAAATTAATATGATCGGTTGTGTTGTAGAACATCAATCCGCTAAACCACTCGCACTCTTATGTCAAACGATCAACGATGAATAATGATTGTCTCGAATTTTATATTCATAAATCTAATAAGAATTCGTACTACTATCATAGTGAAAAATTTTATAAATTAGTTTCATAAAAAGTATGTTGTATGACATTTGTGCTAAAGAAAAATACATCGATATGAGTCATAAGTTGTACGGGTCGATATTTAACCATTTTTAGAGTATATTTGTTTAGACACTCATTGTTTCTATTCAAAAAAAAAGTCATAACTTTTTTCATTCTTTAAAGTAATAGAAGTGTTCGTCGTACAGAATAAAATCGGGAACATATAAATTCAGTCGTCAATCTGTTTCTAACAGAGAGAAAAAATAAAAACTCCCTTCTGACTCAACCTATTTAAGTATTGAAGAAACAAAAAAGTTTCTCTCGCTCCATCATATTTCTTCGTCGTATTTTTTTTCTTCATTAAGAATTTTGTTATTTGCGAATTCTTTTTACTACTCTCAAGAAACACAGCTCACTCTCATTGATTCAGCAGTTTTTCTTTCAATTCCTACCTGATAAACGTAACAATGGCAACTGTTCCACTAGCGAACGTAACAACGATTGAACAGTTAAGTGTTAGCAATCCATCGTATACGTCGGATCCAAATGATCCATCTGACAAACCTATTGAGGACGACGATATTCTTCCACCAATGGCATTCAATCGGCAAACTCGACCACAATCAGCTCGAACGACTCGTTCAACAACAAGTCGTTCATCGGTGAATAACCTTGACGGACGTATTGCATGTCATGACTTTCATGCGTCAAGGTATTTCTCATATCGGGTAATTTGAATATTATTGATTCGTTTTTCGTAATCACGAATCTATCTATTCGCTTTCCTACATATAGGATCAAGGATTTGAAAAGGCAATTTTTAATATTCAAAAAGGATATTTTCCTAATCTTGAATTTACACCCGAATATCGAGATGGTCTTATGAAACGATCTTGGCTATTAATTGAGTAAGTAGTTTCATTTTTTGGTCATAATTTTTATTTATCTATTTATCTCCATTCAGTATTGATCATTGGAATTTACATCGTGAAGTTATTGTTATTTTGATGGAGAATCATGTCTTAATTGTTCGTTATAATTTTATTCGAGAACGAGTTATCTATTCACAAGCTATTCTTTTTGATGATATCAGTGCAGTTACGTTTGGTCCATGTTCCTATCCAGATAAATCTCTTATGGGGTAAAAAAGCAAATTTTCATTATGTTCTATTGGTAACGAAAGATGATTTGCTATTTTTTTTATAGTGAATATTTATATGGAGGAATTAAAATTACTCATGGAGCTGCACCATCATTTTTTACACGTTGGAGTCCGACTGCTCAAACGAACGTACATATATTCGTATCACATCATTTAGCTTATAATGAAAAAGAACGTGAAACAGTTTATTACAATTGTGATGAATTTATACAATCGCTTGATATGGGTAAAGACAAAAAAAGTATATTTACAAGGTTTTCATTTTTATTTATTTCATTTCAGCATTAACTGCATATCGTCGAGCAAAAAGTCTAGAACCAATTGGTTTTGTCGAAGATAAAATTATTATTCCGAGTTATGCAAATGTTTGGTCTGTTTTATTTAATCAAAATTATTTCGGGTTCAACCGTGATCGAAATGGAGCTAAATGGTAACAATATTCTTCGAAAGAATAAAACGATCGAAATAAACATGACATTTTATTGATTATTGAGTTTTTGTGGATGTTTCATCAGCCAGTAAACTAAGCCATAAGATATTTCGATGTAACTGTTTCATATAATCAAATAAATTATCATTATTTCCTTCATTTTGTAATTCTTTGATGGTTCGAATTAACGCTGCATTTTCTCGTAGTAACTAAAATGAAGAAGCAATCGGATGATTCAATGGAAAAATATTTCTCACGATAAATTTTCTACGCGAATGACTAACTATATGATTCAGCCGAGTGAATGTCAACAGTCACATGAGAAAATTTTGTTTAATTCGCTAAAGAGTCTTTATCCGGTAAAGATTTCTTCAACAATAGACAAAGAAAAAATAGATTAGAGCGATTACATACTGCATTGGTCAGCGAAAGGTTCCATTGAAATTACTTCTTTAGATTAATATTGACTTCACAGCATAGGTAGTTAAGTCAATGATGCATGCATTTGTGCACCTATGGTATTTTATTTCGATTCTATGTTGGCTTAATTTTCGAATGAATGCATTTAAATGTTGATAAAATAGTACAAACAAAAGAATCTTGATTCTCGAGTGAGAGAGAGTGTGTGTGTAAACGTTCATTGGAGTTATTAGACAAAGAATACTACACTTTACAATAACGAGCAGTACCTGAAGAGTTGATATTTCTCAAACAAATGTTCCTAGTTAAAGAGCTGTTGCCATACACACTGAATAATCATAAAGGTCTGTGAACCAATGTTACAGCATAATCAGAATGCTACTATACGAGCGACATGAAGATAGCACGCTCTTGTGATTTGCTCAAGTTCATTTCTGACCAAATGGTACTCATATTTGAATATAGCACTTTCGCAGTGTGTGCTAAACAGGTTAGTCCTTAGGATTCAAAATCATCGATTTGTTCAGCCATTTGTGATTTAGATAAAAGCAAGATCAAGCATTCTCTATTTTGACCTGTCATTATTACTGCTTACGAAAACGATAAGACTACTATCTTGTATATATAAATAGTTTAAACAATCTGATGATGTCCTAGCTGACGACTTTTAGATTCAAGAACAATAAGCAACAGAATTATTAATCACGTGTTACTCTTACTAGTTATAAACAATGTTTAAACACACCTAGCCTACAGTGACTCGGTATTTTTTGCTTTCTCATCGTCATAACAATAAATACCATTTTGAAACAAATTAAACTGTCATTTACTCATAGGTGCATGGGTAACTCGATGATTAATGTTATTAGGTAAAAAAATTGAAGAGTAAACAAACATATGACTAATCGGTAAGAATCAATCTAACTGTATTCAGCTAAAAATATTCTCAAAATTAGGCTGCAAAACCTATCAGTGATGTTCATTCTTCAACTGCAACAAAAAACAATCTCATTTATCAGCAGATTCTCTTCTATTACACGAGCTCAAAGAACGTGACCGCAATACATTATTCACTGCGTCCACTTTCTACAGTTCATCTAAGGTTGCAAAAATAAGCAGTATGACGTAAACAGTTATCTTCTTATCATAAATAACTTATTGCGTTGTGATTAAATAATAATCGAAGTGAACGAAATTTTGATCTGCTTGTCGTCCGCGTTCATCATTAATATTTGTCGAAGGACAACAACCTGTTCTTTCTTGAAACCATCAAAAGTGAATTACGTTTTTCTAAAATTATCACGCAATTACTATGTCTATTTCTTCGACGGACAACTTTTCTAGCAGCTTCTATTATCAATTTTTTATCTTAAACTTCCGAAAACCTGAATGCATTTTGGATAGATTTATATGAAACACAATTCTATTAGAAAAATATGTTAGTCTTCATAGAGAAAATCGAAAATAATATCTGAAGTGATTCTTTCATGACTGGTAACAGAGTGTTTTTAGTCGTGATTCTAATGAGCTTAATACACTAATTATGTGTAATATTGATAAATTTATCAATCTCGATTGTAAAAAATGTTTTAGTACGCTAAACGCGTTTTCTCTATTTTTACCAATGGTGTTACTCTGAAAAATAATGTCATCATCTTATAATGGTTGGTTATCATTTACCACAAATAGAAATCCACAGACACATCTATACATCATATCCACACTTGTGGTGAATAAAATAAATATGACCCATTCTGGTGACCAAATAGGGATTTTTGATTTAGGGATTTTTCAATTTAGGGATTTTTTTTATACAATATCTTGTTCAAGTCACAACCGAACAAGGTCCCAGTTAGGGGTTCATCAATACCAGTATACTGGGTACTGGTAACACTGGTGACCAGAATCATCTCTCCGAGTTTCTAATAAGAAGAATTACGTTTCGAAATGATTCGAATGAATATTGAATATGTATGATTCTGGTAACCACAATCAGCTCTAAGAGTTTCTGATAAGCGAAATTACTTTTCGAAATGATTCTGGTAACCAGAATCTGCACTAAGAATTTCTTATAAGCGAAATTACTTTTCGAAATGATTCTAATAGATATCGAATATGTATGATTCTGGTTACCAGAATCACCTTTCGAAACGTGATTCTACTTATCAGAAACTCTTAGAGCTGATTGTGGTTACCAGAATCATACATATTCAATATTCATTCGAATCATTTCGAAACGTAATTCTTCTTATCAGAAACTTGGAGAGATGATTCTGGTCACCAGTGTTACCAGTACCCAGTATACTGGTACTGATGAACCCCTAACTGGGACCTTGTTCGGTTGTGACTTGAACAAGATATTGTATAAAAAAAAATCCCTAAATTGAAAAATCCCTAAATCAAAAATCCCTATTTGGTCACCAGAATGGGTCATATTTATTTTATTCACCACAAGTGTGGATACGATGTATAGATGTGTCTGTGGATTTCTATTTGTGGTAAATGATAGTCATTCCTTATAATAAGCAATAAAGAAAAAAAACGACAATTAGTTTTATTTAATATCAATTACATTAGTTACTGTTTGTTCGTTGCCCGGATACGTATTGGCTGTTTCTGGATCAGTTAAAAATATTTTTGACATTTCTAAAACAAGAAAGAATTTATTATTATTGTTTCAATTAAAAACACACGGACACAAGATAAGCATTAGCTAGTGTGTGACTAAAATGAAATATGTGAAGAGATTCATTACGAAATTTAAAGAAAAAATAATCAACTTTCTGAATATACAAAACATAACCACTCGGCATACTAAAATTGTGACAATCAACTTTTCTGGTCTCGGATTACGAATTTTTGAATAAGAAGGGATTTGCATCGGATGAAACTTTTTCAGAATACAGGATATTGGAAAATCGCTTTTTAGATTTAACGTACATGTTTTTTTTATTTTTCCTAAATTAATGCGACAGTAAATTTTTTTCAATATTTCATTTTATTTCTGTCTGCTAAAAATGAAATGAGTCAGATATAACAAAACAGATTAGGGTATAGATGTGGGTAATAGTACGTCATGTCTGCACACCCGTCCTTACGTTGTTTGAATATATTTAACTTAGAATAGTCAGTTATTGAGTGTAAAAAAAGGAATTATATGGAAAATAGATGTCCCTGTCAAACATTCGAAGAATATAAAAGGATCATTCCGTATCGAATCGATTTGTTTAAAGAAACACGAAGATTTTACTAAAATAAAAACTTGTCTTTAAGTCATTTTCTATAAGATAAAATAGAAAAATTGATCGAAACATTGAATTTTTATTTAAATATAGGAATTACAGAAAACACAGATCGAATTCGACCACAGGACTTTTAAGAAATATTTATTGTTGATAAGACGATGTATATTGTTTTTCTTGTTGTATTGGCATACGAGATTGATTGTACCATTGCTGTTGTATCTGATAGTTGTTTTGTTGTGGAACATAGGATTGTGAATAGGAAGGATCCATTGAATTACTATTAGGAACTTGTCCGTGTTGTAAATATGGTGCTCTTTGTTGAGATGTAGTAAATTTATTCATTGGATTCGAGTGAGATGAGACTGATGAATGTTGCTGTTCACCAGATGGATTTGTAGATGTAGGTAAAGAATATTGACTAGTATTGACATGACTAGAAGTTTGACTTGGAGTATTTGATTGAGTTCGATAGACTAAAGGTAAATATATAATTCTAGAAAATTCTATTCAACAAATATTGTTGTTACAAAAACTGTGATTGAACTAGGCGATGGTCCTAAAGAAATGACAAAAAAGGGGTGCTCCTGTGTCTTTGATCTATCATGTTTCTCCTCTCAGATTCCACTACAAACAAATTTTAAACCAGACACTAGTACTTTCTGTCCTTGAATACTTATGTTATTTTGTTGATAAATTCACTCTGACTCAAAAGAAAAGACTGATGTACAAGAAACCTTTCATTATATATATCTAGTCTCATTGTGGACTACGTCTGAAGATAAGATTTATTTCAAAACCAATTAATTACTTAATAGAGTTTTTCAGGGGGGAGGAGGAAAATATGGAATTCAAGGAAAATCTTCAGGATGAAATAGAAACGCTAGCTTCAAGTTAACCCGTGTTCTAGGCGAAAACATTTTGTTGACAAAAAAACGCATAGAGTAAGAAGACCGATTATTGTAGCTTACGCCGTTTCATAATAACGGATAGACATGTTTTTCTATAGTATAGATCGATCATGTCATATTCAAGGTTGACAACTTGATTTATATAGTTACCTTGATCAGTATTAACATGTTGTACCATATTTTCATTCTTGAAAAATTGACAATTTTAGTTCTCTTAAAAACATCCAAAAAAATCTTACTGCCATTGATTGTCGTGTTTGAACAAATGTATCAGGTGACTAAAATTAATAAAGAAATAATAGTAAAACAACAAAATGCATCTACAAACTGGTAGAGTATTTGGATGATTGGGCGGAGATGGATCGAATTGAGTTAAATAACTCAAATTCCGATATAATTCTCGTTGATATCTAAAATGATTATTAGACACAGTTGATTGTATTATTCTATAAGCACTTACTCAAGACATTCGATCTGTTTTCCTTTCGATTGTAAATCGAGAATCAATGAAATTAATTGTGAATTATCATCGAGTAACTAGAGAAAAATCTTTTTAAAATTTTTACCCAGAGAACTTAATTTACTTTTTGTAAAGAAGGTTGCTTTTTTTGGATTAATCCTCCTGATTGATACTGATGTTGAGCGTGCATCATACAAATACAAATAAATGAATATTCGATCATTAAAAGAAAATAACACGAGAAAAGAATGAGCCAATACGAATAGTATAGAGGACACCATGTATAACGATTTGACGACTAGAACAGTAATTGTTATGACATTAAATAGTTCGATCATGATGAAGTATTTTCTTCGTAAATCTCAAATTACTTTTTATTGTAATCGTTATTTATATGGAAAATCTGCTTTGGAAAATGGTCCTGATTTCGAACATTTTCTTAACTCAAATAAATCAAATGATTACACTGGAAATTTAGTGTTAAGTAAAGATCAACAACGTCTACGAATTCCACCATGGCTGAAAACAGAAATACCCATGGGAGAAAATTTTTCAAAATTAAAAAAGACAATATCAAAATTAAATTTAAATACAGTCTGCGTCGAAGCTAAATGTCCTAATATTGGTAAGAATATTTGTTTTCTCATAAAGAAGTGACCTTGAAAGGTCTATATAGAAAATTCGAATTTCATAGCTAATTTACTGTCCATGCATAGAATGCTTTTTAAAATGTTTGAATTGGAATAAACATACATCTACCTTTAGTTTTGTCAGTGTAAATATAGAGAACGTTTTTCAATCATCCATGGAATAAAATTCTACTCTAGGTGAATGCTGGAATGGTGGCGACGATCGTATTTCAACAGCTACCATCATGCTTTTAGGTGATGAATGTACTCGTGGTTGTCGTTTTTGTTCAGTTAAAACTTCTCGTAAACCTGCACCACCTGATCCCAAAGAACCAGAAAATACAGCTAAAGCTATCTGCTCGTGGGATATCGACTATATTGTTTTAACATCTGTTGATCGCGATGATTTATCTGATCAAGGTTCGTCTCATATAGCACAAACAATAAGTTTCATAAAACGGCAAAAACCAAATTTATTAGTTGAATGTTTAACACCAGATTTTCGTGGTGATAAAAAATGTGTTGAAACAATTGTTAAATCAAATTTAGATGTTTATGCACATAACGTGGAAACAGTAAAAGAATTACAAACACATGTCCGTGATCATCGTGCTAATTTTGATCAATCCTTAAATGTTCTTATACATGCGAAAGAAATAAATCCAAATTTAATTACAAAAACTTCGCTCATGTTAGGTTTAGGTGAAACCAATGAACAAGTTCGAGAGACGATGCGTCAAATACGTACACGAGCTAATGTTGATTGTTTAACATTAGGACAATATATGCAACCAACACGGCGACATTTAAAAGTTAAAGAATATGTCCGACCAGAAATATTCGAAGAATTACAGGCGTATGGTGAATCAATTGGATTTCTTTATGTCGCCAGTGGGCCACTTGTTCGATCATCATATCGAGCGGGAGAATATTTTATTAAAAATATACTTAAAACTAGGCAACAACACAATCAAGCAGCTACTGCTGCAGTGTAAATAACATGGAATTTTGTTCTTCGTAATATGGTTTTGGGAAGGGTCGTATATATATATTTTATTCAAAAAATGATTGATGATTAGTAGTCAGAAGCTCATGGCCCATTTTTTCCGAATATAAGCTCTGTTTTGTTTGCTTCTAGATATTTATTTGTAATAATTTCGTTTCAAATTCTTGGTCAATCGAACAAGTAAATCTATATTTTTAATATGTCATATAAGTGACTATCAATTCTTATTTGAACAAGTATGACAAAGTTTCAAAATGCGTTTATTATTATTGTCTCGTCAAATTTCAAAACAAAAGGAATCATAAAATGATTTTATTTTGAAAATTTTTTTTTTCGAGTTTTATCAAGCGCCCGCATTGGTTACTTATAATTTTATACGCATAGTTTTGGCTTCTTTTACTCATGCACGTTGTTTACAATGTTGCATTGTTTGAAATGATCATATGTTCCAGTAAAATGTCGACTTTGATTAACTGAAATTATTTCTTATGTGTTTCAGATGCTAATTCGACATCTCATTCGGTTAATATATCGGCGTGGTCGTAATAAATATATATATGTAGCTTTTATTATCTTGACTGTTATATATTTTTCCCATAAGACTGATAATAACTCGTTACCTTCATTTGAAACTATAGCCGAAAAACAAGAGAAAAATGTGAATGAAAAAAGAATACGCATTAACCGAGAAACATATACCATACCTGAGCCATGTGTTGGCTGTCCAGGAGAAAATGGCCAAAGTGTATCATTAACAGTAATGAAAAATAGCATAAATAAATCTCTATTTTTCTTATGTTTTTTTAGGCTAAAGAGTCACAAGGATTAGATGAAATTATGAAAAAGGAATTTTTCAATTTACGTGCAAGTGACAAAATTTCATTATGGCGATCAATACCTGATACTCGAGATGGATTGTATGCTGATAAATAATATTTAAATTCTTTGTTTTGATTCATATAACACCTAGATGCAAATCAGTCCCATATCCACTTAATATGCCGAGTGCATCCGTTGTGATTGTATTTAAAAATGAACGATGGTCACCAGTACTTCGAACCGTTTATTCAGTTTTGAATCGTTCGCCGAAACATTTATTGAAAGAAGTTATTTTAGTCGATGATCAATCAGACATCGGTAAAGAGAAATTCTAATCGGACAAAGAATATAACAGAACGAGTTTACGTTTCTTTCTATTAGAGGAAATGGGTCAACGTTTAGATGATTATTGTGAAGAACATTTTGGAGAATTAGTTCGTATTTTACGAGCACCAACAAGACTTGGATTGATTAAAGCAAAAAATTATGGTGCAAGAAATGGTTAGTTTTTGTATTGAAATCAAACATAAATATCGTCTAGTTTTTATTTCTATAGCTACCGGTGATGTTGTTATTTTCCTTGATGCTCATTGTGAGGCAAATACTGGCTGGTAAAGACGTAAAAAAAATGTTTTGTAGAAATTTCTATTAATATAATTGAAATAGGTTAGAACCTCTTCTATATCGAATTAGACAGAAACGTACAGCGATTCTATGTCCAAGTATTGATATGATTAGTGAACAAAATATGGGATATACTGTAAATGACTTTTTTTAAATGTTTGATTTATTTCAATCAGCTTTTTGCTTTCATAGGGTACTGGTTATGGAAGTGTTGGCGGTTTTTGGTGGTCATTACATTTTAACTGGGCACCTATTTCTCAAAGAACATTAAATGCACAAAAAACACGAGTTGATTCTTATCCGTACGTATATTGAATAGATTTTGTTAAGAAAATTTGACATAGTTTAAATACTCATGAGTTTGATCACTAAGGTTCAATTTAACTTATTCTGTTGATGTCAGAGATTGTTCAATGGTGATTAAATGGCTATCTTGAGTTTAAATTGTGAATTTTTATCTTTAGATCACCAACTATGGCTGGAGGTCTTTTGGCAGCAAATAGAAAATATTTCTTTGAAATTGGTGGTTATGGTAAATTATTTTTTCATAGGATCAATTCTCTTAATTTTTAAACTTTTCTCTAATTTAGACGATGATATGGAAGTAGGATTTTTCTTTTTGATTGTTATAATTTAATTCTTTTTCGCTGCTTAAATAGGTTTGGGGAGGTGAGAATTTAGAGCTCTCATTTCGTGTATGGATGTGTGGTGGTAGTCTTGAATTTGTACCATGTTCTCGTGTTGGCCATATCTTTCGACCAGGTCATCCATATAATATGACTGGAGAAAAAGGTAACGATTGAAAATTTCCATTATTATTAAATAAAAGAAAACCGTGGATTTCACAGGCAAAGGCGATGTACACGGTCGAAATTCAATGCGTTTAGCTGAAGTTTGGATGGATGATTATAAACGTTTATATTATCTTCATCGACGTGAACTTTTAGTAAGATTTATTGTGCGAAAAATGATCTAGAAATAGTATTGAAACTCAACAATAGGATATACGAAGATATGGTATTTGAAATAGATAGAGCAAAAAGAACAATTTTCATTAGATTCGAATGATCGAATGACTTTTGTTTTACATTCTAATTTTTATAGAGATCGAGATTTACTAATTGAAAATATTGAAATATTTTTAATTTCAAGGGTAAAGATTTCGGCGATGTTGAAGATCGTCGTGCTATTCGTACTCGTCTAAACTGTCATTCATTCAAATGGTATCTTGACAATGTATTTCCAGAAAAATTTATATTAGATGAAAATGTTCTTGCCTATGGAGAAGTAAACATGAACTTGATAAGCGAAATTTTCTATGCAAGTGTTTTTTTGCTTTTCATAGCTAAGAAATCCTACGGCACAATTGTGCTTGGACACATTAGGTAAAGATGAAAAAGGAACCATACCAGTATCAGTTTTTCAATGTCAAAATGGTGCGTCAGCGAATCAATTTTATTCACTGTCAAAAGAAAATCAATTACGCCGAGAAGAGACATGTGCTGTTACTATGGCGTCACAATCACTTGTTATGGGCAGTTGTCGTTTGGGTAACGAACAACATTGGACACACGAACAAGTAGAAAAACAAAATCCGTTTTTTGTTTCAACCTACATTTTTACGTTTTTTTAATTTTTATTAAAGAATGGAACCCTGGTTCATCATCCAAGTAATCTCTGCCTTGACGTCGACGGAGTTGCACACACTGAAGAAGTTAAATTGAAACCATGTGAACCCAATAAGCTATCTCAACAATGGTTATTTGAGCATTATGCAAAATAACTATTTAAAAAAAAAGAAGCATTCCATTAGCTCTATTGCACATTTTTGCTTCGTTGATTGCACTAGCACTATTCCATGATACTCTTTTTTCCTCTCTCACGAATTGTTATTATTTATTGACTTTCATTGTTTTCCTATTAATTATAGTATAATGTTCTCAGTTTATTACTAACTTTTATTTTAATACGATATACGTGATATATGTTTTTAGCTCTTGATTTATTTTTTATGTCAAATAATCAATAATAAAAAACGAAAGACAAATATTAATAATATAAAAATTTTTTGTTTTAACACATGCTCGAAGCGTGCGTGCACATGTCTGGTTAACTGATGCAATTGTTTTCAGATAGATGATGATTTCGATTTATCCCATCGGTTTCTTACATGCTTACACTTATGAATATGAATGAAAGTTTTTTAAGGTAAATGTTTGTCAGAAACAAAATATACAGCTATAATTTTCACACTTCGGGAAAAATGAAGAAAATGCCTATCGAACCGGTTTAAATAGAACATTTTTGAGAATGAACATACTAAGTGATGTAACTATAGTAGGATTTTAATGGTCAGGCATGCATGTGAACTCTTACTAAACATCAAAACAGCTTCAAACACGTACATTTAATTATGTAGAAGTAACCAATATCCTACTCGAGACAATAAACTGATTATATCAGCAATTATTTTCGCAAAAATCACTATTCTCATATTTGAGAAATAGATTGTAAGCAATTGTTAAAAAAATCATATTTCCCACAGTGAAAACTGCAGAGATAGATTTTACTGATAACAGCTTTCCGGCGGCTTTACAATTCTTTAACGCGAGAGATACTATTAAGAAAAAAAGCTATGCTACAGAAAATCCGATAGTTTCTATAGCTTGTAAATAATTGTCTTTATCTCCTAGGCTGTTTTATTTTAGTAGTCTATCTAAGGATCATTTAGCTAATGACTTCATACTTCCGAACGAGTGGCAATCAAATTTAAAGAAAAATGAAATGAAGCATTCTGTCGGAAATAAATAACTACACAACGAGCTCCACTAGGATTCATGCATGTGATAGAAGCCGATATAAAATGCAAGTGACTCTAGAACTTAACCATAGGTTCTCATGTATCATAGGCATACCTGCGAGAAATTTCAGATTGGTATATAATTAGCTCGTTTAAAGTAGAGGTCATCTTATATCGAACGAGAGAAACAAAAACAAACAGCAAATCTTAATACTGATTGTGTTCAACTATGGATCAGTTTGATATTTATTTATGAATATTTCTAACATTTACATCAAATTAAAGGTCGTGCGTAGCAACGAGTTTTAGTAGTCGAAAAGTTCTGAGGAATGAAAATCGTATTTGTTTATCATCTCATTCTTTGAATCATCATCAATGTAATTTCACCATCATATTGAGTTTTTGTGAAATTTCATAAAATTTATAAATAAAAGTACTTATTTTTTGATTACTATGAGAACCTAATGAAATTAACATACGAAGTATAGAAAAAAAACGAGAAATAACAGAGCTTTACAGGCAGCCAAGTGTCGCTAGGTCCATTGAAAAAGTATTATTTTCCTCTATCGCATGTAATATATAATTATCTCTGATAAACAAAAACATTTCGTTATAGTCATCATTTATTATTGTGACCGACGCTTTTTCATAAGTACATATGCCTGGATAAAATCAAATATTTTCTTCTTGCAGATTCATGGCAAACACTAGAAAACGAAAAGTTACTCCCAAAAAAGAACGTGCGCTTCCAAAAGTGACGAAGAAAAGACCAGCCGCCAAGAAGACTAGCGTTTCAAAAAAGCAAAGCAAGCCATCAGTTGAACTGCCTACAACTACAGAAATTAGTAAAATAGAAAAGCCATTGGATAGTCTAATTCTAGATGCATCATGGTCACAAAATCTTCAAAATCTATTCAACGCTGATAATTTCAAACGTATCGAGCAATTTTTAAATAATCTATGGTCAACTGGCAAAATAATATATCCTCCGCATGATCTTATTTTTGAAGCATTCAATAAAACACCATTCGATAAAGTAAAAGTAGTTCTACTCGGTCAAGATCCATATCACGATGATGGACAAGTAAAAATAAAAATCAATTTTTTTCAGAATCTTTTTCAAAATCTTTTTCAGGCTCATGGATTAGCTTTTTCTGTACCGAAAACAGTAACAGTTCTACCGCCATCTTTAAAAAATATTTTTAAAGAATTAGCAAACGATATAAAATCATTTCGAATTCCTAATCATGGCTGTTTAGGTAGAAAATTTCGAATAGAAATTAATTCAATATTTATTTCTTTTGTTTTACTCTTTAGAAAAATGGGCACAGTCTGGTATTCTTTTACTCAATGCTTCATTAACAGTCGAGTACGTAAAAATTCCTAAATATTTTAATATAAATATTGATTTAGACAGATATGAAACTGATTGTTAGCTATACTACTTATCAAAATTTTCCAACCTTCCTTGAAACATTTACAGATATTACAAAACACTGCAAGATTGTTTGTCCCTAATAAATCTCACAGCTTTTATTTCCACGTTTTATAATGCTTGTAAAAGTTTCAAGAGTGTATCATAAAACAAGCTATGTCCTTCGAGATTATAAATACTATTTCAGCAATATATTCTAAGTTATCCTTGATAAAATTCTGCTCTAGATATTAAATCTAGTAGAGAAGTTTATTAGCTGATTAAATCAGTTTTTGAAGTTTCAATTCGATTGTTCTTCTAGTTGAAAATTGTACTCTTTTAATGCACCTATCTTTTCAGGCCACATTTGCCCAATTCTCATTCTCGTATTGGCTGGACACAATTTACCGATGACGTTATCAAAATTTTATCAAGCAAACGTACAGGTTTGTTAATTCTAAAAACCTACATTTGTTTGTTTTTTGAAAACAAAATAAATTTAGGTCTTGTGTTTCTGCTTTGGGGTGGTTTTGCTCATGCGAAAGAAAAATTAATTGATCAAACGAAACATACAATTATCAAAACTGCGCATCCATCTCCGTTGTCATTTAACAAATTTACTAATTGTAAATGTTTTTCTCTTGTAAACGCAGCTCTTCAAAAATATGGCGAACAACCAATCGATTGGTCACTTTAAATAAACTGTGATTTAAATATGTTTCTGTCCAGTACAATATATACTTATATATATATATATATATATTGATAGTTAATAAATGTATGTTTACAAAAAAAATAAGAAAAGAAAATCCAGTGACAAGACACAATCACAATGATCACGTACAGAAAATATTTTCTTCATGAATTGAACCAATGATAAGAAAGAAAAAAGAAGAGCTGAGTATAATCACCACGGAATGAATATAAAATAGGATGTCACCGGAAAATCAGAAAAACGATACAGAAAAAAAAGCAAGACTAAAATTAAAGAGGTTGTAAACTTCTATTTATATGAATAGATTAATGCACGTTTGGTAATTATACTTCAGTATCACTCACGGTAGCTCCGCCTGACTCATCAGAATCATCGGAACTACTTGCTACAGGCTTTTGTACTAGTCTTGTTGTTGCAAGTGATTTAGCTCTAAAATGAAGAGAATAATAAAAATAAATCTTTTAAGAAACAAATGATAATTAGATATTTAAAAGCAAAAAGAAGCAAATCAAAACACACAAAATAAATACCATATCTCGTGTATTGTTCGCATAGTTCGAATACAAGAGGACCTATTTAGTAACTATGATTAACAAAATGTTCAACTTATCACATATTTCACATACTTATTAGTATTAACAGCGCTTTCTGGTGAAGAATTAGAACGACTTCGCGGTACTATATCCAAAGCAGCTGTATTTATAAGATTAGTTTCTGTTGAACTAGGTTTTACATAAGTAATGTTAAATTAAACAGCAGGCTGAATAGCTTGAAAAACGTTTAGTTACCTTTCAAGAACCGTACTATTTGTTGGCATGAGTGAAATAGAACGTACACTGCTAAACGTATTTGGATTAGTTGCATGAGGTAATAGCAAAGGCGCCGGTTCAGTTTTCTGTATGGAAAAATTTTTCTCGCTATGGTTTACATCAAAGAACAAAAACGAATTCTTATTTACTGTTGATCGTGGCCGATGAATACTTTCTTTGCTTGTCGGTGTAGTTGTGTGATTTGAAATCGTTTGTCCTTCTGGTATCGATAATATACGTGTAGGGCCAGAAACTCCTTCGTTATTGGCATGATATGACGGCGTATAGGTCGATGATGGCATGGATCCCGATCGGTTGCCGAAAACATTGAAAATTTTTGACAAACCTTTCCTTTTTGGAGGAGCTGGTGATGTACGACCATTATGTAGAGTTATACTATCATTTGTTGTAGCTGTTGTATTACTTGTAAAACTCTCGGTACGTATAGAAGTACGTAAATCCGATTGAGCTGCAACACTATCTGTTTCAGAACAAATATCAGGTACCGAGGCAATACTAAATGAATGCGAAAGTTTTTTTAATTCTTCAAGTTTTAACCGTCGTCGTTGGTCAAATATGAAACCACGCAGATTGTGTGATTTGATGGCAAAATCTATCGAATTCAGTAGTAATGTAAGAAAATACGAACAAAATGACTCATCGCATATTAAAACTCCACCGTTTGGAGAAATTTTATTCTTTATGTCACTTCGATGCCAAATGCCAATCTTTAAAAAAATATTTAAAACAAAAATAATATTGTAATTATGGTTATAATTTTACTTTATACTGAATTCGTTCACCTGCCATACATGGCTGTACAGTAATATAAATGTGTGTAACTTTTCCTGAGATAAAGTCCGGTGAAAAATTCGCACCTTGTTCTTGATAAACAACACAAACAAATGCATTACCAACTAAACCTTTTCTTATGGTATATCGTTCATCGACATTTACTGATACTATCATTGGCGCTACATTAAACATGATTTCATGGTATTCATATTGAGCATAATATGAATATTCTCCATGAGAACCATTTTTCGTATCAAGATCGCCGCGATACTTTGGAAAGCCTTTTAAATCAACACGTTTAGATATTCTATTAAGAAAATCCAGCATATCATTAGGCAGAATATCATTATTGAATATATCTTGTTCGACAGTTTGATTTACTCGTTGATAAAGAACACCAATTTTACAATTACATCTTTCGTCATTAGTTTTATCGAATAAATAAATTTTTTCATTCGCCTATGGCAATAGATTTAAAATGAAAATAATTTCAACTTTCTTTTACGTTTCCTCTCACCTACTCACTTTTGGATCGCCGATAGGTTTCAATGTATGACTTAGCGATAGATCTAGTTTTCGAATTAAAATTCCAGCAAGATTATTCTCATTTGTTGCAGTAACTTTCTCAGATACAATATAGTTATGATCTGGTGTACTATTCAAATAAAATAAATCATACATTCAATAATGGCCGATTTTATTTTTACAGTTCATACCGAACAATCATACGAGCTTCGGACGCATCCTTCGAAGGTATTTCAGAATTAATGATGCGCAGTGATGCTATAAATGGAGTTTCACTATCGAGCTCGCCATAATAGTTCACATGAAACTAATCAATTATATGACAATAGGAACCATTTGGTGCTCTTTAAACTTTGATATACTTACGTAATCATAAAAATTTTTATGATAATTATCTGCAACATATAACGCTCCATGGAAGTCAGATGCTGTCACTGTACCCGATCTTGGTTCAGTTGGCGCATCATCGAGAATAAATGGTGGCGATGATGTCGAATCTTCATTGTGTGTTGCTGGTAACTGTTCACTACTATTGAAAGGTGGGAGTCGAGGCGGGTTCACAGATGATATTGATGATTTCTATAAAGAGAAATTTTTTTAAAGAATCTATTCTGTTTGTGAAGAGAGTACCTGTTGTTCTTCACTATCTGATTTATTTTCCATGGTTATTTTCTTACTTTGAAACGATTAAACGGTTGTATAGTTTACAATACAGAAATGCGAAAAACAAAATTAGTCCTCGCTTTTTGTTTTTATTTTTCTATTTGGATTCTGATTGTTTTTTCAATAAGAATCTATCAGCGTACGACAAATAACAACAGAAAAAGAGATGCGGAAGAGAGAAAAATATTTATATGATCGAGAAAAAAGGAGCGTGCAAAGTAAAAGAAAAGGAAGACGTATTACTAATGGTTTGTCATCGTTATTCATGCGTAACTACAATAGATGCATCATGGAGGAGTAGTTTATTGCTAAGACAGATTTATCTTTTAAGCACATCTGTTTGTTGTTCAAAGAAGAAGAAGAAGAAAAGAAAATTAATCTCTTTCTCTTTCTCTTTTCTATTCTTTTGTCGTCAAGGCTTTACGAAAGAAAGAAAGTCAAGGACTAATTTAGGCTAAGAACCTATGAGAATAAATCTCAATCATGTCTAAATTGTAAATCTTTATAATGATTGCTGTTAATCTTAATATGATATGACAGTATATTGCTAAACATAAAAGCTAACATGAATCCCAAGAGAGTACTTAACATATCGTGCTTACATTCTTCATATTTCTCTTTTTGTTTGTCAGGCGACTCATTATCTTACATAATCTATTTTTGTAACCTGATTTATATGACAATAAAAAGAAAACACGCGTTCGTTTTTCAAAAAATACAATTTATTTCGCTTACTGATTGCAAATAGGCATCTAATTTTGTGATTGGTGGATCTGAGAATTGACTTGCAGAAGCGGACATGGACATAATATTGTTATTGTTAGTTATATTTGTCTCATCTCTAAAATACATGCACAAATATATAATCAAATAGAGCAACACAAGGAGCTGCATAGAAAAAAATATTAATGTTCGCCTATGGTACGTAATAATCATCTGTAACTGCCTCACATCGACTGATAAGAACAAAAGAGAAGAAAAAGAAAAGATTAGTTAGTTTCTTTTCTCAGTTTTGTATTCAACACCTGGCTTTTTGCAATGTCATGACGTAGCTTAGTAAGTTGAAAACATTATCATCATCTGTTTTCATTCTCATCACTTACTGTGAAGTAGCTCGTGGATGATGCTTCGCGAAAGGAAGTCCATGTGGTAATAAGCTACTGAAAGGCGTTTTAGTTGCCGATGAATTACGGTGTTCAATCGGCAGATGAATATTGTCTTTTCCCTCAGGTAATTTCGATTCACTGAATCGTTTATCACGCATAGTTTCAATTTTTTTCGAACCAGAAACTGGATTAGACAACATGGCTGCTGTACTAGACAATGCGCGAGTTCGTAAGGGAGACGCATGCCAAGGAAAATGAGTGCTTGCCGTTGACTTTAATGAATTTCTTGAATCAGTACCAGGTCCCGCATGTGACAATGCCGGTTTTGATGGTTTCTTTTGTTGAAGATTTATGAACGCGTGACTTTTAAATGATCCTGGTTCTATCGGTGCTGGAGATTTGGGATCAATTGACATGGCTATGCAATACGAAATAGTTCAGTATTCCTAAAATATAAATAACAGAAAAAGAAAATTATTATCTAGACAAGAAGAAGAAAAAAGCATATAATATATGATATCGACAAAAAAAATTTTATTAGTTATTTGTTTGGCTTGCATGTTTACGTGAAAACTTTGTGTTTTGATGTTTCTATTACCGAACGCAAGATACCGGTAACATGTGTCAAATTTATTACATCTGATGCCTATCTAGTCACCGAAAAAGCTTTTTTATTATTATTAAAATCGTCTTCATATACATATATATACATATTGGTACTTACCAAGATTACGTTTCTAGAATTAATATTCCTATCCATTCTTTCTAACATCTAATTGCAACAAGAGCTCAGTTAAATAGGAATAAATAAATCAACTTTTCATGTCTCTCTTTCATTATGCTTGATACTCTCATGGTTAAGAATAAAAGAAAGAACCTAACTGCAGTTTACTATCGATTAACCCTACATTTCATGGGATACTCATAGTTATGTGCATACCCATTGCGTTCTGCTTGAGTGATCTTTTTTTTCTTTTTTCTTCGTCTTTAGCCAATATACATATACTACTCGTTAGATTAAAAAAAAGAGTTTTCTTTTGCGTATATTAAATAGGATGTGTTCGATCATGCGTATGTCGAATAAAATGGTCCGGAATGATACAAAAAAGAAATAATGAAAAAAAGACAAATACTCATATTTTCTGTAATCAATCCATGCATAGATGATTGCTCATAGGTCCATAATTATCTATTCATATGTATTGAATTATTTAAGCTGTAAACCGATCAATGTTTATAAAGATGCGTCAATCATAGAATATGTGTTGCTCATTATTAATAATTTACTTTGTCCTCCAGTCGATATAATGCATATAGATCACGAAAAAATAGTATTTATGTGCTACCACGAAGTTATTAATCAATAAAATTAGATATTACGCCATGTAATGGATATTTAGTAGATCCTTCGATACAAATACTATGTCTCATTATTATGAATTCATAACGATATTTATCTATGTCTCTACTCAGTTTGAAAATGATATAATTATAACTCAAGAAGAGCATTCAATTTTTACTGCATATATGAACCTACTCAAATTTTACACACTACTCACTTGATAGTAGTTGATAGATGTCAAACTGACGTTGTGATTTGTGGAAAGAACAAATCAACATATGTATGACGAGAGAAAAAAACAGTGCGCAATAGAAATCGATTCGAGGAAAAGTTTAAAAAAAAAGAAAGAAAAAACTTTGGCTCCATTTCTTTTTTTAGCATTATTCAAATGCGTCGTTCTCCCGTTTCTTATTTTTTTTACATCCCATTACGTGTCAATAGGGCAGAAAGAGAAAAACAAGCCCAATACAGCAGGCAATCAAAAAGTGTCAATTTATTGTGACAATTCTTGAAGTTTTTGTCTAGTTTCATAACTTCTAGGGAATGATCGATTTGTTCGCGTTCGCCGGCCGAATGTTTTTGTATTTTAACGGCATTCCAAAGGACAAAAATATTGACTTATCAGACTGCACACCACTAAAAGAACAAGTGAACATTTCACCTACGTAGAGTGTGTATGTGTTTTTTCTAAAGGATTTCACATACTTGACTTACTCTTCATTTTCTTTCTAAACACAATAATAAAGAGGAAAAAATAAGGATGGATCACAAGGAAATTATTTTCTTCCAGCGATACTTTTATATTCTACTCTACAAAGGCAACTATCTCGGTATAGATCGTGTATCTGTTCCTTTTTGTAGAACATAATGAATGAGTTTTAATTATAAATTTTTCTTTGTTTATTTGTAGAGCTACTTAGCCTTGAAATTACCTTTGACTAGTTTCTATTCTATATTTAGACATAAATTTAATCACGGATTTGATTGATATAATTTTTGTGCTAAACGAAAGCATTTAAGTTAATTGAATTAATCATGTTACAGAGCAGGCGTGAACAAAAGATGACGTAAATTTTGACAGAATGAATGGAAAATCTTTCACAAGCTTCTGAGATTGACTCTTCGTTTGACAAGGCAAGAAGCATTCTTTCGTCTGTCAATGTCTAGTTCAAACAGTATTCAATCTATGAAGGTCTTACACGCTATTCTATTGTTCAGTAATGTTCAGATGCTGCTATGCACTGTGATGGAAAAATCAAAAAGCTTGAGGAAAGTTTCGATTTATTGTTCAAATACTGTGACATGCAAGGGGAAACTACTAGTTGTGAGTTTGGGTGATTTATTTTGAGTTTCAGCTCAGTTAAATCAGTAGTTTCCCCCTTGGTGACACGTGAAAATCATCTTGAAACGATAGAAGTCTTTTCGATGCCGATGTTTATTGATGTTTTAATATTCGTGTTGTTCCCATTGGGGACCATCATCAATATTCATTTGTTATATTCAAAACTGTCATCATACGTTAATGAAGATTAGTTTTCTAGTAGGAGCAATTTTATCACTCAAAAATGCTCACATTGCAAAATTTTCTGCTGATAGACATGAAGCGATGTAAAAAGTGCACACAGCCAATAAGACTACTGGAAGAATGCATCTTGTTGTTAATAGGAAAAATTACTTTTTCGAAGGTCAGAGGCCATATGAAATCAATTATATAAACACATGTATTTGATAGATAAAACTCAATTGCAATATTATATTGATCGGTCAAATATTATTTATGTATATGATTCATGGTTTACAGGTCATTTTAAAAGAGATAAATAATAAGAATGCTACGACTTTATTACTGCAGGTGTTTTTTTTATGTAATCAACAAACATTTATTTGATCAAGATTTTGACAAAATTTGCGTCATTTCGAAATTGTTCATTTGTTAAAATGACTCAATACAAAATGAATAGTTTTTTGGTAAACTATTTACTAGGAAAAAAATAATGTGAACCGAACTTTGTCCATATTATTTACGATTATGACACGCCATACTGTTGCCATGGGACCTTATTTACGTTGTATATATATATTTATAAAGAACACAACTAAACGAACAGGTTAATTTCGGTTACCTCTCACAATTCAAATAGTGATTCATATAATTAATGATGTTCTCTATCACTGCGTCATTGTTGCACTTTGTAGACAGAATGTCTGAATCATCTTATAAAACATAACGTTTTGAATAAAAAGTAGCGAATTAAATTTACCTGCTACAAATGTCTTTTTAAGCTCAAAGCGTCATACAGCGATTCGAAATCTATCAAAAACATTGCATACTCTAATTGAGACTGCTAGCTATCGTCATCAAATGAATATTTCTAATTGTTCATACACTAGATTCTACATTAACAGACTGATGGAAATTGACGAAATAAACGGTGCTCATGAAGAATACCTAGACTACATTGCATTTTGTATCCTTCTCGAAAGAATGTCCATGTAGAGGATAGTATCGAGTTGATTGAAGGAGAAGCACTGAAAACCTAATTGAAAAGTGTGTAAAAAATCTAGGCCTAGCGAAATGGTTGTCCTGGTCACGTGTTTGAATGGATAGTGTTGAGAGTGAATGTTGAAACAGAAAAAAAATGTTGCATCTATAATAGTTTATAAAGAATGAATTGATTCGCATGAGCTATGATGGTGATTTCAATCTCTCTCTCCTGTCGTTTTTTTCTTCGTCTCTCGAATTGAGGAATAGATTAGAGTCGACGTTTGCTAAGGGCGGAGTTTTTTTGCTTGATTGAAAACGTGATATAATTGGAAATTACAGAGTGAGTAAACAAGTTATTTTGCAATTGGTGTACTTGATAAAAAAAACAATGTTGCAAATGATGAAAAAAAGAGTGATTCTTGTCAATTTTTTCGTAGCGCGAAAGAGGCACACCCTTGCACGCATTTCGCTTTCGACTAGTAGCGCAAGAATAATTGTTTATCATTGGTAATTCAATATAAGCACAAAGGCAGTAAAAAATTTCTTTTGGTCTTGGATGAGATTTTTCCGGCTGAAATGAGCATTTATCTCATCGATCGATTTTCTATTCACTACTGACTCGTAGTCCATTTATTAAATTTCGATAGAAAATATTAATTTAGCTTACAAGCTTTTTCTCTAAAGTAAAAATATAATATAATCACATCGACGGACTTTCCGTTTCTAACATTCTCTATCGAATTTCAAATTCTAGCTCTCTATCTTGGAATATTTTTACTGATTGAAACTCTCTAAAAATCAATAATTGATTTAACTGTTTGCTTTTGTTATTTGAAGTGCCTGTTTTTTATTTTTCAATCAAAATAATTGATTATGCATTAATTGTATGTCCATTTTGTTTCAGGACATCAATAGCGACTTGTAAATTATTATCTTTAACCATAACATAATCCGTATCAAATGTTGAAATTGCTAAGATGCCAACGTCAGCGTTAGCCAATGGATTAAGTGCCGATATCAATACACCTGTCATGTCGAATGGAAATGGTCCTCGAAGCTTGAAACATTTCCAATTTCGTTCGCATTGAATATCTTTTGGTAATTGATTGTTATCCATTGTAATAATCGATAGTTCATCGTTTGTTTTTGTTATTGAACAGAATGGACCAGTGAAAGCCCATGATGGCAACAATGATGAAGGTGAAAGACGACAAATAACAAAATTTTCTTTTAGTAGGTCAAGAGTTAATGTTGTAGATTTAGCCATGAATAAAGAATTTATATAAAAAACAAAGTAACCTTCCCCTAGAAATTATTAATGCTGCAGTTTGTTCGGCTACGAATCAAACCAACATGCATACTTATCTATCATTTTAATCTACCAATCAAATTTTTACTTCTTGCCACTAAAATGTAAAAGTTTTGCACACAAAACCAAATAGTTTTTGTTTTCGTGTTGTACAACACTAAAAAAGTCAATTTTGAAATTTACAACTGAGAGAAATCGATTTCATCTCCTATCTACAAGTATTCTTATGCTCAAAATCTTTATTTTCATATCATAGTCTAATTAAATCGGAACAGGGTCATCATGCAAGTCGTGCGTTTATTTATCGACTTTTTGGATTATTGTATTTAAGCTTAATTGATCTGCCAACAAAAATTGAAAACAATCCGACAGAAATCTTCGAGCAAAAAAGTTTGATTCATTTCTTGCTGTTTCTCTAAAAAAAAAGCAATAAGATCTGCATATCTTTGAAAAGACCAGACAAACAAACAATTATCTTTTACAAAACACCCACACTAGAAGAGGGCGTACTTTGACGGCTAATAAAAATACTGTTTAAAATGGATAAGAATGAATTCTCTATATGAAAACGAAATAAAACTATATCAATAAGAAGTCCATTATTATGTACTTTTTGACGTCATACTTTGCACTAAAAGTTAAAAAAAATTTTCGAACATGACATTTCACAAGATTTCAATCACCACTGCCTTGGCAACAAAGTTAAATTCTTCCTATCTAAACGTTTTTTGTTGGAAAAGAAATCAAGAATCTTCAAACACGTGCAGTGTGATTAATTCATCCAACCAATCAATTTGGTACAAAAAACTTCTTAATTCATTTTTTTTGTTAGCCAACAACTACAATTTCAGCAGTCTCACTGATTTGATCTCACATGACAAATATCTATCCATAATAAAGAAATTTCATTTTTGCTCTGTTTTATCTTTAAATTTGTTTCGTATACGTGAGAACTACGTCAGCTATAATATTCTTTTCACGACGCATCGAAAAAGAGAGTAAAATTATGTTTATCTATGTTTGGATGGTGTCTTAGACAACCATCAAACATACTTGATATACAAAATATTGTATAAAAGACTCGGTATACTTGTAATATCTACAGACATTAAGTATTCAATCTCGAAATCATGCAGTACTCTTTCAGTAATCAAGCAGTCATAAGTCAAAGTGAGCGATGGAGGCAAGTTTGGCCAACACCATTTCTTGCTCTAATAGCAGTTGGTCAAATGTTACTTACAGGGGCTATTGTTGCTCTTGAAACGTGGAGTATGCTGTTAAATATAACCAGTTCCTTTTTATTTGTCGGTTATATTACATCATTTTTCTTCACAATAACTTGGATATCAACATTCACAGTCGGTCAGTATTTGAAAGTGTTAATTGTATATGTATATAATTAATATAAGGTACCTTGTTTTGTTTATAGTTTGTTGTAATCGAGAATCTCGTTGTTGTGCTACACATGCATTAGTAGAAAATGTTCTATCAATTATTGCATCGAGTGTTCTATTGTATTACGATACTCAATTTCTTCGTTATCCTACAGCCTGTTTTTGGTCATTTGAACTATGTATTTTTTCCCCAATCAGCGTAGCTTGGCATGTTTTCTCCGGTTACAATATCTTCGACTTACGAGAAGCAAAACTTATTGCAATCAGAGCACAATTAGCGTGTGCTGCTATTATGCTTTCTTTAAGCGTATTTTTCTTTATTATTTATATTTACACTGTTTTGAAAGTTGAAAGCAAGCAAACATCGGTCGCTCCATATCGTGACATGGAACTTAGACAGTTACAACAGCAACAACAACCAACAATATATACAGTTTCAGTACAATAGTCGAATAATTATGGGCCACGCGAAGAAATTTTTGATCAATATATCTTAGTAATATTTTTGATTGATTACTAATAAAGCAATTTTTTTACAATAAATGCAGACTTTGCCCTTGAATACACACGATTTTTAATTCTACTAGATATTATATACTGACTTCTTGTATAGACTTAGGATTTCTATTGATTCAAAAATGTGAATTTTGTATACGTTCTAAAAGCTCTTTCTTATTTGAAAGAGACATTACTGTGTGTACTGAGATTTCGTTGGTGAGAAATTGGAAGCAGTGTTGTCTAACTTTCTCGTAACCCTTTGATATGGATCTGAATTTATTTGATGTTAATTCAATAAAGATTATTTATAATTTCTATTCCTGTTTTCCATTTATATGTTTGATAACATTGACGACTGATCCTCGTCAATAATTTCTCTGTCGACGCTCTTCGTGAAAATTATCACTGGCAAGCTGCTCTAGCCAATAAATTTTATGGTCATAATCAACGTCATTCTTTATTGCATGTTATTTGACACCGACGTAAATTAGCAATAAAACATCTTGTTTGTTTCTACAGGAGAAAAACAAGTAGAAAGGTGCATATGATAGTTTTTATTAGAAAATCGAATTGTATCGAAAAATAATACATCGAACAAATCGAGAATCAAGTAAGATGAAAAGAGATATTCATTTGGTGCCTACTCTATAGGATAAAGTTCGACTAGTGTCTTTAGTATAATCATAATTATATTTGTTAGGATGGCTATTATTATGGTACACAATAGAACCTACAATTGTGTAGCACGAGTCAGTTCTCTCTCGGAGAAAAAATTTAAAGGAAGCAAAACGATTAAGTTTTTGTATCTTATTTATTGCAAGTAGACGAATAGTTCTTATTGATAAACTTACAAATAAAAAGGATATATAAGTCATATGACAAACAGGTTTTTCTTCCTACACTCCCGCAAGAAAAACCCCGAAAATTTGCATGCAGACAAGTGTAATCAGTAAGATAAGAAAACTGAAATTGAATACATGCGAATTTATGAAGGCATCGAAGATGAGCTTAGATTTGAATTAGTGAATGTCAAACTTATCCTATCAATAAAATTAGTAAACAAAAGATTCAAAGTATCTGTCGGATGAAGTGCTTTATTGATCATGACACGATGAAAACCTCAAGTTAAATGGCATACTCTCAAGATTTCCCATCACGGAATATCGAATTATTGAATAAATTTTCGAAAATCTTACAGCATCTACACAGGGGGTGATGCACAGAAAAAAAAGGTGGCCTGTAAATCAACTATTTTAAAACGATGTACCAACTACTGTTTCTTTCTTGGGAAAATACGGATAAGAGAAGTTGCATTATTTGTGATTGAAATTAGTCATTTTAGATAATTCTGGTTTCTTTTTTAATTTGATACAAAACCTTGGTTACTTGCACTCATTATATTATTGAGAGATTCGAATCGAATTTAATACGCATCTTAATAATAACCATGACTTGTTTCCTACGTATATATATATATATATATATCCGCTTCTTGCCACAAAAACGATAGAAACATAGTTCTACTCAGAAGATTCAAGCTCATTTTGTTTGATTTTTATACAAAGTTTGATAGACATATGTCACCTGTCCCGTTTTAATAATAAAGTACTTTCCACGAGGACGAAATGCATTAAGAACAGAAAAAAAAGAATGTATCGATACAATCAAGGCTAAATATATTAATCCGAACAAAAATTGTTCATTACTCTATTTGGCCATGAATAATTGGTTTAACCATCCGAATATAATAATTCACAAAATACTAGTTAATATGTATCGCTACGATAGTGTCGGGAATCTTTTATTGAATAAAATCAACCAAAAAAAATGACAACATGAATCTAAAATTTTCTGGATTGAAATTGCTCAAAGATTTTCCTCTTCACGCATGAATTCATTGTTCCAATTCAACTTCTTTCACAGCTGCATAAATACCATTAGGAAATAAAACACGTAAACGTTTTTTGCGTAATTCTATTTCAGCTTCAAATAATTCTTGAACTTGTTTGATTTTTTCTTCGGCAATAATCATTTTTTTAGCTATTGCATAAATAGCAGTGATTTTCTCTGGAGTTAATTCTCCGCCTGCTGATGCTGCACAAAAAGCATCATAGAAAATCCAGGATTGACCATATTTAGCATGTTCAAGACCACTTTTTGAATGATACGGAACTGTGCCATCTTCAACATTTGGTTTGTATTTGTCAGCTAAGTCTAAGACTTCATCTGGTACACCTAAAAGAAGCACAAGATAAAAATTACTCTGGTGAACTATTATAAAAATACTGCAAACCCATAGCTGCTTGATAACCTGCAACCCATTTTCTGGTTTCTTCATTTAATTTTGAATCGGCTGCAGCTACTTTCAAAACACCTTTTGAATGAGCTAGATCGGCATAAAATTTACGTTTTGTTTCGCCTCTATGATTGTATTTTTCTTGATGTATCCATTCACTAATTAATTGGCGACTAGTTGGTTCAGTCATTCTATTCGGATAAAAATTCAAATAAATATTTACACAGCATTCTAATACATACTTAATATTAGTTGAAACCAGTTATTATTAGTTTATGCGTTATGTGCAACGAAACAGGACTACTCTTATGTATCTTGAGCATGATATAAAAAAGAAAGGGGGTGATTGGTAAGATTAGTGATGCAGAACAAGTTTCTTTTCCTTCTTATGATCGTTAGTTTATCCTCATAGATACGCTTTGAAAGATATCAATACAATTACTTTCAAGTCAAATGAAAAAGTTATTCTCTTTATTCATTTTACGAAAGCGCTGATAATGACGATCACATAATACTTCGCAACATAGAGAAAATAAATAATATTCAAAGTAAATGTTTTATTTCGATAGTGATCATCGATGAATACATTTCAATCTTATGAGAAATAAAATGCTCGTTGTTTCAGTCGTTTATACATTTTCATGTCAACGTTGAACAGGACGTACGCCAGGTGGAAATTGAAGTGGTGGTCTATAGGGTCCTGGCATTGGAGGTCTTTCACCAGGCATCATCATTTGGCCGGAATATCTAGGCATCATCATTTGGCCGGAATATCTAGGCATCATTCGACCAGGTTGTGGTGGATACCCATGCGTAGCACCCGGTGGTGGATACCCATGCGTAGCACCCGGTGGTGGATACCCATGCGTAGCACCCGGTGGTGGATACCCATGCGTAGCACCCAGTGGTGGAGGTGGATATCGTGGTACAGCACCAGGATTTGCTGGGGGTCCTCTCATCATCATTGCAGATCTTGATGCTGAATTTCGTGACATGTTAGTAGGAGTTGATGGTTTACCCACCATGACGCCAGGTCCGGTTACTGGATTAGATCCCATCGATATCAGTGATCCGCCAGCATTAGACGGTACGATTGGATTGAAAACAGGTGGTATCCATCCTCTTTGAATATGCTCAAAAAGTGTTAAACCACCGATACCATATTTTATGAAAATAACAAGAAAAATGAAAACTATAAAATAGAAAACAATAATACGATTGTATATATTGATCAATTAATATAATTGTATTACCTGATATGAAGAAAAAAATGCCCACGACAACTTCGCCTACATAAAACGATCTAGCTCCTGAATATGTGTACGATAAATATTTGCAGCCTCCACTGACAAGACAAACTTTTGAATTTGTTAGATAAAGTACGTCAAAAGCTATCATGAGAGCGGCAGCTAATCCACCAATAATATTAAGTGCTACAGTCCATTTAAGTTTCAACCAAGTAGTTTTTCGAACTTGCAAAATATATCATAGTTTTTAATAAATCTTATTATTTCATTGCTTACCTGAATGGATGGTACTAACAGAAGCAATAAACGTAAACAAAGATGTCCAACATGCTACAAAGACTTGCCATCGTGGTGCAAACATAAGTACAATCGGTAAATCAACACCAAGTATAATCAAAGAAATGCACAGTTGAAAGATTCCAAGTATACATACTATCAATGCAGGCCATGCTCGGCGTAAATATTTAAGCATAAAATAATCTAATTGTTCTTCATATTCTTCTCGTAGTCGAACATATTCTTCTGGATCAATATTTTCTGGATCATCCATTTCCATAGAATCCTGCATATCTATGATTGCTTATGGCTGACAAAATTTTTCGACCGTTTGTTTTAATGTTGTTACGCTTTTGCCTCTGTATGAATTAACTGATGACAAAGCAAACACTCTCTAAATGCTTTAGCTGCTTTTCTTCAGATGGAAGCGATTAAAAATAAAGCGACGAACAGTGTTCTTTTTTTTTGTTTAAAACTGCCCTTTAAGAAAAAATTACCAAAACGAAACGTAAAGAAAGAAAGAGATTTTGATCAAACAAAAGTGTTTTTTTTTTCGAAGACATGATTTTATTTATTTTAATGGCATGCCAGTGAGATTAGCAGTAAAAGGAAAGGCGTAACTATTATACAACAGTTTTTGTCTGCCATATTTTCGAAAAACCAAAGTTCAAATAGTACTAAGGCCAAACGATAATAAATATCTAATTTAATTATATATACGATGAAAAAACTACTATTTCAATTTTTAACTTAACTTCAGTTGCATTTGTTAGCTTGTCAATCGATTCTACTTAATGAGTTGAAAGAAATGAAACGATGCAAACAATTTATAGGTGAAAATATTAATTATTTCCTAGAATTCAGATTATAAATAACAATCGCGTTTAAACGTGTTGTTATTTCAAAAATGTAATAGCAATTTTTCAATGCATTACTTATTCAAATGTAATTCACGCAAAGAAAAGTTTAATGTTAAAATAAAACTGTATAAATAAGAAAAGCGAATGAATCATATTTTTGTAGGTTTTCAAGCAGCAAGTTGAAGTGCATAGGTTATTAAAATTATCAAGCAAAATTTCAAAGTGATTTCTCTTTAGCGATTTGCACATCATCGAACAATACATTAATCTGTTTTTTCTTTAGGAATTTTTCATTGGAGTCAGTTCAACATTATCACTGATTGTTTCCAATACGAAAAAGGAAAGTTATGATAAGTTTTTTCTCGAATTTGAAACCTTATTATAAAAAATAAATGCTTATGATTGATCATTCATTTGTAAAATTAATAATTCATTCCCTCTAGAGATTTAACAAAAACAAAACAAGTACATTTTTGTGTTGCACTCATTCAACAGCTATTTGTCGTTTAATATACAAGGAATGCCGTGCGAATTACGGTATAGAAGTTTCTCTAATTCACACTGCCACGGTCTATCATTGATTGATTCATTCTGTATGTAAAGACAGATTCGAGAACTTAAAATCGACCTAATTAAAAAAGAAATGAGATCCATCCGTGGCAAATCCGTAGAGAAATAAACGCATATTGTCATCCATTATGAATGATCTAATGGTTAATTAAATTTTCTTTGTAATTTATGAGGATTTACTGAGCTGATGTGTAGCGTTATTTATAGTTAAATTTTTATTAGTTTTTCGACGGCAAATATGCTTTTACATCGTATATGATATATTGATTTGACACTAAAACGTAAGATTTACTCTTCAAATCACAGATGAACTGAGATTCTCCCTTTCTAGTGGCTCGTCAATCGAGCAGATACTTTTCTCATAAGCGAACTCCTAGCAGACTAGTAGAAGAACAATCGTCTCCGTGCTTGTTCCTTCACGTGTCATAAAAGTTTCGCTGATTTTTTTTTCTTCGTAATAAAATATTCCTGAGAGAATCAGATGGTCGATTTTCCATTTGGAATTTTTTTCTGATAGTTCCAGTACGTAGATATTAGCATGCTCTCGAGATTCAGCTTAAAAATATGCAAGAAACACAATTAACTTCTATGCAAAAGAAAAATAGGGAAAATTACTGTTATAAAATTGCAGGATTTCAATAACGATAGATGATTCTTCCACAGTCTGAAATCTTTAACATCATTTCAAGCCTACGCGATAATCATCGATGGGGAAAATCTCAGTTTTCATTTGCATAAATATTTTGAAACAGTTAAAGAAAACTTGAATGCATCAAAAGGAAGTGAAGGGCATGTAGACTTTGTTTGACGCAAAATACGTAGAGTAATGTGTTCTTCCTCAATTGTATAAAAAGACTTATCAACCACTTAGAAATCTTATTTTTCCTCAAAACTTGGATTTTGAATACTCCCTCGTCAGACAAAGCAATGAAATTACTTAATAATCTGAAGGAGATGTCATGTAGTTTTCATGATCAAGTAATATTATGTCGTAAAACAATTTTTTTGTTCTTTCTTCGGCGCAAAAATAAAGTTCAATGTGATCAGTATTGACTGCAAAAAACGTTACTTAGCTATGTCGTTCAACAATAATATGAATCTATATGACTGCTCATTGATTGAATTGTTTTCTTATTAGAATCGATATTTTTTTTCAATAGTCGATTATTTATTGCAACAAGATAATAAAGAGAAAAGAAACTTATTGATAGTAGCTATGATCAAGCAAAATATAATTACTACTGAATTAGAGCGAGATGAAAAGATTACACGGTGGATGAGCATGGTCATGGGAGATGAACAACGTGACAATATTATTTTGAATGAGTATAACACCTCTTCAAAATGAACAAAGAATGAAAACAAATGATTATGCTTTTCGATTACACTCATATCAACAAATTGAACTCGACATTCGCTTTTATCTAGTTAGCGCAGATGACAGTATGAGTAAAGAATAAACTTGAGATAAGTTGAATATTAAAAGTGTGTGGAGAACAGCATTCTAAAGTCATCGTCAAGAAATAAAAAGTTCATCAAGATCGTAGATTTAAAAAAATTTCAACTTTTGATCTTTTCATCCTATCGATGAGTTCTTGAAACCGTCTAAGCTTCATAAAGAAATGACAGAGTTATCAACACTTGAGAAACCTATAATCCGACTTGACGAAAGGCTACATGTGTAATTTTGCTTTTCTCAGGGTGCACCAGACGAAATACAAATCGATCTTTAAATAGTATCCAGTTTCTACCAAACTGATTCTTTTCCTATCGTAGCCTTTGAGTATTTTTCTACTTTTTTTATAATTTATCTAAAAATAAATGTCTCGTGAGATTGATGAATTCTTTCTTTTTTTCTATAAATACCATCGAGACATTTGAAGCAATGCGAAAACGATTACAAAACTTATTATTATTCTATAAATACTTACTAATCGGTTAGAGCTTACGCCTAAAACATTCGAGTTCCATACATTATATTAGCTAGAAAATCTGATATGATACGACCCAGACTAATAATAAAACTGTCGGCATCATTAGCTCTTCTTTTATATAGAAATTTCCTTGTAAATGTCACACCACTAGAAAACTCAATACCAGGACAAAAAGATTAAGGTTGATCCATTTGACTTTCTTGCTGGTATGCCCTGGAACTAATATTAGAAAAAGAATTCTCGTTTTAACATGTCCTCGCACAAGGTTGTAAGTGGTTACAATAATTTTTATTTTTAATTTCGCTTCAAAACATCGTTCTCTGTAAGTAACAGAGTTCATCCTTCGAATAATTAGGCTTGCGGCATGTACCAATGACTCATATTTTTAACAAACCTTAGTTAATATAGAAGACCTATTTTATGAATTATTTCTTCATCAAGTTAAAGGTGCAAAGGATTAGTCGATAATCTATATAGGAATAATAAAGTTTGATACAATTCGTGTTTCAATAAAAAAATGAGATCGTCGTGAATGTTATGTTGATAGATATTCGATCTGTTTATAAAAACTATAGTCTTTATTGAATCGCAATTATCGAAGATAATATGAAATATAATTTTTAAATCAGATAAAGACTTCTAAAGTAGAACACTCACAAAACTCGATTGGGCTTCTCAAACTTGTAGTTCATCAATGATTCAATACTTAAGCTCTATGTATATATTCACATGGAAAATTCTGTAGAATTATGAAAACAATAGGAAATTATAATTTGCACGGCGAAGATTATTACGAGGAAACATTTCGCAGGAAGATAGAGGTGTTACCGAAATACTTCTGCGAAAATATTTACCTATATTAATGATTTACCTATAACGGAACGAGACATGGTAACTTCTTTGAAATAGAAACATAAAATGGCAATTGAGTACGCACTCTCAATTCGATCTTTGACAAAAGCTACATCTCGAATCCCTGCAGTTTTGCTATGACTGATATTATTGTATCGCTTTGAACAAGTATAAGTATCATATATTTGAGATTATTACTCCTGCTCATTGTTTTCGAAATATTTTGAGAAACGAAAAAACTTCCATGAAAGATTACGAAATTGCTTCTTCATTTAATAGATTTTAACGAGAAAAATGCAATTCATTCACCTAATGACATTTGCAGCTGATGATATATTATTCAAAAGCTGAAACATAGACTGGACGTATATGGTCACATGATTTTTAAGTTCATCCGAAGGGATATCTGACTGAGACAATTGACGAATTGTTGATGTCGCTCGGTCCTATCGGCAGGTACAGTCCAAAAAGTGTATGGCAATATCTTGAGATGAAATAGATGTGAATGCTTCTAACATTTTTCTACTCTACTTCTGTAAGAGACAAGTAATCAACGACGAGAAGCTTGACAAAATTCAAAGATACCTCGTCTGTACGTGTGTCCTTCACGACCCAATCCAAAAAACGTTACCAGACATTCGACTACGTTCAATCATAGCTAGAAATATTTCTACATGTAATTTTTATAAATTTGGTGATACAAATTCAATTGGCTATCTCGAACTTTTGTATTACATACTTTTACAAACTGTTTATTAAACATATATATATATATATAAATATTAATATTACAAAAGTGCACATCTAACAAATATTTCATAAATTCGAAAAACAATATTTGTTACACTAAAATGATCTATCTATAGTCAGGTGAGATTCATAATAAAACTAAAAGATCATTATGAGTTACATCATAGTTAAAAAATATACTCTCTTGTTGTCTATGTATACGATGGAAGATGAACTTTGACAATCATCGTTACTTCTCTATTGGCAGATCATCAATCCATCTTGTAACAATTGTAAAAATCTGTTGTTCATTTTTTTTACATCAAAATTGAAATAGGACTATCTTTCCTTTTTGTTCCTTCGATTCAATCTTTAATGAATCTCAAATAGACAATGAAATACACAGAAAATGCAAATCTTCGCGTATCTTGATCGGGGCACACTGACACAGACTCAAATACAAGTTTTATGATTAATTGATTCAAGCTTTTTGTTTCACAGCGATCTAAGATGTGTCGATAAAACGTCTGACTTGCATTGATACTTGTCTATGTATGAGTTAATTAATGTCAAGTAAAAATAAGAACGAGACACATGATCAAATGCGTGTAATATGTCAGGTTTTATCTGACCTGGCTCGATGCCAAAGAAACGGAATTTTCTTCTTTTACGTTAAGTTGTATGTCCGTTTATTTTCTTCTTTAATAAATTTATTTATTACGCGTTTTAACACCAAAATAGTAAATTAGGCATCATGCCAAATTATTATTATTTTTTTTATTTCTTTTGTTGGCTTATTGTCAGTGCTATTCGTTATGTTTTCTTTGCTTGGCATTCATATGTTTAAGTACAGAGAGAATACGATAGCAACACATTCACACGACAAGACACCGTCACAATCAGCTTGTTACTGATTTTACCCATAGTTGATTTTTCATTCTCTTTCCATCTCTCATATGTGTCGATTCGTAGGGGGGACAGAATGATATAGAAAAACTGTTGCACTCATTATTTCGTTAACGTTATCGACAGGAACAACATGTATGTTAGTGCACGAGTCCGTTGACGAACAGCAGTCAATTCAACAATTGCAGTTGGCATCAAGCCAACTGCGTGCGAGAAATAACGTGATGTCGACGTCTATCATCATGTGATTTGCTTAGAGAAAGAGAACAAGAAAAAAAAACTGTTGTTCGTTTTTGTTGTTCTCTTCTACTGAAATATGATTTTTTCTATTGGTTGGCTCATACACTACCTCTCACAACCTTACATACAAATGTGATGGATGGATAGAGAGAGCAGCTGTTTCTTCGTTCTTCTTGTGCGTTGTGTCGCGCAGCTGATTCGCCGTTAATGAAAAATAAGACACCATTCTTTTTTTTCTTCTTCTCTTTTTCTGTTTCTGTTTCTCCTATTCTTCTTCTTCTTCTTCTTCCTCTTGGTCGTCGTCGTTTGTATGCATTCCTCTCTCTATTCTTTTCTCGCGCTCTTTTTCTGGTTTCTATTATTACCCTACATACACACACACACACACTCGTCGACATCATCGGGTTTGTTCGCGTCGTTGTTGCTGGTTGTATACGTATTTTTTGCTACGATTTGTACTTCCGATCAATATTCTACAATTCGACTAAAATAAGATACACTACACTATTTTATTTTATTTAAAAAAAGATCGTATGTATTCAATGAATTTTTCGTTTTTTTTGTCCTCTTCCCTCCTCCTCCTACTATTACTATTACTACTACTATTTTCTTTTTTTTTCTTCTTATTCCGATGTTATTTCTTCGTTTCTTTTGCATAATGTGAATGCAACAAAATTTCTTTTCTTTTCTATTATATAGAGGGAAAAAAAGAAGTTATTCCAAACGTATACATTAGCGTGAATGTCCTATTGCTATTCAGATGACGATACATCTGATCTAACCTCAATAGAACATCATCATCACCGCCATTTAATGCCTGAATCACCATTACAACATAAATTATCATCAAATAATTCAAATAGCCAACTTAGGTACGTTGCAATAAAAAAAAGAAAACACATTTCTTTCTTTTTATTCTTTTCTTAATCATATACATGAACGCATATGTTTGTGTTCTGAATGATGCTTGGCCGATGTCCAAAAGAAAAGAACGATATTCCTTTTAGCCGTCATGAACGGCGTTGGAATACGACACATGAACGCATGCATTCGTATGAATCGTATTTGTTCTGTTCTTTCTCTTCCTTCTGTATATTTGTTCGTACACACATACGTGTGTTGGCCAGAGTTCAGTTGGACCAGAATAGGAGAAACGTTGAAAAAAAACATGTACCCCGATGTGTCATCAATTATTGTATTTTTGTAACATACGCACGGAGAGATTGATGAGAGACATTGTCCTGTTATATTCTGCGCTATAGCAAAACCACTCGTATTTCTTTTCATAGGCTAATTCATTGAAATTTGTTTTAGTCCTGCTGATTCCAATATGTCGCCTAACTCACAATTGGAACATGAAAAACGTGTACGACGTGAAATCGCTAATTCAAATGAACGACGTCGTATGCAATCAATAAATACTGGTTTTCAAAGTTTGAAAATTCTCATTCCGCATTCATGTGGTGAAAAACTTAGTAAGGTAAGTTGTCATGAATAGATAAAGATATTTCTTAAAAATAATAGCCGAGGAATTGCTCAAGGACTTTTAACAGTAGACTGAAGAATATTTCGGAAAAAATAATCATTTTTATCTCCTGTTATTCTACTAACCTGATAAAGAGCAAAAAGAAAAATAAAAGAAGATCTTATTGTTCTTTTCAAAATAGGCATGCATTCTTCAACGTGCAGCTGATCATATAAAAAGTCTTGAAAATGAGAAACTTAAATTACAATCTCAAAATGAACAATTTCGTATATTAATAAAAAGTTTTCAAATTGATTCAACAAGTGTTTTACAAGCCCAACGACGTTTATCAACGAACGGTAAGCAAAAACAAAAAATAAAAGTATCATTAAATCTAATGGTTGATTTTCTTGTTTGATTTAGATCCAGACGAAACTGTTTTATTACTAAATAATGAAATAAAACCTATTGGAAATTCCGATGAATCCAATGATGACCAATTAAGATTATATCATGATATTAAAAATCGTCATACAGTAGTTCAAAATTGGCATGATGTTACTCAATATGTCCAATCACAAAAAGATGACCAACAACATTACTATCCTATATCATCATCCTATAGACCGAATACAAAACAAACGTCAACATCAGATACAACCTATATGATTGTTAAACAAAATCAACCTAGTCAACGTTGTTATAAAACGAATTCACTTGATCAACATAATGATAATGGCATTGTTATTGTTGAACGATGTCAACTCAGGGCACAAAGTGTTGATACAAATAATAATAATAATAATAATAATAATAACAACAACAATAATTCGTCATCGTCGAATTTAAATGATCATGCTGTATCTCGTCGAAATTTACAAACAATAGTTGAAGCCATACGTCATTTAGAAGGTGATGATGCTTTGTCAAATATAAGTCCATCACAATCAACATCACAAAAAGAAGATTTACCAGCACAAATAAAAGCAATGATCAATGAAAAATTTCAACAACAACAACAACAACAGCAGCAGCAGCAGCAGCAGCAGCAACAGCAACAACAGCAACAGCAACAACAACAAATTAATAAAAGTCCATCATCGATAAATACAATCTATCAACAAACGATGAATATTTATGATCAACAACAAACAATATCAATGTCACATGATGTGGATTTACATCAAAAGCCACCTAAAAAACGTAAAATAACGTATAATGAAAATGATGATACTATTGAACAACATAGCATTATACAAAAGCAAGGTAGGGCTTGTGATGATTATTGAAATAATCATCGGCATAATCGATCATAATAGATTTACCACCTATATCGAGTCCAGATGTTCATCATCATGAACAAATCTCAAGTACATCATCTCCACCTCAAACGCTTATCTCAAATTTAGTTGTACGTTCACCACCAACAGTAGCTCAATTGCTACAAGAGCATTTAATACAACGTACAGTACGTTATCCACAACCTCCGTTATTAACAACAAATATTCAACGACACCAACAACCCTAAAAAATAACAAACAACAGGTGAACGTTTATCATTGCTTTCGTTCTCTTTTCCTATCCCGGTTTGTACTTTTCCTCTTTTTCTTTTTTTCTTTTTTGTAAATATATACATATTTTCTTTCGTATGTGTGTTGTGTATTTTCCTGTAAGAAAGAAAACAAAAATAAGACCAAAAAATGCTCATTGTGTCGCTTCTTTTTGTTGTTGTTGTTGTTGTTGTTGTTTGCTTTTCCTGTATGTGTGTTTTTGGCTCAAGTATTTGAAAAGGACAGTGATATGCATTGTTATGTGCTGTCTCTATTCTTTCTTTTGTGTGTGTTTTTGCGCGATCAAACTGTCCCTTTCTAAGAAAAAAAACAAGAATAGTACGATTCTACACATCACACGTTCGTTCTGTTGGTTTTTAGCGTTTTGTTTCATTGTTCACACCGGTCGTTTTTCTCGCATTTTATTCGCGAAAAGCTATGCATCTTTTTTTCTTTTCTTTTTTTCGTTGCTTCTGTTTTGGTTTGATGATGATGATGGTTGTGTATATGCTATGGATTCTTTAATATGCTTGTCACTCATATGCGACCAATGAGTGTATGTTTTTGTGTGTATTTGCCCGTTCGTTTTGATGAAGCTTGTACATTTGTACAGATAAAGAAAAGCAAACTAACATTAAAAGAAATTTTTTTTTTTCGTATATAAGATCGAATGCCACTGGACAGCTGTTCACAGATGCTCCAGATCATTAATGGGGACATATCTCTAGGCAATGACATCACATAATGTATACATTCTCCAAGTTTTTTTCCCTACGTTTTTCGGTACGATTCCAGAACAGAATAGAGACGATGGTGTAGTTCGAATGCGCTCTTTTCACTGTCTGATTATGTGATTTAATAGATATGCCTAAAACAGAAACGCAGGTTTTTCTTTAAATCAAATTATGTTATGTAGAATAACATGATTTATTTTCCATTCAAATCTGTTATCTATTAAATATTGATAGATCTGCCATTGGAAATAATAAACACATATGTAAATCGTCAATAATTCTTATTAATTAAAACATATGCATTGCAATTCAATCACAAAGTAAATTGACAAAATCCACCTGTTAATACATGGCGACTGAGTCGTTTCAATTAAAACGATAGAAAATTTCACCGAGAATATTTTTAATGATCTATTCATTTAAATAAGTAGTATGATAAATTATTCAAAAAACATAGTTCAGTTAATTTGCTCGATTCAGATAGAATAATGTTCTTATTCATGTGAATCTATATAACTGTCAATATCAATGCATAAATCGATTATATCACAATAATCTTACGAGTGCATCTAACCATGACTTGCCGGTTTATATAAGCATCCTATAAACTTCCGATGAAGAAAAAAAACCATCACAAGACGAGAAAATGATTGATAGGTTCTGTTTGACAAAAGCATGCATTTCAAATTATCATCAAGGTTTTGTTGAGTAAGAGTGAGGCGATGGAAGGAGAGGAAGCCTAGACAACCCATTAGTGTTTACGTTTCTTCACAAAATTCAATGGTTTGTACTTACAAATAGGTTCGGTTGCCCTCAATACTACTTTACTAGTAGTTATCCGCCCACATCAATGTTTGTGACCCGAGGGCACTTTTGAATGTCACTATTATTTATTACAGAAGATTGACACGATAAATAATAGTATAAAGTATGTATAGCCGTTATTCCTAGAGGCCAATGCCTTTTATTTTGTAAATTTCCGTAAGAAAAAATAAACAACATCTTGTTTCTATTTTGATTAGTCTTGATTGATACTCAATTGTTCTGTTTTACTGATATTTGAACTTGTTTCCAATTGTTCCATAGGTTTTTTGAATTTCCTATTTATCATATTTAATGTTTGAAAACAGCCTTTAGTTTGTGTTCGGTTTTTTGAATTGCGACTAAAATTTGAACCAGGAAAAGTCGAAAGAATCATTTTTATCTGATAATATGAATATGTTAACCATCGCTGTGTATCACTTAAAATCGGATATAAAAAAGATGTTTTCGTTGCTCGAAGATTCCCAGAACGAATAGTAACATATAATGTTAACAGATCGTATTTCACTGTTGTTAATGCAGCTGATATAGCATGATAACGAATGATTTCTTCGTTTAAATTCGCTTGACTAACATATCCTTCGATATCACCGATTTTTTTCACTAAATGGCGAAGATTACATGCAAATGCACGTAATACACGTTTATAATCTGATTAATAAACAGATGTGTCATGGATTCTTGAATTCAAATTGTTTCTTACTAAGCGGAAATCGTACGATCCATGATGGATGAACTAATCGAGTTGTTTTTAGATCGTACAATGTTGATTTTGACATAGCACTAGATAAAAATTACCATAGGTTTATTTTAATGATAAACAGTTTCAAGGATGTCTATGTATTTCTCACATTATCTGGTTGCGTTGTAATCTTTTCGAGTTTAACCTCGTGAATCCAATATACCTTCTATAAGTTTTATCATATTTTACAGTTGACTAGTAGACATTGGGAGATATCTCTTGCCTCAATGAACTCGTCGAGTGAGTTAGAATGATATCTGTAGATGATTGTCATATTTTCCATCTTTGCTAGAGAAATAGCTTACAATCGTGGATGTACGTGCGAATGCCAAGAGGCTCAATGTTCACACATTCGAATAACTATTCCGTTTGCAAGATGAAACCAATTGAAAAGTAATTCTTAGATTATGTTAAACACTAGCATCAACTATTTGTCCTTTCTCTAATCGATCACGTGGTATTCGGGTAGTTCTTAGCCGTATATTATTTACGTCAACAAATTTTTAAAAATCAAAATAATGATAAGAATATTTCGTAATTTGATTTACGCAAAAGCATAACAGTAGGAATTTATTTATTTGATCTTACCAAATACGACGCATTTTTTCTCCATAAGGTATAAAATCAGTATCTAAATTAATATTATTTAACGAAATACAAGCTCCATAGTTTGACTGTGAACTATTGAGTGAATTTTTATGATTTTTGATTGATATTTGTACAACATAATCAACTACGATTGTGTTTAAAACAAATTCACACAGACTATTGGCATATTCACCATATTCATTAAGAATTTTTAAATCAAGATATCCATATAGATTATATCGATCCGAGCGGCACAGGGCCATTGTTGAATTGAATAGAGAAAAAAAAGCGGATAGATCGATATCGATTGTTGCAGTAAGAAAAAAAAACGAAGAAATATTCGAACTTTGCTGAATATTGACACTATGGTAACATAGTTTAATAAATATTTTATTTAGTCAATAGACATTCGCCGTGTGTTATTGAATTATTGAAAATATAGCATACGAAAAACATGTCTATTCAATTTGTCACTTTATTGACGCAATCGATTGCATGATTCGCGAGTTCGACTCAGCTTTTGTAGGTACATGCTCGCATGCTCTTATTTATTTTTTCTTCAAATAGATGAATATGAATATCTATTTTTATCATAACTTGAGAACAACAGTAGAGCGTACATTTATGCCAGCTGTTTAACCTTTCGTTTACTAACATTATGTACGTATCTATTATTAAGATAGAACGAAAAAGTTTACCGTACTCGGTGACCGAAACGTATATATTCTTAGTTTGAGCAACGATGCATTTTGATGATAAGAAGTGCTTTGTAAATAGCAACGTAACATTTCTCAATAAAATAAGAACGACATTAAAATCTTTATCGTAGTTCTCGATTTAATCGAGTCACCCGTGAACTTGTTCGTCTTTCCACGTCACACGATAGCAACCACCATTGAACATTTTAGGACGACATCATCTGACTAGATCTAGATGGCTGTTCTTGTTTCCCAGTCACTATAGTCAGACAGACTGTCTGTGGATTTCTAAACATCGCTCATGTCTAGAAACTATGATGAGAATGCTGATTGTTTTTCGATTTCGGTTAATATCTTAGGCATACAGTAAAGATTTATAACAAAACGCTTAATAATAATATTTTGCTTTATAGAAATTCATGATGAACTTATCCGCTACATAGAGAATTCTTCAGGTATTTGATTTTTATTGAATTGAGATTATAATCATCATTTCAAAAGATAGCAAGAAATTGTTTTATGAGTGAAATGCGTTACCTACTAAACTTCAAAAATTATCATCTGATTTTGTGTCATCATCAATTTATTTAACAAAAGCAAACTATTTACAAAAGCATTCGAATAAATATCTGCTGTTTTTTTAAACTAAAAAATACTCCCTGAAAAAAAAAACTATAAATATATATATATATATATATATATATTATTCTTATTAAAAGATATAAAAAGAAGGCAATTCATATTGTTAATCCGATGCAACAATAGAAAGAGATTTAATATTAGCAAGTTTAGCATTGATTTCATCCAATGTAGCTGTACTGTTTGCACCAACATCTGCTTGTCCCATAAGATTACGATAAGCTACTTCAAGTTGATCACAGTAATGAGCCTACAAGAGCAATAGGTTGAATGGATAATTGATTATTTATAATAGTACCTGAGCTTCAATAAATGCTTCTAAACATGGATAAACAAATGCCGCACGTTGTTCATGTAAAATAGGTAATTCATTATTTAAAATTTGATTTTTCAATTCATATTGTTGTTTGGCTTCGTTTAGCTGTTTTCTGATTTGTTCTAATTTATTATTATTTGCTGTATTTGCTGCTGCTGTTAATGTTGTTGTTGATGAACCTAATTTTTCATTCATTTTATCTAATTTATGTTGTATTTTAATATAATCATTTAAACTTTGTTCACGTTTTTTAATTGCATTGGTTACATTAGCTAATGCCAATGTTAAACGTTTTGATGAATCAATTATTGTTTTGGATGTTATTTCATTTAGTAAACTTGTTTGTTCCGATATATGCTGAGCAGTTGTTTTCCAATCATTGATTAGTTGAGAAATATTTGTGGTCAAAGTTGTTGATGTTTGTTGTTGATCATAATGATTGATAAATGCACTACCTGATAAATCGTGTAGAAGTTTTAATTGACCGCGAGCAAAATCATCAAAGGATTTATCTTGTTTAATCAGATCACGTGTTAACGATTTCGAGCTTTCTTCCAGAGATTCTAAACGACGCGTTTCACGATCATAATCACGTGTTGCCTATTGAAAAAAACGAGAGAATACAAAATGAATAAATTAAATAAATTTACATACGATAACTCCGATACTTTTTCGAGATGTTGTATTTCGAGTGAATGGATTCCTAAGAATAAAAGAAATTCATGCATTTATATATCAAAAAATTATAATAAAATATTTTCCTACCAGCTACTCATTTTTTTAGATCCGCCAGATTTACAAAATGTATAATGTCTAGAATAAATTTATAATATTGAAATTAAATTACATTAAATCAGCATATCTGATTAGAATATTGAATTGAATTTTCTTTTACTTTATGTATCAAAATAAATATAAGAAACCTTCACAGACACATTACACATAAACATTAATATATATATATATATATATAAATAAATAAGAAAAAGGCAGAGTTTCTTTCACAGTTTTCTATTTGATAATAAAACTGCACAGATATATAATCAAGTGTGGTAGGGAACATACGAAACGAACTTAGACATACAACAATGATAGTATCTCTGCTGGTCGGTCATAGAAGAAAAATGAAAAGAAATATGCATATGTTAAAATTGTTTTTTTTATGGAATGGTAGATTTAAAACGAAGAGAAAAAAATTTGAAATGTATCCGCATTGCGAAATTAATCAATATTAAAATGACAGGAAAAGAAGTAGAAGAAAAGAAAACAAGCACATCGATATATGTATTTGTGGTCACTGTTATTTTTCTAATCAATTTGTGTTAATTGTCGAACACTTAGAGTTCCATCAGATCCAGATGAAAATAAATGACGACTGGCAGTTAAATGCAAATGATTGACACCGCTTGTTTGTGAATGTAAAAAGCCTCGTCGAGAATGTTCATTATAAAAACATTGAACCATCTCGCAACCATGTAAACGCCAAACCTACAAAATGAGTTTTTTAAAATTTTATTATTGTTAATGAATTATGAAAGCGAAATTCGTTTACTTTAATGTTGCCTTCTGTTGATCCGGTTACATAAAATTTTTCTAATGGATCTAAACAAAGTGCTTTTAATTGCGAATCATGCGCTTGACTCATTGCTAAACGTTTTCGTTGTCTTAGATCAAATATACATATGTCACCACGTTTACCACCAGATACTAACAATTGATGGGATTGTGAATAAGCTAAACATTGACCACCACCACCAGTATCATGGCATGAAAATGCTATAAGAAAAAAAAAGAAATAATTTTCTTTTTGCTTAAATGTTTTGATTACGATGAATTTCGCAAAGAGGAGAAAAAAATCAGTATCTACCATTTGGATATATTTTTGTATGAGGCAGCTAGTTTTTTTCATTGAAGACAAATTTATATAGCTCATCAGTTTGTATAGAAACTCGATAGGGTTTCTTTCTTTCTTTTTTGACAAGGGATTTTGCTGCAACTAACTACGACGTATGTGGGAATAGGCAAGTATGCTGACGAAAGAAGATAAAGTAAATGTCTATGTGCAATTTATAGAGCGATAAAATGCACAGTATTCTATATGAAAAATGTTTACAAATTATGTCTTGAACGACCACGAATAGGTTCCTATTTTTTAGCCAGCAAACCAATGAGCCATATGAGTTTAAATTATAGAAAACAAATCTGTTAGGCTAATCTATCCATTAGAATATCTGTTTTTATGCAGCTTGCGTTTTAAAATCCTTCAAGAAATGGCAGACTTTGACTCCTAGGGCGCGTTGTCTTTTTAATTGTTTACAAGTTATATTGGCTCGTGATGTTGGCATTAATGTATCCCAAATAGCGACATTTTGATGATCAGTAGATAAACCACATGTTGCTAATAATGTAGAAGAGTCAAGAAAAACAAAATCATTTGTACTTTTTGTATGAGTTGATAAACGCTAAACAAAGATAGTTTTGATAGAATTTGATGGTTTTTTACAAATATTAAAGTTACCATATAGGCTGTTGATCGATTACTTGATAAAACATGTAATGATAAGTTTCCTTCAATGTCTGTCACACCGAACTATTTTTTGAACAAAAACCAAAGAAGATTTATTAATTAAATGATAAACATTGTTTTTACCTTGTTTCCTTCGCTACTCAATTCAATTTTAGTAACTCGTTTATTTGGTTCACGCAGTTGCCTAGGCGATGAATCAAGAGACCAATTAAGTAAGAAAACACTGCCATCAGAACATCCGGTAAGATCTTTAAAAGAAAAACAAAACCAATGAAATGTGAATTTACTCCATATTGAACTTTACAATGTGGTAAATGTGGGTGATTAGCAAATTTTCGGCTTTCTCGAATAACATGTCTGTTATTCTAAATATTCAAAGTAAAACAAGAAAATGTATTCACGTTTTGTTTTTCTAAATTAAAGAAAGTCTTACAAGAACAGTTTGATTATCATTATTTGACGCATTCCCATTCACACCTGGTACACTTGATTGAGTTAAATACATATTTGGTACATAAGCGCCCATAGTTGGCATTCGGAGAGTTGTTACTCTATTACTAATTGTCTCCCGATTGACCATCCTAAAAAGAATATTATCTTTCGATGAAAAATATCAATCGAAAAATCTTTAGAAAATAACTAACGCTGCTACTTGAGGCAGTAAGCTTGGTGATACATCATTTTCATCATCGGATGTTTCATATGGTTCATTTGTCGATGTTATACTTGATATATCCAATTCAATTACTTCACGAGATAAACCTGCCGCCAATAAAGTTGGATTTATCTGAACAAAAAAAGAAACACTCAGTTATCGATATAAGAAAGTTTGCGAATATTTATTATTGTCGATTGCTTTGTCTTTTGCAATAGCTATAACTATGGTTACTAGATTGAATCAACAAGAGAAAACTTCCTAGAAAGTCCGAAGATTCGTGATCAGAAAATTCGATGTCATTAATAAAAGTTTTTTTTTTTCTTTTTTCAGGAGTCATAATAACACTCTAATCAAAAGATTACAAGCTTAATAAGTGTCATAATATGTTAATTATATACTTTAGTTTGTTATCTACTAATAAGATTATGCGGATCATGATGAAATAATTTGAGACGCGCTCGGCTCTGATCTTCAAAGAGAGCTCATTTTTAAAATTTGTCTCCGAATACAAGAAACAAATTCTGATATTCTTTGGACTAATATCTAATTGCCTCAGAGTTCTATTTTTGAGCACTTTAATTATTGATGGAAAAATAATGTACTTACACTATTCAGACAAAATGAATAAATTGGTTCCGAATCTCGATAGATAAGTTTTGAATTCGATAGTGTTGCCATTGATGATGAACTGTCTGATGCACCTTCCGTGTTCGCACGACTTTCCGACTACAAAACGAGAAGAACAAAATTGATTATCATAAGAAAAATCTTAATGAAATTATCATTTGAAATGAGCAGCAAAGTCAGCAACCTTTGAAACTCACATGCATGGTATGCATCGTTAATGAGCGCACTAACGGTGGTCTTTTAGTAGGAACCGTGGTCATAAGCTTCAATAATAAATTTCTTTATCTCATTTGATAAGTCACGAAAAAACTATTTACTTTATTAATTACTTTATTCAATGGGTGATCTGATGGTGTTGGCGTTTTTCGTTTGAATATATATTTAATAAATATTCCTTGTGATTGTTCATCATTAACTAAATATGTCCAAAGACGTTTTGCTGGTAAAGCTGATGCAGATTTTCTAGTAGAAACGAAAATCTTGTAATAAGAAAAGAAATAAAACATTGATTCTTACGAAAATGGAGTATTTTTCGGATCGAGTATTGTTCGATATCGATGTATAGCTAAGCCAGTTGATTGTTCATCGTTAGCATTTAATCCACTCAATGGTAAATAGTTATCTGGGGGAACATTGAATGTTTCCAATGTACGTCGAAGTGAATCTTGCCAAATACTTAAATTCTGTAATAATTGTTGAATAAGAGGTGAAACACTTGGAATTTCTTTTGGTAGGAAAAATTAAATTTAAAAACTAGAACAAACAATTTTATGTTCTCCTTACCACTCTTTTCAATACCAATATGAGGAAAAAATGCCCACAGACGTTTATAAACAAGTCGAACAATTGTATAACGCATAAGAATCCATGAATAGGACATTGAATCGGTATGTTCTCGTTCTTGAATTTTACTGGATAAAATTTCAATATAAGTTTAGATTAAAATAAAATCGAATATTAATACCGTAGTTTCTTTTTCGACGCGAGGGCACTATCAGTTTTCGTAGAAGTAGAATTATCTCCGTCATCATCGTCATCCTCATCTTCACCATCGTCGTCGTCGGTATCACTTATGTCTCCTTCATCATTGGTATCGATTTCTATACTTGATGAAACCTGAAATAATGTTTTTTTTTGTTACAAGTTTTATTCAAATTCTGCTTATTCGAAATACTTTTGCCATAAAATAATTGACAATACTAGCACGCGGAGGAATAAAAACTTCTATATAAGATGGTTGTTGTGGGTGTTGTGTTTGATTATTTGGTGTAATGAGTTTTCTTGCGAGTGAACTTCCCGATGAAAGTCGATCTACTGATGATCCCATCGATATGTCATTGCCGGGACCTATGGAAGAAAAGTTTTTATTAAACTAGAAAACCGAAGAAACTTTTACTCTACTTAATGATATTGGTAAATTTTGAGTTGGTGGATTCGGTTTAGGTTTTTTTGCTCCGCCACCAAAAACTCCGTACCATAATTTAACTGCTGTTTCGGGTGTTGACCATTTTCGTACAAGCAATCGATATAATGTATTGCAATCATCAGTGGATAATGCATAGACTAATAAGGACATGTAAACTGACACCAATATTTCAACGAGTAGAATTTTTAAATTTGAGAAATTATTATCTTGATCTTTTGCTGAAGTTCCAAATATTTTGATACCTATGAAAAATAAATAAATTATTCATTTGGCAATAAAAATATTTCCCATAGTAAGAATATTAACTACTATATCACTGAAAGTTATCGCTATTATGGAAAGAAACGCTTTCTTATGCTACTCTTACAGTTGCGGCATAATCGATGATATTTCTTCTGGATTCTTTAAAAAACACTTACCGGGCCAATCTTTTGGTGCAGTTGTTGGTGATTCTCGTTCGATTAATGCTGATACACTTTGACGTCTATGCATTCGAATTGAATCTCTTCGGTAAAGATATGATCTAATTCACATTAAAAAAAGAAGAACAAGATATAAAAACATTGTCAAAGAAAATCTTTTACTTTAAAAATGATTCAACAGCAATACGTTCACTTGTTTGATTTTCATTTGTACTACAAAGTGATTGATAAACACAACTCGCCAATGCTATTGATAAATCTCGTATGGCAACAATTTGTATACTGTGATCAGTTAAGTTAGGTAATGTGAACCATTTATTCATTGTGCGTAATAAATCTTGACTTAAATCACGTATATAAGTGATTGCACTATTACTTACACTCAATGTACCCGACAGATTAGCAATTAATAAGGGTACTTGCGTTGGAAATGGTATAGGATTTTTTAATTGTGTACGACGATCACGATAGAGTTCGTGCATAAGCAATAACAATTCCATTCTAACTGATGCTAAACCACCGCCATGCATGCCATGCAAACTAGTAAATGATACTAATGTACGAAGAAGATGTTCATTCGATTGAAGCCAATGACGACGCCGCAATAAACGTTTCATTTTCGTTTGAAAAGTGTTCATACGGGTAAATGATGCTGCAGATGAATTAGCATTTGGCGATGCATTCGAAGAAAGCGTTGGATCATCGTTGATATCAGATAAAATGGGCTCATCCAAATCTAGTAAAACGCAAGAATTTTGTTAATTAGAAAATTTCTATTATTAAAATAAACATACTATCAAGAACATTATCTGTATCATCTTGATCAGAATTATTTGATGTATTTAAATTGCAGAATTGACGAATGACACCTATTTCTTGTTCGAGCCAACAAGCCAAATGATGTCTGAAATAATAAATACGATTTATGAAAAAGTAGACGAGATGATTAAAAGGAATCTACCCTACGAGAAATGCCTCCTAGTTATATCAGTGTATCTTATGCTACCTTATCTACGGTATATTTCGGATAAGAAAACATTCCTTCGGTTCGATGTCCATCTACTGTCTGATTTCTTATTTAAAATGTTGTTATTTTCGAGAGCTATTTACCTAAGCTGTCCACCAGCTACTTCAAAACCTGTTGCTAATGTTGCCATTTCTTCGACAATAATCTTTAAGCAACAAATTAATTTCATATATTGTCCAATAGTATCGAATTGCTGTTTTACTGATTTATCTTCAAGGGGTGGTGTTGTGCCTTGTTTAACTGGTTCTTCAATAGGTTTTGGCTCTTTCGCCGCTGGGTTTTCTTTTTCTTTTTCTTCTTCGTCATCACCCCAGTCAAGTTCAAGCTCATCGTTATCCACTTTTGCTACCGGTTGACTCCAATCAATTATTTCTTCTTGTTTCGGTTTTGTATCATTCGTTGATTGTTCTGTTGTAGACGGTTTTGTCTCATTCGATAGGATAATATATGCTGGTAATTTAGCAAGAATTTCTAATGCTAATAGAGGACAACCTGTTTTTAAATAATAATACGCTGTTTGAAAATGTGCTCGACGTTCGATTGAAAAATTCTTTGAGGTGTTATCAGAATTTTCATGTGATAATTGTTTAGCTCGTAAGGCAAGTGGATGTTGTTTTAAATAATCATAAAAAATAAATATCGATTGTGGATGTTCAAATTTATCATTATGAAGCAACGTATTTAATGCGTGTTCATAATCTTTTAACAGCCAATACGCCATGCTACGATAAAACGGATCATTATGCGGTTTGTTTAAAATTTCTTTATTAAGAATATTAGTCACTAAATGTTGTTCATCATTATCGCAAAGTCGAGCAACTAATAGAGCTAATTGAATATCATTTAAATTATTGATAATAACTTCCACAGCGTCACGGACTTTTCCAGCGAGAAGAAAAAATGCTGCAGCATGCTCAAAACGATGTTTACCAAGTAATGCAAATGCATTATTTTGTGCAGCTCTTATCCAACGTGCTTCAGTAAAATCATTTTTAAAGAAATCTTGCATTTTAGCATCTTGAACATGTCTTTAAATAAACAAAACTATTGTTACATCAACGTCTATTTATCATTTTCGTGTACTTACTTGTATAGATTGTAGAGTAAACTTTTCTTTTTCAATGCAAGAAAATATAAGGCACTGTCGAGCGGATTGTTATTTTCTTCAAACGAAGATTTACCAAGCTAAAATAAATAGCATTGCCTGTTACAGTTTTTTTCTTAAATCTTAATTCACGAAATATCTATCAGACGCTCGAAAAATAGCTCTAACACCAAAAACTAAAACGTTTCCATCAGACTTGTATCGTCTTACCCTTTCGAAAAGTTTTGTTATAATGCTTTTATTTCGAATCCACCAGCCAACACCAAATAATTTTAATTCGCTCCATAATGGTTTATTTTTTACCATACATGGAATCATACCAAGTAAATCTTCTTGTAAATCGGAATGAAATGCCCACGCATACGATGCGCTTGTTATGATATGTTTCAATGGTGTATTTCCTTGTAGATTCGGTGGTGTGACCATCCGCGATAAATAAATATAACGTTGAACATCAATTAAAAACCTTAAACCGCAATCATCCATTGTATCTAAATTAGAATGAGCGCAATTTGATTTTTCGAAAAGTAAGAAAATCGAATTCTTTTACTTGCAGGTTTTTCTCCTGAATATGTTTGAGCTGATAATGAATCATTACTTGCATTAGCTAATGTATCAGCTAATGCAAGTAAATACATTTGATCGAGGCTTGTTAAATTGGATAGACGAACACGTTGAAAATAATCAACAAGTAAATCGACCATTCGAGAATCAAATATCGGTGACCAATTTCGATTTGATAATAATTCTCGTCGAAATTTATTGAGTTCAACTAAAAATATGTATGAAAAGAACAGCATTTCATATTTGATTTTTCACATTAAACTCTTCTAGAAGTTAGCACAGTTTCTTAGAGATTTGCGAAAGAGTAGAGCAACTATAACCCTTTTAGTAGAAAAAGAAAAGGAATATACATATACGATGCCCTACTGTTCTGAGAGTGAGAATAGTTCTAATCTTATAAAAAGAGATCGTAAGACTAATATGGGGTTTCAACATTAACGCTGTTACTAGTGGAAATATGCGTAACTTAAAGTCTGAAGATTTGCAAGAATATACGAGTAATCAATGAAGTAGAATTAAAACCAGTATTAAGCATAGAAAATAGTTCATATATGGTCTGTAGCAGTTCGGATTTTCATTCCTATGTTTCAAAACTCTTGTTATAGGGTGAGAAAATCCTAAAATGACTTTCAATAGTCTCTTGATACGAACTATACAAATGTTATTTCGAAGAACTCACCTTGCTTTTTTCTTTCAGCATCCTGGATATGATCTTCATCGAATTTAAATTCTACATCTCTATTTCCATCTGGTGCTGTTGATGTAAACAAATCTTCATATTTATCTTTACCATTCATATCGTCATCTTTATGATTATTGTCTTGTGAATGAGCATGATCAATATTTTTTATGATTTCATGATCAGCATTAAATAAAGCAAATAATGGTAACAATGGTACACTATCAATTTCAACATATTTAACGTGATCAACTTCGGCAATCGATGGTTCATTATAATCACTATTCGCTATTGAAAATGTTCTACTACGCATTAATTTCATTTCAACTTTTCCTTCAACACTGTGTACTGTACTGACGATACAACGTGTTAGATGCGCAAGTATAGCTTTGACACGACGATATTTTCCAAAACGAACTAATTCTAATAATAATGTTGGATGGTATTGCGGTAGAACTGGTGCAGCATTTCTAGCTGCATGAAACAAACTAAGTTCATCAATGGAATCTAATGTTAACCATGATGGTTGTGTTTCAGTTTTATTATTCGAATTTGTTGAATTAAAATCCGCATTGGTTGCAATTTTTCGTAAATTACTCGATGTATTTATGCGACGTTTTTGTTTAATCAATGGTTCTGATTTAACTGTATGTGCTTGCCGTTTTAATGACGACCATTGAGAATAAACTTGTAATTCACTATTAATACCAATTAATAGAAGGCCACCACGTACCCATTTTAAACTTAAATTTGAACAAACGATAGCAGTTTTATTAATCGATGATAATTCAATTGTACGTAATTTTGTCCACTGTGATACCTGAGTATATGAATAGATAAAAACATAGCGTGTTCCGATAGATGTTGCTAATAAATGTGCACCATTTTCAATGGATGCCCAATCGAAATGTACATGTAATAAATTTGTTTGACCCACCACTTCGTTTATTGGTATTATTGTTTCGCAATTAAATGATGTGCCGCCTGTTGATTCACATTCATAAATTCCTATTTGAATTTGTTTATCATAGAAAGCAACAGCTAATCGACCACAATACGCATTACTGATGGCTAATGCTTGTCCGGATGTTTTCAAACGAGAATTTATTTGTTCATCAAGTGTTATTCCACACCATTCAGACCATTCATAGGTATTCGATGACTGATGTTTACAAGTCCAAAAGCGTATTATCCCGTCGGAATGTGCTGTAGATAAAAGATACGGAGGTGACGATGATGCATCGGAATAACAAAGTGTACTGGAACTTAAATGACCGAATGCGACATCCACAGATTGAAGTTCAGCATTGAAATCCAATGGGAAAACATATGTACTAACCTAGAAGAAACAATATATTATTGTATTTTTCATTTTAAATATAGTCTCGAAGAAGAAATGAAACGAATGACTGTATTTTATCCGTGAATGTTTTTACAAAGAACCGATATGCTCAAGTTTCGACTCAGATTTATCTCGACATGCGATATTTTCATTATGAAAATCTTACCTTAGAACTTTGAACTTGTACTAGCCATTCATTATCATTATTAAAATTATTCATACTAATAGATTCGCAATCATCATCTGGATATGTTATAATTATTTTCCACATATGAATACAACTTTGACTATTATTATCCTTATTGGATTTTTCCACGAGTACAAGATAATATATTTTGCATGCTGATGTTTGTTCACTACGATCATCGATTGCATTTGCAGGAAAAATATGTATCAGTTCAGCATCTGTCCAAATCTATAAATCAGATATTTTTGCTATTTATAAAAGAAAATTTTAGTTCAATATGAATGTAACATACACATTTTGAATCAGAAAGTTCAGCCAGACTTAAAACACAACTCGGCCGTGCTGTTGATTGATTACTAACAACATTTATTCGTGGCCCATTTAAATCCATTGATGGTGATGAACGAATAGAATTCGATTCAAGATCACCAACAACTTGATAAGACTACAAACAAAACAGAGATAAGCTTGGTTAGAACGTTTTTCTTTTTTTGTTAAAATTGATCGAATTTCGGAAAATCGGGTAAGTATAAAAACGCTGAAGAAAAAGCAAAAGCTTGTCGAATAACGGAGGAATGCTAGAGGTAAACAATTCCCTGATTAAGATATTGATTTTATCTATGTATTGGTAACAATCACTGGAATTCAATACAGTCACCACCATAGAATTAGTAACAATTTTTTTCATTATAAATACTTCCACGGTAGTCGAAGCTTTTCCTTTTTAGCAGTTCATCGAAGTATAATGGATATCTATGGTTCAAGAAAAGGGAATAGAGAAAATTTCTTCGATTCGTTAGCTCGAATAATTTTAATTGTACGACATTAAATAAACATCAAGATATCTTGTCGTGTAAAAACCAGCTCTTTTTATTATTTGTAACCGAAATCCATCATCAGTAGGATACCATTGTGACCTACTGATAACATAGGATCTTTGTATCATGCATTTCTAACATGGAATAGATCTATTGTCATTGTTTACTCTCCAGAGTTCCTTCTAAAAACTCCATCTGTCCAACACTCAACAGATTAGCATCTAGGTTCGTAGGATCAAATGATATATCCAATCAAGTTAAAAGACGTAATCGAGTCATCGAGCTGTCTTCGAAAGCTACTCGAATCCGCTTGAAAGTGGTAAATAACCAACTTCCGGAATCTCTCATCCGGTATGATTAACTTTAGCGCTTTCAACACAAACAGTCCCCATATACCTTTGAAGTAGAAATTTGACTTGTTAATAAAGCTTTTGCATTGCATACAACTTGATAAACACGTAACTGCTTTCCATCTGATGCACAAAATAGAACACTCGGCGATTCACGTAATAGATTAATATTCATACTATGTGTCGTAGAAAGAAAATTAATGAAGACAAAAGTTTGATGCAAAACGATATTCTTACCAAGGCAGAACTAATGGAAACCAAGCAATTAATTTAAATGCACCACTATGAATCGATTCCATTCTAGCTAATTCAGTGATACCACCTGTCTTTATCAATGGACCAATCGGTTCTGTACTCCAAAGTATCAACGAGTTGTCATATCGTTGTTTTTTTCCATAATTTAATTCATTGTTTTCATCATAATATGAACTTGTTAATACAAGCGGAACAGTTGGATGACAAACAATATGTCTTATAGGAAAATGATGGCCACACATACGTGCTGTATGTGTCACACATACCAATGATTGAAATTTTTTCTCTTCATGAAATGTCAATGACCACAGATTTAGCGTTCCGTTTGTATGTTTTGTAATCATGTTAATAATAGGTAAATGCTGTTTTTGTTTCGTTTGACTCAATGATAAGTATTGTTCAAATAGAAAATGATTGCAATAAATAATAAGATGTGGTTGTAACGATAAAGCATCGCCTAATGGAAATATATCGGGTATACTAGCTGAAAAACTAACATGAACTTGTCGATGAAACATATGATATTTAGCTAATGATGGTGATGATGCTGAAAATTTTGCCATATTTGTTAATGGTTGGTCAAGCCAATCGATAACCCACAATAGAAGACTGCCATTTATCGGATGAATACTAAATACAACATCGGGACTATTTTTCCAATCGTCGATAAATTTTTTAAAACTATCTCGTATATATAAAAAATATTTTGAATCATCTAATATCGATGTTCTTCCAGTAGGTGTCGAATTTTTATTATTAGTATTAGTAAGATCTACTACTGTATCATTACTATTGCTGTCCTCAGTATCAATGGACATTGGAGATGTTTGCCGTTTTATTTTCCGTTGTGTTTCAAGAAGAAATTGTTCAATCGAAAATAGATTGTATAAATCTTTATTATTTAACCATTGAACAATAAACATATAATCTTTATGAGTTGGAATAGTTGGTGCAAGTATAGAATCTGTACTTGGATTGATTGTTGTTGCTAAATGAAAGCGAATATATTTATTTGTTGTTGATGTTGTTGCTGATGATGGTAATGAAGATGATAGAGAATTTATTTGAGTTATTGATGATGTTGATGACGACGAAGATGAAAGTGTTTGAGCTGTTTGACCATTTGTATTATTTCCATCTTCACCATTCATAAACATGCCATTGGATGAAATAATATATGGAGGAGTGAAAGGATCAGGTGGATCACCAATCGGTGTTGGTATTTGCGTTGGCGTGGAGAGATCTGGGCGATTGCTTATTGGAATAAAATAGCTATGTCTATGGAGAAAACAAAAGAATGAATTTCTTGAGGATGTCGTATAAGTGCCGGAGTTTTAAGCTTCGTAGGTGGTAATTGCCTGTCGAGAGACTCTTCTTTTTTTTGAAAAGAATTTAATCCCAATACTGGCTACTTCCAAGACAGATTGTTTTATAGTAGAATTCAGCACAATAAGAATTTTTTAATACCAAATCATAGTTATGGTAAAAGTATGCTTTGCTAAGTTTCTCATAAACAACAATTCTAATTTTTTTTTGTTACTAAAAGTACTAAAACTTTCTCACTAACGTCGGACTCTGTGCAGACGAGATCGGACATTCAACTATTAGAATTCGAAGAAAAATTTAGATTTCTAATGCTACAATTTCATTATTAATTTTTCCTTAATCTCTATAGACATTACCTTAATTTATGTAATATTTGTATACTTTTGTTTAAACATTCATTTTGTTTATTTCTTCGAGTCCGTGCCATTGCTGGATCATTGATATAAATTGCTGATTCATCTTGTTGCATAGTTTCACACCATATTCGACAAATATTATCTTTACAACATGTTAGTAAACAATTAACAACAGTTCCCCTTTAAAAAACAATAAACACATGATTATTTATTCTTATGTTTGTTTTTTCTTGTTTGAATTTACTCTGCAAAAAATTGACTTGTTTGCCTCCACGATATATAAGTGACTGCTCGTGGATGAGGTAAATAAGTCGAAGTAAATGAAACAATTGGACTATTATCTTCAGTTCGATACCAAATTTTAACTAATCGATCATTCTAAAAGAAAGAAAAACAAGTGAAATTGATTTTTTAACGAAGATTTTGTTTTCGATTTACTTGTGATGCAGTGGCAAATAGACATCCATCATTTGAATAAGTTACATGTTTTATAGGTGATGCTGATCTTCAAAATTAATTAAATTAAATTAAAAAAACATCTATTGAAATTCTATTAAAATCTTACTTATAACTCCAAACATTTTTCCAACTTTTTGAACCAGTATTTGCAGATACTTTTGTAGATGTATCAGTTCCGCCGACTTGAAAATTAACTTTACTAGATCGACCTTCATTTTCATCCGTTTGATTAAACCAAACTTGTAAACCTGATTCACATACTACAATCAATTGATCAACTAAAACCAAAACAAAAATTAACTAAGATGAATGTTACTTTTTTGAAGCAAAAATGAAAGAATCTTTTTCAAGGCAAGTGCTCAACTCATCGTTGAGTAAGACAAATAAATACTGTAAAGTTTCATTAGAAATTTAAGATTTGCTTTAGATATTCATTGAAATAGATCAGAACTTTTGTTTTTTCTCTGTTTACACACCTTTCGGATGCCAAGCAACTGCTGTTATTTTCTCATTCGAACATGTTAATGTAGATTTGAGTGACCATCGATAGTTGACTTGCTAAAAATAAAACCAAATCTCACATGAATGAAATCGAAAAACAAAATAATGTTCTAACATGATGTAATGATCGCTCAGAAGTTATTGTTGGTTCGTAAATACAAACTTGATTTCCAAAACCGACTACAATCTAATTATTCAATAAGATGTAATATTTAAAAACACGAAACAATATCGAACGAACTTTGCCCGATTCATGTGTACAGTCAATACATGTTAGTAAACATTGGTTATTTTCATTTCCTGATAGGAGAATTTGAATGCGTTGAAAATCGCCCGATAAAATCACGATATTATAGCCAGCTGTATAAGCCTTCAAATAAAACAATTCATTTATTTATGAATTATTTACCAAAGCTACATACCACAAAATGAATACTCTCAATACTTCCTGCGGCAAAACTATAATCGCTAGGATTGGCCGCTCCAGTCAAAATCTGATGTCGATGCATATCATCTAAAGTTAAATAAAGCGAATTGTTTTCATATTCGGCATTCTTCTTTTTTTTTAAATATTATTTCCTGCCGGTTAAAGTATTTTATTATTCTTATGTATGCGCTCGGTTTTGCAAAACAACAAAGCAGGATAAACAAAAAACAAAAACAACAAATCTAAGCCGATTGTGGGTGTGCTGCTGTTGTGGCTGTTTGTTGTTGTTCTTCTTGGAGACGATGTTTTTTGAGTGGACCCATAAATATACGTTTCTCTTCATGAGTTTGAAATCGACCATGTCCAAATTTGGATGATGTATCGATGAAACGTAATTCGATTTGTTCGCGATGTGAACGTTTCTGGTTGACAATGAGTGATTTACGTAATGTAATTGGACGTTTCTTGGGTCCAATGCAACAACCTTTGATCATGATGAAATCTTGACGAACTTCACCATAATGTGGAAAACCGCCCTATGTAATACAAAAAAGTGCACTCAATATCGAACATTAATAGTTCAGAATAAAACTAAAAAAATATAGTCCGACATTAGAAGGTGAGAATATAATAATTATTTTTACGATGTTATCGAAAGATGATAAGGAAAGCAATCGAACATTTACTACATTATGTACTGAAAACCTTGAATAAATGAAAAATATTTTAAAGTATGATATGAAATCTAGCTGTTCAAGTTTCTACGTATATATATCAATTAATATGTCTGACGCTATTCTATAGAGTGCACTATCAGAAAGTCTCAAGTTCGAACACTAATAATTTTTGTTTTGTTGAAATTTCTTCATTCTATACTAAATGACCGATCCGTTAGTCAACTCACCATTGGAGTGATTGTTTTTTCTGTTGGATCATGATCAGTTGAACCTGTATTTTTAACAGTTTTACCATCTTTAACTTGAATAGCTTCACCGATGCGATAGATTTTCTTGTTGATTTCCGTACGATGATGATAACCTTTTTGACCAGCACGAGCAATAGCATATGAGACATGAGCTGGATGCCACGCACCAATACAAGCTACCTTTCGTAGACCTTTGTGTGTCTTACGTGGTAATTTTCGTGTATGCCAACGTGATGTAACACCCTTGAAACCACGACCTTTGGTGACGGAAATGGTATCAATCATTTCGTCTTTCGAAAAGACTTGATTAATGGGTACTTGTTTTTCTAAGTGTTCACGTGCGAAAGCAACTTTTTGTTCAACAGTACCACCATTCAATTGAATTTCCATAATGTGAGCTTTCTTTTGTCGTTTACGTAATAATTTCACTTGGGTATGAGCTAATACACGGATAACCTTACAATATTTAGTCATTTGTTTGAAATCATTTTCGATGGCTTTTTTGCCGGATTCATCATCCCATTTCTTTGAATATTTTGTGTATGCTTTTCGTTTTGATGCAAACCAATTTTTGTAGAAACGACGACGACACTCTTCGTTTAAGTGTTGAGCATAGATTGTTTTATAGGCACGAAGACCACGGGGTGTTACAATGTATCCGACAACACCGACAATAACCATCGGTGGTGTTTCAATGATTGTTACAGCTTCAACGGTTTCTTTCTTATTTAATTCTATTTACAACACAGAATTTTAGTTAATATTAAGAAGAAGCATTTCAAAAAACTTACTTGATGCAGGTCGATCGACTTCACGAACAATATGTGTCATACCTAAATCGAACGATTAGAATTCTATATCAACTTATGTGAAGAAACAAACCTGCTTTGTAACCAAGAAAAGCAGTAAGATGAACGGGTTTTTTAGGATCATCTTTTGGAAAAGATTTTACTTTTCCACGATGGTGACAAGCTCGCTTTTTTGGTAAAAAGCCGAGATTACCACAACGTGGATGCTCAAATTTTCGATGGCTCATGATGAGACTTCAAAAATATTAATAGATGATGCTGTTCGATCTGAAGAAAACCAAAAAAAAAAAACTTAATTTTTTCCTATCTCTATAATAAAATTAGTGATAAGATGAAAAAAATAAATGAATTCTTTCCTCCGAAATGAATCCAAACAAATAAGATCAATACATAGGTTTTTGATGGATTTTGGTGGAAAAGAGTTTTTTATAATGAATCCACGTTATCGAGGTTTATTCTTTAGGAATAATGATTTGAACTTTATATAAAATTTTATTATACAAATTATTAATAATTTCATATTTATTTATTAAATAAGTAAACATTTATCAATAGATGTCACTAAGCGACAGCATGATGTTTTTTTTTTGTTTCCAACATATGTCCTGAAAAGACACTTCACTTAGTATCTCTCTTGTTTCAATAATGAAAATATTAAAAATACCTTTCCATAGAATTACAAATGAGTTTTTAGTGTTATCAGGAAAAATCATTTTCGAAGAAAAATAATGAATTTATTATAATTTTCAAATTGAAGGTTTATGTAGTCTTTAAAATGTTATGTTAAAAAACTGTTGGGATGGTCTTATTTTACTTGTTAAAAAATAAAAACTTAAATAAAAATGTTCATTTTCATTTTCGGTGTAATTTATCACAGAAGACTTTTATGTCAAGAAAAGATTCTCATCATCAATTATTTCTTATAAAGATTTTGATCATATTTCATACTAAACATATGTAAGAATACAAAATATTGCTTTTGATATCGAATTCATCTTAGAACGATAAGGGCATTTCAAGAATAATTCTGTAGGTGTGGGTGTTCTACTTTCATCGAGGGTGACACTCACACCCACACCCTGCATAGTTGCTATATTTATGACGTAAATATAATTTATATCGAAATAAATCAATTTTACATGTTGAAAATTGAAATTAAACTAGAACTATGTGAGCAGCATTTGAGAGTCATAGGAGGGATAGAAAAAGGAAAGAAATATATCTGTGAGATAATGAAGCAAAAAATGCCCTTCTCGACCGCGGGACTCAAACCCGCACCATCTCCTATCTGAGAAGATGATCGAAACCAGTTAGATTAGAAAGACTATCTAATTCCTCGTTTAGTGTCGGCATATATCATCACCGCCACTAACAAGGGAGTAATGAAAACATTTTGTTTTTTCGTTTTTTCTCTTCTCTCTCAACCACGCCTTGAATATCAACAGTCGGCATCAATATCACTATACTGTGTATTGTTTTCATCGAGTCAACTTTATTATTTGTTTAATACTAACTCTAGCTTAAATTCAACAATATTATTTCGAGATCAGAAAGAAAAAGAAGCTGCATAGATCTGTTCATTGACTGTGAAAAACATAATAAATGAGATCATAGAAGAGAAAGCACAGGAAAAATAAAATAAATGTCAAATGCATAAGAATCAATTAACATTATTATGAAAATAGTATTCACAACAATATCAAACTTATAAAATTGAAAGACGATCTTTGGCATGACAATAAGAATTACTTTACTAAATCGTTAAAAATTATTTTTGTTTGAAAAATATTTCTGACTGCAATTGAATTGGCTTTTTCGGACATTTAATCATTTCTTTCTTCCTCTTTTCAATACGAGAACGATAGTTTGAGAAAATTTCTATAACAGAACAGGCCGAACACATATATATGGTGTAGCTATACAATCAAATTTGACTAAACGTTCATATTATTTTTTCTCGATCTCGATGAGGTCATGTGTTACATCCTTGAATGACCATAATTGAGCTAGGCAAAGAAAAAAAAATATATGTATATATATATATATATATTTATAAGCACTTTCAAAAAAGCATCATAACGAACACTAGCAAACATGAATCATCGTGATATCCATTTACTTGATCTACCTGTTGAGATATTACTAAACATCTTGAGAAAATTGAACAATATGGATGTTCTCTATTCATTAATAGGAATTGAAGGACTGGACCTTCTGGCACAAGATGAAAAGTTTACAAACAATCACAATTTTGTGTTTGCGAGCAATGATTCAATTAATGAACCTATGCTAAATCGATTTTGTAATTCAATCTTACCTCGAATTCAATATAATGTCAAATGTGTCGTTTTGGAAACAAAAACTATGGATCGTATTTTACGTGCTGGTATTTATCCAAATCTTACTCAACTCAAAATATTCAAATTTCAGGCGAATATTTTTTCAAAGTTTTGTACAGGTAAATAACTGATCAGGAATTGATTTATCTAATGAATGAAGTCTATAGGAATCAAAAAAAAAAAATAAGATTAGGATATCTATTTGTATTTTGTATTTAGATGAATTACTTCTCCGAGACAACTTCAAAAAACAAATTACAGAACTTACACTACTCGACGATTGTGGTCCTGAAACTGAAGCTATAGATGAGACGACAAATGCATATATAAAATGGTTTGATTTCTTTGAAAATCTTAACTCTTTGAGCTGTATTGAATCATGTATGAGTGGAGATCCAGTTTTATCATTAATTGATTTGCCATAAACTACTTTTGTTTCTTCAACTCTAACTAAATGATGTATTACTGTGGATGGTTTTGGCGATTGTCTTTGTTTACTTGATTGTCGCCTGAACCAATTATCCACATTTATTGTTATTATTGTTCATGTCGAACATTATTCATCGATGGAATTCAACTCAGTAAGCTACGGAGACCAAAACTTTCTGTACGTAATCGAGTGATGAAAACGATTCATGAAAAGTTTTTAAACTCTATCATTTTGGATTGTAAACCTTTTTTCTTTGTGAGGGCGATAAAAACTGATTATATGTTGTATGTTTTAGAATGATCTACCTAATTTGAAATGTTTCTCGTTACAATATGAATCTTTAACCGATGAATATGATAATCAAGTTGTACCTCTTCTTCGGCGAATGCGTAATCTTGAAGATTTAACATTATATACTCAAATCCACAAACGAAATAGACTTGTTGATGGTATTCAATTTGAAAATGATATTCTTCTTCATTTGTCAAAACTCGAAACATTCGTTTTTTATGTCAGTACTGTTACGAGTATCAATCACCCTGTTACTATTTTTTATCACATGATGATATTCAACGAACTTTTTCTAATGTAAAATTTGGACCGATTGGTTATTGTATGAGTTATATCAATGAACCTGATATCATATATCATGTCTTCTCATTTCCATTTGTATTTGATCACATTGGGTATATTGGGAATAGCTTTACGAATACGATATTCAAGAATGTTGCTGTTGTATGCATATGTGATGAGATTCGATTCGAACACAAGTTTTTTGTTCGGCTCGCTCGATGTTTTCCATTATTGAAATCTTTAATTATTATGAATCATAAGGCACAATCAATAGATGCAGCTAAATCTGAACATGACAATGTTATTGGATCATGTGAAGTTTTGCCCCATATCTTCATCTCACATCGCTTAACTTTGATTGTACACATTGATTATGTTGAACAAATGTTGAATGAATCAAAAACACGTTTGCCTTGTCTGACGCGGTTATGGATTGAAAAAATTATGATATATATGTTATTGTGCTTTATTTTTATTAATTTACATTTAAAAAATATTTACATTATTAAAAAAATATATGTAGAATTGAATTACTGTAGCACAATTACATAGGGATCGAACAAAAAAAGTTTCACATTCATGATGTCGTTTTTTAGTGTAAAAGAAAAAAACTTTAAAAACAACGGAAAATTATTAACAACTATTGCAGTACGTAATAAGTTGAACTATGTTTGATTGGGTAGTGTGTGCGATTTGTACAAGTATTTACATCGAGTATACGAAAAAATAGTTGCATCCCAGGTCGAACAGTCCGACCTGGAAACGGCCGAATCCTGGTAGTTCCGTTGATTTTGTGGAAGCAGTATTCCGGTTGGAAATTTTTCGGATTTTTTCCGGTGATTTCCGATTAATTCCTGCCGGAAATCACCGGACTTGGCAGGAATTCGCCAGAAAAGCCGGTCCGTATTTTTGACCAGAATACTGCTTCCATGTTCCAGCAATTCCCCGTGTTTTCCTGCAGGATATGGTGATTTTCCGGCATATTCCCTGGAGTATCCTACGGGATCCGGTGGCCAGAATGTTCGACCTGGGATCGAATAAAGGAAAAAATAGTTACATTATATTATCTATTTTCTTTGTCAACCACCAGCCTGTCAAAATTCAATTTTCAAAATAAACTTAAATGATCATTAAAATGATCAACTTACTAATACAATTTTGTTGGTGTTCGATTGAATATCGATATAGATCGATTTCTACTGCCAGCTTTCCTTGTTCATCGGCATCTGAACTTTGATTTCTTTGTAATTGAAGCTTTGCAATCTTTGTTCTATACTCACGAATCTGAAAAAGATATGCAATTTATGATTAAAATTGAACAATACTTGTGTTTTCAAACTTTCAATGTCAACTTCCATTTGTGACGTCATCATCACAACAGTTTAATATTAAACGATTAAACACACGCTACCATCTTTTTAGTCGATACACGGACATTTATATACGTGCGTAAATCTCCATGAAATTCGCCTTCGTCTGAAAAGAAAACAAATTTTTGTTTTCAAGTAAAATAGGAATAGACCAAATTTTATTCTACTTGTTTTACAATAAATAACAGTATATGAAATTGTGTACGTCGAAAAAGAGTTATTGTTGCTGATGATGATTCAATTTCAGTCATTGTAACATCATGTGATGAACGATTAAATGATACTGGTAGTGGAAGAAAACGATGAGAAAATACTTGAATATAATGTCAACGTCATGACGTACAACATGATGAATTATTGCAACAAATTATTTGAATGGTATATAAGTTTGGCGAACACACGTGGCACACCAACATCTAGAATCAAAGAATATAAAGGAGAAAAAGTGTAACAAACTTAATCGTCAATATCGTATTTACTTTTGACTTCAGCTTTTGGAACAGTTAAATTGAACGTGCTTGATTAACACATTGCTCAAGCGATGCTTCTTTAGCACAAAACCTGAAAGAAAAACATCATAATTCTACTTCAATTGTCTCTTTTTAGTTAACATACCTATCAAGAATACTATCTACAACTAATGTACTCATAGATGTCATATCCCATTACACTGGGTAATGAGAATCCAAAGTCATAGTATCCTAAGCCAAATGCCATACGAAGTGCATCAATATCTACATCCCACTCGGTTATGGATGAATGCTCCCAAAATATTCCGATACTACCACTCGGGTAATGACTTCATTGCCCTAACGATATAACTATATACAGGACTTTTTATATTGAATTTATTAAAAAAACTCCTTGTTTATTTTAATATTAAATTAGATTATAGAAAATGAGAGAAAAGACTGAACAATGATGTAAAAAAAAGCTATTCTTCTTTCGTTTGATAATATGAAAGAGAACAGAAATCATTGAACCGTATCGTCATTTTTTTTCTTTGGTAAATGTTTTTCTTTTTCCTTTTGATTAAAATAAACTAATGTTATTTAATTTAAATATTCGTCGCCGATGGTATCATTTCTCGTATTCAACATCTGCTCGATCTATTCGGTTTATAATATTATTTGTAATTATATTCTTCATAGTTATGTAGGTAATGTTAAGAAAAAAAGAAAATTGTTGAAGTAAGCTTAAGTTTTAGAATGAAAATAAAAAATCCGAATAACTGTTTTAGTTGATAAATATCGTTCTCGTCTTTTTTGTTTTGTATTAACAAATGAAGAAAATTTGGAAACTCGAGGTCGTGCTGCATATGAGACATGGAGGAATCGATGTGGTCGATTTGTATTTGTTACTCGATTAAATTCTTCAAAGCACTCTGAAAAAGAAAATCATTTTCTTGAAAAATTTCGATCGATAATTGAACATATTCCAACATTACCAGATGAACATTATTCGCATTTGACAGATAAAGTTTATGCATCACTATTATATTTTTATAAAAATCATCCTGATTATGATTGGTGTCTTAAAGCAGATGATGATACTTATATTATTGTAGAAAATTTACTTCGATTTTTAGCTAGTACAATTAAGTAAAGTTAAATTGAATGAAATTTTATTGGAAAATAAATTAAATATTCTTTTTCATTAGACGATATCCAAAACCAGTTTTATATGGTTATCGATTTCGTGAGGATTATTATGCAAGCGGAGGTGCTGGATATGTATCAACACGTCAAGGACTTGAATTATTTGCTTCATACTATATAAATAAGAATTCAACATATTCTCAATGTACTGTCATTATGGAAGATATGATGGTTGGAAAATGTTTAAAAAAAGCATTTGAATTAGCACCAACTCAAATAGCAAAACATTTAACATTGGTTGGAGAAACAATTGATCAACAAGGAAGAGAAAGATTTCATCCATTTAATTTTCCTGTTCATTTTAATGGACCTTCGAATACGACAAAAAGAGAATGGATTTATTTTAGACCATTTCATCATAATATATTTGTAAGATTTTTTTTCTTATTCTTAGTTTTGGTTTTATTTCAAAATAGGACTATGAAGCATTCAGTGAAACAACAATTAGTTTTCATCACACACAACCAAATGATGATATGTATCAAATACATTCATTAATTTATGATATTCGACAATTTGATAAACAAGTGTGCCTTTCACATTTATAGAAAAGAAAAAATTATTTAAAATTATTAGCGTAGTATGGTTCTGTAGAAACATCAGTTCGATATATAAATCGCCAAGTAGAGAAAGAAAACAAACGATTCGCGACATAAAAACAAATGATTCGATATAAAAATTATGCTGATAGATTTAATCGATTAATCTTAAGAAAACACAAATGTCTTCATTGCTTTCGTTTCAGATACGTTTCTACCGAAGGAAATATTTGTATAGATAATATCGAAAATCGCTATAGCTTATTGGCAGAGCCAACAAATAAAATTGTAGTCGGTTAATCAATGTAATTAGGATTAAATCCAAATGTCGTCTGTTTTTAATACAAAGCTATATTACATAAACAAGAATCTTTTATGATTGCCTTCTCTTTCAAAACAGGATGTTTATGCTATAATATGTTATTGAGCTGAACTTGTGCGATCATGATGAAGTACTCAGTTACAGATAGAAAAGAAAAAAATTTGGCTTGGTATTTCATCATCTGTTGTAAGTATAATAATTGTGATGCATATGTCGTATCGAAGTTACATCGGTTGGCGAACTTGCTTTTTCAGAACCAACTTGTTAGTTTGATAAATTTATTTATTAATAATTAGTACTCACGTATATAAGAAAAAATTAGAGAATATATTTTTCTTTATTTTCTTGATCTTTATTCTATCAAGATCATGATAAGTTTGGGAACACATAAGATTCCCTCAAACATTCAATTCTAATTTTGAAGTTATGAGTCTGGGGCGTGAGCGTAGATTGCTCGACTCGAATATAGCTGTTCATAATAGCCAGAGCAGTGCAAGCAGGAGGAGGTTGGGGTAGAGTACTCCCACCTCTCAGTTTTCGAAAAAATATTCTAAGTTTTCTCCGATTCTAAAAAATTATTTGGCTGCTTCTTGATTTGGATAAATAAATGGTGGAGTACATATAACAATAATAATGATTTAATCTTATCTGAAGGTACCCGTTATCTTTTGGAAATCAATAAATCTATAAATGATACATATGCGTGCACTTTATCTTGCAAATGTCGTATTAGATTCAAGTTGCCATTAATGGCAACAGGTTTTTGTAAATTATCAACATATTGTCGACACCTAACGGAAAAACAGTGTTTAACATCGTCAATGACTGTAAGTATGTCTTGTGTTCAAGATAAAATTTCTACGAATTTTTATACATCTAGATACGTGAAAAAGATAATAATTCAATTAACAATGGAAATTCTACAAGTCGATCAAATAGTTATTCAAAACGAACTCGGTCATCATCGAGACACACGACTTCGAACACAAAAGAAAATGTCCGAAAAAAAGAGTGAACCATCATCTTCGTCGTCATCGTCATATAATAAACATGTTGGTGAAGATTAAAAAATGAACGATGTTCTCCATAATTCTTATCGAAAGATGTATTGTTTTTTTTACTTTGATATATGAATATATTATAGAAATATGTGTTTTATTTATTGTATATGAATTAGTTGTATTTTATTCATAGTAAACTTCTTTTTCTCTTAAATTACATGAGCCTAATCTCCTAACAACAAGAATATGTGCCGTCTTTTTGTAATTACTAGGAAGTTATTTATATTTGTAGCATCTTGATTTAGAATAAAGTTTTGTTGAATTTATTTTGAACAGATTCATTTATATGCTCTCAGGAAGATTTGTTATTTACATATGGTTACTTTTTCTCATAGTAGTATTTTATAAATAGGCAATAATATTTATATTTTTTCAAGCGTAATTATGAATATTTTACAACTTAAAGAATTAACAGATGAGCTGATGAATTTCAGTCTTAATAATTTTAATAATTTTATTGAAATTGCATTAAATAAAGATCTATGTGAACTTTTTCAAGCGCAAGCAATTCGAGAAATGTCATCGTTATCATCTTTAACAATAGATCAATTGACACATGTACTCACTTTCGAAATCGATGAATTAAAAGGTTTAAAAAAATCACTGGGTTTCACGACAAGTGATGGAAATTTTCATCTTCGACTTGGTCATCAAAAATTATTAGAACACTTATTATTTTTAGTACAAAGCAAAAAACATTTTGTCTGTCAAGAATCGTGAATTACCAAATAATTTCATTGAAAATGATATAGACAAAAACTAATTGAGTTGTTAAAACATCAGACATCTAATTTATCTGATGGGCAAAATGTTTGTATTCTTGTTCATGGATTATAAATATTTTTCAAAATTTAAAAACAACAGAAAAATAAATATAAATATGATACACATATTCAACAATTTACATTATTAACATATATTCTTGGAGGTAGAAATTGTTATGAATTTCTTCGTTTAAATCTATCCGGATCATTACCTCACATTTCAAATGTAGAAATATTGATAAGAAATCGAGAAATGCGAATGACTGACAGCGAATTTCGATTCCAATTAATAAAAGAATATTTAAAACCTAATAAATGTAATTATGTATTTATAGCCGAAGATGCTACTAGTTCAATATGTCGTATAGGTTACGATGCAACATTGAATTCATTTATTGATTTTTCTGCACCTTTAATTGGTGGAGTACCACAGCCGAATTCTTTTCAGACAGAAAATTTCGAGCAATTAGAATTATGGTTTAATGAAATAGGTAAAGCGAAGTTTATTAATCTTTATATGTTAAAATCTTTAGTATTATCTGATCCACCATTTATTTTGGCAGCTGATCGATCTAACAATAGAGCAAAAGCAATTGAAATCTTTAAAAGATGGCTATTCATTTATCACCAATGTTTAGCCCAAGATATACATGTTATAGGTTTTAGTACTGATGCTGATGCGCGTTTTCTCAGAGCAATGAGATTATGTTCTCGTTTTTTTCTGCAACATTACCAGATTTTAACGTATTTAAATATCGAGCTATATTTCATATAAAAATACCAAAACAATGGTCTTGGTTTTTCATGGAAGAACAACAAATTCTTTTTCTATGCAAGATGGTATTCATATTGCTACAAAATTTAGAAATAGATTGCTTTCTGAAACAGCCCATATAAAAATAGGATCTTATCCAATTGATATTCAGGATGTGTTTGATTTAAGGTTAATTAATATTCTTTGATGTGAAGATTTTTATTGTATGAATTCAATAATTTGATCGATAGTGTTAAATATTGCTAGAAAGATGAGCGAATCATATTATTTTCGTATTCAAAGAACATTTGCTAAATTGTGCGAAAACGAATTCTGAGAAGATTCGCAAATAGATGTCAAGAAAAAAACGAAAGAAAATAGTTCTTCAATTTCGTATGTACACAAAATCAAATGGATTTTATGGAAAATAGAGAATATATTTTTGTCTACAAGTCTTTTTTTCTTCATCAAGAAAAGATAATCATTACGGAAGAAAAGAAAAAAAAAAGATTACCAATCGACGAATCCGGACGCGAACGTACTCTGTCTCTAATAGTCATTAAAGGGGAAAATCTAAATAGAATTTCTTTTCTTTATTATAATTAAACGTAATATGAAACTTAAAATAAATCTATTGAAGATATTGAAAGAGGTCTCTGTCGAATGATTTTGAATGGGGGTGGTACACATTGTAATCTATTATAATTTGTGGACGACAAACAAGTATGCTTATATATATATATATATATATATGTCTATTCGCACAACACATCATTTGTCCTGTTGTTGTTTCGATAGGCTCGATCGACGCGAATGTAATTACAGATATTTTTCATTTGGTCACAAAATAAAACTAAAAGTATCTAATTATTCTAGTTTTCTTTTTGTACACAGAATTTTAAGTTTAGTTTGAACAAAAACTGCTCTAGATTTACATCATAGTTAAGTTCATTTTTTTTTTGAGATTTTTTTCAAAATTATTAGATTATCTTCTATATTTAGCTTATAAGATTTACATTTTAGTATTGTTGTTTTTTTTTTGTAGTATGAGTATTAAGAATAAAACACGTTTTCTTCATAGAAAATACCGATACTAGCCCTTCTTGCTGCTACTATTTTTTTCATCAATCCTAATTTTTTTTCTCCCTCTCTCTCTCTGTGTCTTTCATTCGCCCCTTGGTGTGCGCCCTCATGCCTCGTGTATGCTCTGCTGTGTGCGTGTATGTGTGTACGTCGTCGACGACAACCACAGCAGATCGAATCATATGGAAGATCATATGTGGGTTAGAGAGAGAGAGAAAAAAAAATGGAAGAAGAACGACAAAACAGCTGATTACCCTTTGTAAAGCGCTAGTGAAAAGGGGCATCCATAATGGGTAACTTGGTATACATACATATATGCCCGCGTACCCCGTCCGCTCGACATGTTCAATCAAATCAGCTAGAGGCTGTCGAATAGTATTTCTCTCTCTCTCGCTCTTTCCGTTTGAGCCTCATGAGACACTACATTGTTATATTGTTAAAGTACATACACTACTCAATATTACCTACGATTTCTTTTTTCGTTACAAATTTATTTTCTGTTGTAGATTTTTCAATGACATTTTCCTAGTCTTTTAATTTTTAAATTAACCTTAATTTCCATCGTCGAAAACTGGTTATTTGTTGTGTTGAGAATAAAAGAAATACAATTCAATGGCAACAACTAGTGATCAAGCAGGCTTTTTCGATCTTCAAATTGAATCACCATCAAGCTCATGTTCATCATCACCACCAACATCATTGAAACCAGTTGATAGTCAAAATGAAATTGATTCTGGCTGTGGTAGTGATGATGATCCCGCATTAGCTTTGAAAATTAATAAAGGTCTTTCGATGGGCTATGATTATGAATTAATCAAAAGTGTTATACAACAACAAAACGATGGTGATGATATGTCGAAATTTATTGAAACAATTGTACGTACAGCTGAAGTGAATAGTAATTCAAACATAATATCAACCAATAATAATAATAATAATAATAATAATAGTCCATCAAGTAAAAGTTGTTCACCAACAACTATCAATCAAAAAGCAGATATGGATTTATCATCGATGAATTCAAATTGTTCCGAAACAACAATGCCTATTCCACATGATATTTACATTATTGATGGTGCCGATCTTGCCTATAGGTAAAACGAGACTTTTTTTTTAATTTAAAAAGCAAATAACAACATTTAATACTTTTAGCTTTGGTAATAATGTTTTTTCATGGCGTGGTATTGAAATTTGTATAAAATATTTACATTCACATGGCCATAAGAAAGTTTTTGTTGCTCTGCCATATTCATTGAAACATCATCGACATGATCAAAGTTTTTCGGAATCAAAATCGTTACGTGATTTAGAACGTAAAAATATGCTTGTTTATACAAATCGTATGTCAAAACAAACAAATAAGCCAGGTTCCTATACGCATATAAGTGAAATGTTGAAATTTTCACAAAAAACCAAAGGACATTTAATAACAAATGTGTCGTTAAAAGATGTTATTCTTGATTTTACTATTTATAAGCATATTATCGAAGAAAAAGTAATTCGTTATCGTTTTCAAAATGATAAGTAAGAAATTCGATGTTAATAAAACAGAAAAGTTTCTCATATTTTCCTATTTAGTTTTCAACCATTATTAGTAACAATTGTAAGTGGTGATGATGGAAATGATTGTGAAACACATTATCCATTATGTCCTTATGGTAAAAAATGTACATATGGTTCAAAATGCAAATACTTCCATATTGAACGGCGTTATCAAAATCCATTATCAATAACTGAAAGTCTTCAAATGAAAGCACGATTAGAAAAATCAAAATTACAACATCAATCATCGAATCCACCTATGATACCAGTATTAGCCAATAATGGTAAAACTCTATTGTGTCTTTAATTTTCTGTGATGAACTTTTTTTTCGTTTTTCATTTGTAGGATTTAAGTCAGCATTTAATCAGACAAAATCAGGTCCTGATCATATACATATGTATAATGATAGACATTCACCAATACCATTTTATCCAACCATGGAACAAACTCTTATTGATGATGCACGGGCAGCTTATGAATACGGTTTATCATCGACATCGCCAATGTCAACTTCAAATGATTTTTCATTTGTTGATCAGCGTTTACCAATGCAACAGCAACAACAACAACAAACAAGACAAACACAAATTCCAACACATCATAGTTGGTTCGGAACACCTAATCAACAACAGTCAGCTTTTAATCGAACATTTTCTATGCCACAACAACAACAACAAACAAATTTATTTTCAAATAATGATTCTCAACGGCTCATGGAAGAACAGCAACAAATGGCAGCAACAATGCTCATACATCAACAAAATTGGGCTCGTCAACAACAACAACAACAACAACAACAAATGTTTTCCATGCAACAACAGCAACAACCACAACAATTCGAACAGGTAATTACTGACTTGGTTTCCTACTCGCATATCTCTTTAAAACTAAATGTTGAAATTTTCATAAATATTAACAGATTAGAGTACTTGTTGATTTTTAAGTTAGATACTATTGCGAAAAAGTAGAAAGTTCTTTGAAAACAAAATTGTTTTTTATTATTATTAAGAATGTTCTTCGTCTACTATCAATGCTGTCCTTCCAGCAACAAAATAATATGATGAATAATCATAATCAACATTTATCATCTGTTAATACCATGATGCCATCCATGACAAGTCAATCATCTCAACAGCAGCAGCAGCAACAACAACAACAAGAAAGTCCATATGATCGTTCTTCAATGAATAGTCAACAATATCTGGCCGATAAAATTCAAGCTGTACGTCATCTTTGGGAATCAGAAAGTCAATACGCGAGTTCTTCATCACATTCTCAACAAATGCAAAATTATAATCTACAACAAGCATCACCTATGGTTGATTCAACTCTATTTAGTCCTATGAATACATCATTTCAACAAGGAACTCATGGTTTTATTCAATTTCAATAATAGATAACAAGAAGGTGGGATTGGATCTCTTCATCTGTCTTTCACTATATTTCTGTCTCTTATGTTTTCTATTTATTTATTTGTATAACCACATACATTCTTAGTATGTACCTAGGTGTCTGTGTGATTGTTTTCGTTACTCCTGTTTTTTTTTCTTTTCTTTTTTTTTTCATTGACACTTAGTGAAGATTTTTATGTATCTATCTAAGTTTATGCATTGCTCTGTTGTAAATAGAAACCAAGACGAAGAAGAAGAAGAAGAAGAAAATGCGTTATTCGAAATTAGTCGTTGTGACACATGTAGCATAAAATATGTATTTCGTCTTTTACTCTTTATTGTGTATGTACGGTTTTCTTGTATGTAGTTAGGTCAAATGTATATTATGCTCGCACTGCGAACAACATTACTCTGGTTTTTGTTTTGTCTCTTCCGTTTCTTTATATTTCTTCTGGTTTTTTTTGTTATATTGTTTTCATGTGTTTTTTGGCTTTTGTTTCTGCCCATATTTTCTAACTTATTCAAATATACATCGATTATTTGACATTGTATACCGTTTTCTGGGTCTTTATATCAGGTTAAAACATATGTTTCTAATGACTTTTGAAATTTCAATAGAAAATCTTACTCGAAATAGGTTAATGAAAGGATTTATTGTTATGTTCAGAGACAATGGGATCCTTGAATTAAAAACCAAACAATTGAAAGCTTATATGAATTTATTCAATAGATTACGCCTCTTTATCTAACAGTTACTCGATACTATGTAATAATTGATAGAACCAATTTTTTTTTATCACTATGATGATGTCTGGTATCTTGAGAATATTAATTATAATAATGAGAATATGTTCATGTCCTAGCAGTAAATTCAATGAATACATCAAGCCATTGCTTCTTTTTAGTGTACGCTTAAAAACAATTAATCTAATTATAGAATTGAACTTTGGAATCTCCATAGTAAAAATATTTAATTATCTATAATGCACGAACATACATTTAGCTAACGGCAATAGTTTGCTTTTTTCAAGCTCGTATTATATGAACTCTGCATGTTTGAGCAAAGTTCATGTCCATTGTTCAGATCTGTAAGAAAGAATTCTCCAACATTACAAAAGTCTAATCTCTTTTATATCACTTTCATGAAACCATGGGAATACTAATACTCGGTTAATGATTCAGATCAAAGATGCGAACGCAAGCAATATATCTAGCATACTGTTGATTTCTCTAGTGACACGTCGTAGATCATTCGATATATTAATGGACAAAGAAAAGAATTGTTCGCATTCAAGATTCAATCGATGAACATGTCACGTTTATTTTTCGCCTTTGTACCGTTCAGTTATTATTTACAAAAAAAAACGAAAACAATGTTTGTTTTAAGAACTATCGTCGTCATCATAACAAGCGAGCAGTGAAGATAGGCCGGCCGGTGGTTTTGAAATAGGCTCAGTCGTCGTTGATTTCTTCTTGATTATCATACCTAATGGATTTTTAGATGACTGCTTTTTAGCATTAAATGGTTGAGTAAATGAAATTGTTGTCTACAAATGGAAATTAAAAAAGAACCGTATGGTTAAAATGTCATTATAAAATTCACTTACTTTTGGTTTTGTTGTACTTTGTGCTAAGGGTACTTCTTCTTCAGTTTTTTCAATGATTTCTTCACTCTCCATATCCTCATCAGGATCGGTTTTAACGATTGATTTACCGAATACTCGTCTAAAGAAACAGCAATGTTATTGCATTATATTGTAAGAAATCGAAAAACTTACTTAATTTCAGCTTCATCTTCTTCCTCGTCAAGTTGTTTCTTTAACAATTCATATTGTTTTTCTTGTTCACGTTTTTGAGTTAACATCTGTTCAATTTTAATATCTGCGTGACGGGCATTTAATTCTTTAATATCTTCGAGTGCTTCAATAGCTGCCATCTCTTGTCGTGAATCGCGTGTTCGATTTTCTAATAGCTAAAATTTAAAATTTCATAAGAAAAAATATCGATTTTGCTTTGCTTGCACTTACTTTCATTGGATTGAGAGCTTCCTCTTCGAGTACTTTTGCAGCTTCTTCTTTTGCTTGTTTTTCAGCAAGTCGAACCGATTCAAAGTTTCGCATTGCACCATGTTCCAATTCATAATCTCCGTTAGCCGGATCAGTCTATCAAAATAATCTGATTAGAAACGAAGACATTTTTTTTAAAATTGTTACGGTACCTTGAATGTTATTTCACGTAAACATTTTGTACATTTAATATAAAAACGATAGATTTGAATGCCCAAATAACTATCACCCATCACATCTTCTTTTCGAGCATTGAATTTCTTACCTTTATAAATATATTCACCACATGTTTTACATCTATGGAAAAAAGAAGACACAAGAAAATTACATTGAATTGTTTAGTCGCATTTTTTTCCACGTACCTCATATTACATGGTGCCATTAAACGAATGGTAAATTGCCGATTTTTCGAACGCTTAGCACGGGGTAATTTCGATGGATCGAAATCGGGTGGATAGTATTTCTAAATAGATAAACTAAATGTATTTTATGAATGAATCAAAATCATATACATACGTTTAAAACTTTTCGTTCAGACATGTTTCAGTAGTATGATCAAACGTCAAATGATAATGCTAAAAAAATTCTTCTCAAATATTTCGAAATTTCCGTATATGAAATTAACAACAAGTACACATTACACATTTATCTATTTATTTATTTTATTTTATGGCAGAAGTAATATTTAATTGGTTGACATCTGAACACATAATAGTGAAAGACTGTAGACGTCGCTGATATACCTACGAAACTATTTCAGACAAGACAGCATGCATATTATAAACTTTTGAACAGAAGTGAATATACTTTTATGAAAATGTGGATTAGCTTTAATTCAAAACTAGATAAGTCTACTTCCATGCACAGTTAAGTAGTGATGAAAAACGTCCAAGATTTGCAATGCGGTACCCGATAGGGTGTAGGTAATGCAATTTCATTGATCAACTTCCGCTGTTCAATACGGTAAAACGCTGAATCCTACCATGGTTCAAAATAACACTTACTATCGGATGAAACCTTGAAGTAGAGTTGCAATGTCTCATAGTTTGATTAAAAAAATGACCATCAACCTAAGTTTACATGACGATATTGACATCAAAAGTAAATAGAAGAATATATTACAAAAAACTCCGTTCAATACAGTATCGTTGTTGAAATCTCCAACAGCAACCGACTTTCATCGAGATCCGTTACCAGTTCTGACCCAGGGCAAACAATCAGATGTTAAAATCTGATGAGATTCTGCGTCTGATCTTATATGATCGTGTAAGATCCGACAAAAAGTCGTACGAAAATCGTAGTCTCTGAAATTTTACATCAATTCATAACATCAGATTCTTGAAAGATCTTACTGTATCGTAAGACATGACTCTTATATTATAGAAAATCTTACGAAATAGTAAGATCGTTCAAGTGTCGTATTGTCAGACTCAATGAAGATTTCAGAGATGACGATTTTTTATATGATCCTATCCGGTTTCGCAAGACCTTACATCTGATTTCTCGACCTGGGATCGAGTGTCATTGCTAAAATCACAGATAACTACAGATTATGGATTGAGGTCAGTTGAGTATACAGTTTGATCTGCAAAATTACGATCTCCATATCCTCGATGTGCTCACGTACACATTGTAGCCCAAATATAGGCGCTGGTGGATGGAGACGAAGAGGTTCTTGTAAGACAGCTTCACACACAGCTAGACTATTGATAAATTCATGACTGGATTTTTATATAATTTGGTAAAACTAGGGATTTCTTCGCGAAATCCACGTAAAATAGATTCACTGGTCGTTATAGCTTGTTGTTTGATTTCTTCGTCAGTGAATGATTTACCATCACTATCAATAGCTTTGACTGTCTCATTAGCCATGATAGAAATCATTGATTTCAAGTGAATAAAGTGAAAAGCAGAATTGAGCATTTTTTCTAGCTCTTTAATGTTCTTGCCCTTCGCTAACTAATAAATTATGTGAGCCAATTAATGGTTTAAAAGCACTAATGAACACACCTGGTTTCACATAGGCATGAGCATGTGACCGACCTACAATGTCAACAATCATGCATGGCTCAGTCATCATAATACCCATTCGAGATCCAAAAGAGAAAAAAAAGTAATTTTCATATTTCTCACTAAGATCGAATAAGTGGTCCAGAACGCCATTGCTTTCTCGAGCACGACGTAGTTTAGGTAGTTGACTAATAATCGATACAAATGGTTCACCAGATACGCCTTGCCTGAGCAATTCATTATATGAATGTTTTTCGGAGAAATTAATTTCCAGTAGAGAAGTGCTAAACATGAATAAGACAATGATCAGAAATACTCTAAGACAGCATAAAAGCTCATTGTATAGATTGAAATTGATAAATTAATCATATCAGGTTATATTTTCGTGCGTAATACCGTAACAAGTACGTCTTTTGCTTGTTCTTTCTTCAAACACCACTACTATTATAACTATTGCAACGAATAATGTTTCAACAACAGAAAGACAATATCGGAGTATCATGATTTTGATTACTTTGATCTTTTATTATGATGCAGGTTTCTTTTATTCTTATCTATATTCTAACATTAACAGTTGTCGCAGTGATATATGTATTCTATGTAAATCTTTCTATCCTTTGTGAAATAAAGAATGAGAGATGCAAAGATCATTATTAGGCCAATATATTTTACGAAAACAAAACACTATATGAAAATGATTAGATCGATTCAACTCTTAAAATTGAGCTCAGTCATTATGCTCTTGAAATGAATTCAGAATTTTTGACTTTCTAAACGTATCCGGATTATGAGTATATCTAGTAAAAACTATCCTAATTTTATCATTTCTACAAGAATCACGAACGAGCTCCGATATTATAGATTTTTCACTAGAATTCGGAATCAGCGAAACAGAAATACCACATACTTAATGCGAGTGCAAAAAAGATACGATTATTTTCTTCAAAATTCATGCGGTGCACTTTCAATAAATATTTCAATTTAAAAAAGCTCAATTACATCCTCTTAAGCTGACTGTATAGTAGAAATTCAAAGAAATCATGTATTCCAAACATATCAGCTCCACATTATTTAAAGTTTTTGCAATCAAGATCAATAGATTGCGTTTGTCAGAAACTTTGTAGACATTAGAAAATATAAGAAACGTTTATAGCTGAAAAATAATTTATAGGGAGACAATGTTATTGATCTACGTTTTATACCGACTATGTATGGAATAAAAAAAACTGTGATCGAGTGTCGATTTGGATCCGAAACTGCAGAACCGAAATTCTGCGTCCATATGCTATTGGCTCATTTGGAAAGTGGGCAAGTTTAAGTCCCGGAACCGCGGCTCGATACGTAACACTACATTGCATATTTGTCTCTTATGCTGTTTGTTTATTGATGTGGTGTAATTTTGCTTTCTCTTTCCTTCATCACCAGTAATGATTCATCTGTGCGCGTGTGTGTGCAGGGGGGGGTCTGTACATGTGTGGGATTTCATTTCTCCCACCCCCACCCACTTTCACAATTTGCTCTCACCCTCCATTGTTGATTTATAGATACGTTGCGATGATACATTTGTTGAGGTAGATGGTGAATGTTTAATATCGGATCTTTGGTTTTTCGAGCCCACATTCATTTTTGAATATGTATTAGTTTCGCTGATTCATAGACGATCGTGAATCGATGTATATTCCAAAATTTTAAGTTATTCTAGTAGCTGGCATTCATTCAAACAATTAAAATTACTTCTCATAGTTTTCCTGAACGTTCAATCATTGATTTCTTTCATTCTATCTTTCAATATACGGTTCTCCTCGTTGTGATTTTGTTTTGACAGCAAGTTGATCAAACCCCCCATCAAATATATTAATAATTGTCGTCTCTCGAATAGGTTAAAATCGACGAATGAATGAATCTTTATTAAACAAAAGTAAGCTGACTGTCGACGAAAAAGAAAAACAAACAAACAATAGAGCATCTTCTTTTGTTGAAAACGAAAACTGAGGAGAGCAACGAAAGAAAGAATAAGAAAAGATGAAATCTAACAGCTACACTTATCTAAGAGATGAGGAATCATTCTCATCACTTATTATGTAACGCTGACTGTTAATGGATGTCTTTCTGAATTCGCGACAGCTTTTTTATGCCAATAAACACTCTTGTCATAGTTGCCTGTTTGTGATGAGAGTTTGGCAAGATCTTCATACAGATTATCAAGTGAAGAATCATCGGGTGGTAGTTCTTTTAATCGACGCGTAAAATATTTTTCAGCTAAATCAAGCTTTCCCATCTCCCATAATATTTTCCCTAATGTTTGAAGGTTTGTTTCTATGATTGCAGTTTTTTGCTTGATATTCGTAAGAACTTCTTCTAAGCCATGCTGATTGCCACTGCATAAACTTATTTTGATAATTCAAACGTTATAATCATTATTTCGAATAATGCTCTTAACACAAAAAATAGAACCAATCATAAAGAGAACTTCAGATTCACCAGAAAATTCACTATTTGCAGTGATATCGGCGAATGGTTTTGTCGTAACCATCTTAGGGTCGGCATCAATTTCAAATAATATTGGTTCTAAATTCTGTACATCTTCAGGAATTTTGAGTAACGACAGTGCTTGATATTTATCAGTACTAGTGGAAAAAAACGAGTTCACTGAAATAAATTGATCGCAGCACTGTGTCAAAGTTTGCAGTTCAGAACTTGATATCATCTGGCTGCGATAAACTTGTAGAGGCTGCTTAGCCTGACAATTTTGCAATTGACGATAAATATCGAAGATAAATGCACGAAATAAAAAAATTAAATGAATATTTTGGGTACGTAGAGCAGAATTGAGAGTCTTGTAAAAAAATGACTCTTTCGTATACCACCATAAAACTTTGCCAGACACATAATCCTTTTCAAATTCACGAATATTGTTCAACTCAAGATTGTTGCCTTCATATTGGTGTTTACAATAATTAATGAGCTCTGTTTTATCTTCTTCATTGGATTTTAAGCGTAGAAGACAATCAATAAGAACTTGAGAAAAAACGAACTGACCGTTAACAGCTGTTGTTGATTTACCAGCTTTGGTACTTGTATTAAAAAAATTAATTGTCACTGGCTCTTCCAACTTTCTTTGAATTTTATGATCAGTTTTAATTCGAGATAAAAGTTCATCATGTTTAACAACAACAGCTTTTACCTATAAAAGAAAAATCATACAATGCAATCAAAATCATTCAGTCGAATTTCACTTTTGAAAATTTGGAAACCCATTGTTTATTACTTTTCTTATCCATGCAGTACACATAGATGGATAGAACTTGTCGAAGTTTATGAATAGAAGGAACAATTTCTCTTCCAAATTGACCGCTAACAATCATTACTATGCGATCTTTTAGTGTTCTCCCTTCAATATAGTTTTGGCATTGTTCTACGTCCTGAAATGTCTTCAGTTGGTTAATGATGGAGCATAACTTTTGCTGTGTACCTTGCAACTCCTGAACATTTGGATTAGCATCAAGCCAAATCAAACTGAAAATCTCAAGATGCTGGTTGTCTGCATTTGTGTGATAGTCATCCATTAGTATAACAGGCCTGGCCACGCCACTTTCCAAGGCTAAATTGAATAGAGAAATTCAACGTTATCTGTTCGATTCAGTTACAGAATACATGAGCACTCTTTCCAGTTACAAACGAATTTTAGACTCTAAAGTATCGCATAGCATGGTGACAGTAGATTCGTAAATTTCACTAAAAACCCATCCTCAAAATCTCTGCAGAGGCAAACATCGGCCAGACCAGGCCTATTTTCAGCTTCACCTATCATTGAAAAAATATTTCTTTTTCAATCTTTTACTAGTTTTCTGGGTTCCACATTTTTCAAGGTCATTGTGACTTTTTAAAGATACAAATTATAGTACATATTCTAGAGGAAAATTTCTCTAGAAGATGGATAAATAATTGAATGACGACAAAAAGACACTTCTCCTGTCCTAACAAAAGCAAGAAAATGAATTACTCACTGCTGATGATTATCACTTCGCAGTTTTTCGATTTAAGCGATCCAGCAATATTTTTGATATTGGCTGAGTATTTTCCTTGGTCTTCAAGTTGAACATTTATGATGGTTAATGTATATGTGCTGTCAGTATCTCTAGTTGGCGATGTTATAAAAACGCGGTCATCGGATATCAGCTCATTATTGTCACACATCCACACAATTTCAGGCTGTGGAATCCCAGAGACGGTTAGCTTAAGAGTAATCGTACGCCCTTTCGCGACTTTTAGTTTAGTTTCAAGATCGATTTCGATGACCGGTTTGATACCAGCAATATACAATATCATTTTTGCTTCGGTCTCACCGACACTATTGTATGCTCGAGCGATATAGATGTCTTCGTCGACAAAGTCTGTTTTGTGAATAGTGATTGTCGATCTTTCGTCTTCATTTTCGGTCACTCGGAATCGACTGTTGGTCTTTAGTGGTTGCCCGGAGAACCACCATGTTACTTGAGGCTTCTCAATATCGCTGAATTTCCATGACATTTCAGTGTGTTGACCAACCACGCATGATTGCTCATTGAATGGGTTGGATGCTTCAACCTTGCGTTTCACTAGAGACAAGAAAGAATGGTAGCTATATGATCAGCAGTATTAGTAAAAAATCGTTTATCGAATCGATTTGATGTATAAACTTGATATAAAGATTTGAGAAGATTCATACTGATATTAGGTCGTAAATATATGTTATTCGGTGTTTTTCGATAAATATCTGTAATAGATGAAATATTTTTGAATAATTCCCATGGTAGACGATGTTTAGAGGTAGCAAAGATCAATAACTGCAATAATTTCAAGATATACGGGACGAGTTTTCTTAGGAAATCTGTTTTGATGTGCTGGTTTTATAACTTTGTTTTTATTCAAAGAATATGTTCGATATCTAATATTTTTACGTAAGATGATTGATGAATGTGTGGTTGATGTAATAATCCTTCTCAAGTTTGTACTTCGAGATTTTTGAGCGGCACGTCGTTCACGATTATTACGCCATTCAATAGATACAAATGCTTGTTCAAGAATTGAACCATTATGCTTAACAATATAATCATAATGAAACGATCGTTTTGATCTTGTTTGACTCATTGAAATCGATGGAAAAATCTCATATAAGGAACGATTTGACATTTCAATCGTAGCAAACAGTAGATTACTATTTGAAACTGTTCGGCTAAAAACAGTAGCAATATGAAATAAATTTTCATTGAATTGTGTACGATAGATTTGAATGAACGAGGAATTTGTTATATTAGCACTCTGATCATTATTGTCATCAAGAATAATAACCGATGGCATTCGAAGATTTTCAATGGATGTTATAGCTTCGAAAAAACGAAAATAATTATTCTTACCATTTATATTCAGTGTTAAATCAAATGATGATGCATTATTTAGAATGATCAAGTTTATATTAATTGATAAAAGTAATACTATTGTCAACTGCATATTGTTTTATATTTATTCCATAAGACAAAAACGCCTCTACTATTAAAATAGTATCGTGCTTTTCTAAAACAAAATATACCATCAAGTAATGTGCGATAGAGTAACACATGTTTTATCTTGTACCATTACATTCTTTCTGCATGTTCTATTTTAATCTTACAAGAGAATTAAATGATATGACAAGCATCCTTTGTTGTTTTTTCTTTTATAATATATACAAAGTAAATATATTTTAGTCAAGATAGGAAAAAAAACTTTTGTGTCTTTATTCTGTGATTATATATTTCATTTTGATCGAATATGCGAACGACTACTTGTATCGCTAATTAAACAATGAAGGATAATAATACCAACAAGCTAAAGAATAACAATAATAGATTAGATCATGTTTTAAAACTATCTGAAACTTACTATTGTTACACTCATGAGTAAAGTTAATCCGCCATTCATACCTAATAGAAAATTTTCTTGATAATACTAAAAACAATCAATCAAATAGTGTTTTAGTTCAAAAATCTTCTTTTCGTTTTTCTTTTATTTGTTAACACTTACATTACTATCTACTAAATTTGGATTGTTCTTTTGATCATTGGCTAAAAAATCATTGACTTGAGCTAATGAAAAATCAAAGTCAACATAGAAAAACTAATTAGATTTTAACTTACATGTAAAAATAATTCCTATAGCTATACCAATAATCATGAATAACCATAAACATGATGCATACTAAAACAACCACGATAAGATTTCAATTTCCTTTTCAGTTCGTTTTACTCACTATTTTCAATAATAATATTCGTGATGTAATTAAAGCAATAATTCTAATAATACTAGCAAGAATACCTAATGATCCTAGGATTACAAGAAGAATACTAAAACCTATTCTCTTCGATAGATTTCACTTGAAAAACTAAGCACATTTTCAAGTCGTGGAGTGGTTAGATGCCATGCACCCAATACAAGTAATGCTACGGATTCGAGAACAAGAAGAAAAATAAATAAATACGAAATAAACATAATAAACCAATGTAATGATCGTTTATGAACATAAATTCTCGGCGTATAAAGATAATGTTGAGATTCAATTCGGTTGTGCATTGTTGAATTGAGACAATGATTTTGTCGTGATAACCAGTGAGTTCAACGAATAACTGAAATCTTATACAAATAAGAATAAGTAATAAAGCACCATATAAAAGAAAGATGTACAAGAACGAACGAAGTGTTATGAATAAAAATAATATTGCTACTATTTATGTCTCAACCCTGAACGATGATAGTGTGAGAAGAAAAGGTACATGCAATGAAAGCTTCTTTCATCTGTTTCTTGTCTTACGTTAGTAGCTTCAAGTCACTTGAATGTGTTGTTATTTTATCATGAACAGAGAGAAAAGAAAAGGTACAAAAAAGTGTTATTATATTGGCATAAAGAAGTATACGTATTTCTCCTTTTTTTCTTTTGGCTTGACGCCTACATTTTATTGATAAATAATGACTGTAAATCATTACCTGAAACGCATCATGACTGTAGTAAACTAAAATAATTATGTTATTAGTTTCGTGCTCAATTATAAAACTATAATTGAAATGGTTGAAGTATAAATTAAATTCAACTATTGAAACTTAAGTAAAAAAAATTCAATTGTACTCTTTACGTTGTTCGCCAGCTGCTGATTACAATTAAATTACTATTTGAATTTTCCAAGGAAAAAACTAAGTAAAAATATGCATATACTCGCAAAGTCTGTGCTTTTTTTTATTAAAACAGAATGTTGGATAAATTTCATTTATTATTTTTCGATTTTCATGAAAATTTTAATAATATCAAAACATAATTTAAGGTTTATTTACAAATATATTGGCCGCAATGAAATATACAAAAATAAATGAATGATCAAAGAGTTCAGCAATAATCAATGCATAGTATGATCAGCTTATCAATATTGAAATATTACGGACATTATTTGAGTGGGTCCACCACAAGTATTGGTGTTTACACCACCAAAATTTGAATTACCTATACATGGTCGAACGATATACTGTGGATTTGGGCACGCACAAATAGAACCAGCAGCACTCAATTCAGATCCACTCCCACAAGCGCCGACTTGCCATGAACGACCGTTTGTTGTTACGGGTCCATATGCAGCTGCCGTTCGTAAAGCTACAGCAATAGCAGCAATCACAGTAGAATCAGTGATTGTAACACCAACTGAATCATATGTACCATTCATTTGCAATAAGGTATACGGTAAAGGTGTCAGTTGAGCAATAAAATTTGTCCATGCCGTGCATGCGCTTGAGGGAGTGACGCCACTCGTAAAACTTTGAGAATAAACTATATTGAGAGCAGCAGTTGTTGTAGTGGTCGTAGTAGCTAAACAAAATTAAACAATAAAAATTCATACGAATAATATGACTAATATGACTAATCAAATAGTCACTTGTTGATGTAGTTTGAGTCGTCGTTGTTGTGGATGTTGTCGTGGTACTTGTCGTTGATGTTGTGGTAGTGGTGGTCGTAGTAGTTGTCGTTGAAGTGGTAGTAGTAGTTGTAGTTGTCGTCGTGGCCGTCGTAGTTGTAGTCGTTGTTGTTGTAGTTGTCGTGGTCGTTGCTGTAGTTGTTGTTGCGGTTGATGTTGTCGAGGTGCTAGTCGTGCTGGTAGTACTCGTTGTTGTGGTGGCTAATTAGAAAATAAAACGCTGATTTATTTATATCACAGGAACGGCTATAGTTTCAAACAAAGATAGTAAATTCGCCTCTAAACAGGAGCATAGGTATGTGTTGACTCAAATGGAATGATAGCTGGTGTTCTTCTAGTTTTGATAACCTAATAGGATTATTGAATATATCATGACAATTGAATTTTTATCATACTCGCAATGCACTTTTTATGGCTCACTACTCCTCTCAAACTCACATTGCAAAGATTACTTGACTATCTCATTCGAGTCACATTCTTGAGTTCATTTGGCAGTTGTCGAGGTTTGCTAGAAGGTGTGGATAAATCATAAATATCTTCATAGGCACACACTCCGAACCCACACAACAAGAATATCGAGTACGACCCAATCGAAAGTAAATGTTCAGGCTTATATCTGAGAATGATGAAACTTTTGAACTCGACTCAAACCAAAGTTCTTCTATTGTTGGATACATTACTTGGCTCATTATTTTTTTTATAGCATCTTGCTCAAGAAAGGATATGAATGGATCAGGTTTGGGTGTGGGCGAATGAAGTGATTATTTACACTCACACACCCACACCCTACCACTTTACTAGAAAAGAGCGTGTATTATTCGTTTGTTCCGTCTCACGATCGAAGGGGAACACTTCGGTCGTAACAAACACCCTCAGCAAAAATAAGATTAGCGGAATTTTTGAAATCCTATTGATACCGAGGACTGATGGGATACTGTCAGATCTAGATCTAAAACTCGTGTCATGGTTCATAGTTACCAACATTGAGCGCTTATTTCGACCTCTTCTCTCTGAGCACATTTCGGCTAGGGTGTCAATATTTCCTTGTCTTTTGGCAGCCACACCCAAGGAACTTTATGCATTTTGAAATTCCTTTTTATCTGAGTTGAAACAATCACAAGTTTATAAAATTATACCACTACCTTGTCGTACAAAGTTGCTTTAACTTCCCAAAAATAGGAATAGAAACTAGCAGTCTTAATTTTGGCACGTCTAATCGGCTACTTTAGTGTTTCCTCATAATATTTCAAACTACGTGACATGACTGTGACGATTACATATAAAGCACACGCTTGAATACTCAGTCATTTTAGAGAACGAAGGAGGATAAGAGATAAAGACAAATATCAACGACAGAAAGATAAAGGCAATAGGTAAGATGAGAAGAAATGGCGCCATAAGGCCAAACATCATTTATAGATTGTACTCGAATGGGAGTGGTACACCCCCTGGGTGAAATTTGGACGCTCTTCGCATATAACGTTACAATGACGTGATACATTTTCCGAACAGACTTGCTTAACGACGCATAGGCATTCTTTATAACATGCGACTCTCTCGTCGAATCCTTATACGCATGCCGCTGCTCAAAATTTTGTTTTCTATATCTGATTTTCGACGCTCACACTAATATATTACATCAGTTATCCACTAAATATCTGATTCAGTGATCTTTTAAGTCAATTGATAAAAATCATTAGATGTGACGTATAGAGCCTATAATGTTTTTATCCAAATATATTGTCTATTTCGACATTCTACGGTCATTATTCAAGAACCCACAATTTGCTAACTCTGCAGATATTGATGAATTTCAATCGTACATCAAGTCTACAATTAGGTTAAATCTACTTCTAGAGGAACTTAGTTTGAAAAAAGCTGTTAGCGCAATCCCTCTGGGATTAAAATATGGAACACGATGGAACTCCTTTGCTGGATTCTGTCTACCGCGGTCTGTGAATCTTCGTAGCTTTTCTGCCACTGTCTGTAATCATATATGCACCCTTTCGGTCACGGTCTGTATTTTGATCTATGGAGTCAGTAGAGACCATCACAGACTGTGACAGAGAATTCAGAGACCGTGAGAGAGAGACTTCAGAAGCCATCACAGATCGTGAGAGAGAAATTAGAAACCATCACAGATCGTGACAGAGAATTCAGAGACCATCACAGACCGGGACAGAGAAATTAATTAATTAGCTGATCGGTTAATTAATTTCTCTATCCCGGTCTGTGGGGGGGGGGCCGGCCAGGGGTCCAAATTTCTACCCTATATACTTCAACACTCCTTTCAGATCGTGTTTCACAAAAGAATGCACACAATCACTATTCATGATAAAGCCATGTTGTTTTTATGTACTGCTTGCCTGTTGTTGTTGTTATCGATGCTGCTGCATTGCTATTACGAATGAACATTATGTATACAGCGCCGACTGCTGCTACAATAGCCAAGACCAGAATAGCTGTGATGAGCATGCAAATGTTTCTTCTACGTCTGTTGCTTTTCCCCTCATCTTCTTCACCCTTTCTGTAAAAGTATAAATTATATGGCATAGATGCATTGCCAAAAAATACATGCACAAACCTATCATTACTAGATATCGATGCAATCGATGGTAAGTTTCTTGTATCCACTCGAACATTTGATGATTGTATCATCTTCTACAGTGAATGAACATTAAGATGTAATCATTCTCATTTGATATTGTTTATGAAAACATCACACAATTACAACTTTTTAACATGGTCCTCTAAGGTTTCACTGTTTAATCCTCCATCTTGATGAATATACAATTCAAAACTATATATCATTGCACTATTCAAACTAAGTTTATAAAAAAATTTAATTTGTTATGAATAATATTACTAGTGAATCAAAAGTAATATTTTGATGCAGATAGGACAATTTTATGTGTATGTTTACCATGGAATATGCAGTGGATAGTGCTCTCTTTTATACAGATTAGAACAAATATGCACTAAGCACTAACATCGTAATATTCATTAGAGCAAATATTCGACTGAAATCCATGGCATTTTTCCATTCAAAAACGCCAAGTTGACGTATTCTCTCAATATTAGTCCTACCTTAAATAAAAATCGTGTTGTGTGAAACATTTCTCATGCTATATCTATCAACTAAAGCTGAAAAATATGTAATATTCACTGGTTGTATCATATTATTCACCCGAAAAAAAAACTGTATGTTCCGTGGAGTATAATGCACACTCTTGAAATCAATTGATATTTTCTATTTAGAAGAACGACGCTCTGTATCGTAATATGATAATTTAACTAAACCAGACTCTCATATCGAAGTTACCAGGTACACTTACCTAGAACTCATTTAAGTCAAACTCGAATAATACATATAAATTGTATTCTCATGTGTTGAAAACAATGTTCTTTAGAATAATAGCTCCTTTATTTTCTCTTATTTAGCTCTAGATTAGGTACACGCATAGAAGAAAAGAATGAAATCTTCTGATATCCAAAATATACGGGGAAAAGGAAGTTTTTACTTTACCTGTTGTGGAAGAGTTCTCCCATATACTTTATTCATGCCTTTGAAACTGCTAGTGATGGGTACCTATAAAATACAAAAAAAAGAGTTGTTTATACCAAAAATAGTGCATTTGGACATACAACTTTGATTATCAGCTGTGCCTCTAGATAGATTTAGAGATTGATCTTATGTGACACTTTTACAGAGGCTATGCTGTTGTCACAATCATGCGACAGCAGTAAACATATAGTTCTGGGTGATCAAATATTTGCTTAGTCATTATAATCGGTTTGGATGAGCTTCATCAGAAAATTCAGCGAATCATCCACAAACATGATTGAATGAATGCAAAGTTATTTTAGAATCTGTAGAACTTGTCTTCAACTTTAACAACTGTTATTATAATACACATCAGTTTACTTTTAGAAATCTATATAGTTTCATGTTGAATAACATTCGGTCTCCTCAGCACAAACTACAATTATTCCTTTTGTCATCATTATGCCTGGAATGGAATTCAACATAAAAGGATGAAAGAGACTCTCATGAGACGAACTCTTTACAGAAACATTAGAAGTGAATAATTGTGCTAGTAAAAAGTAAAAAATGATGTGTTTGTGTACGTTTTAGGCAGAAGAATGCAAAAGTTCTCTCTTGCTCTCTTAATTGCGCACTGATAATTGTGTATGGTTTCTGGAAGCAAGACAGCATACTTCGTCGCATATTTGTCTTCATGCAGAATATTGGAATTAAATCGTTGTTTCGTTCAAGTGTTTTATTAAGGTCCCAAGCAAAAATGGTACTCAAAAAGCATTTCTTTTCATCTAATGGGTACCTTTTGCATGATTGAAAGGGAACATTATCGGTCTTTTAAGATAGAACAAATCCGTGATTGACTTCTGAAATTAGATTTATAGACATGAATGTTCCTCGTTCATCAGAAGATTTATTTCAAACGATGCAATTCATTCGCGGAACTGTGTCTCAATTTGAGTCAGTATTTCTGTAAAATACGCAGAACTAGAAGTGATTCTGTCATAAATATGTAGAATAACAATGTTTTTAAATATTTTTTTGGCATTCTATATCGCCAATAGGATTTCGATAGCGAGCATATTTTGTGTTGTTTGTATTTATAAAAGGACATTTATTTTAATGAGGTTTCTTGATAAATTATTCACCAAAACGTTTGAGTATCGTGATTTTTATGCACGATTATGACTAGCAAATATCTTTCATCAATGTGAACTTCATATCATTCTAGAAGATGCATAGATCTGTCATTAGTGTGTAAACATACTACTCTCGACGGACATTGCGTTATTAAAAAAAGAGGCTCCGTACTATAAGAACTGTAGGATTAATGTTTCGGATCATGGTCTTTGTTGAAAAAAGAAGTAGGGTTCTTTAAATATGTCTATAAAATTAGCATTGATTGTAGTAAAATAGTGGTATGAGAATGTCTTTTACATATGAATGAATTGCAACTTTTTGGTACATTTTGCGTTTTAGCTGTATTTCTCTAATAACTTTTTTTTCTCTCAGCCGATTTTGATAATTTTTTCATCAGTTATTGATCCTAGTATGTCCCACTGACACACAAAATTGCTGCTCTCTACCTCATACAGTCGCTGAGTTATAAGGAAAACATGACAAAAAAATGTTAGTTTTTACTGACACGTGAGAAGAAAAATGAATTTTTATGCTATAGAACAGCAAGAGAAAAAACATTTAGATAGGCTATTTTGTACAGCGTTCAATGCTCTATCGAAGTATATGGTGGATTTAAATTTTATACTTCATTCTCTCGTTCGCCCAACGTTCACATTATTTGACAGACACTTTGTATTTTTGTGTAGAATGACACAAACGTGATTACAGTTCGACTACTGATAAAGTTGATGACGCAGAGATTATACGAAAGGAAAGACAACTCTTTGAGTAAAAAAATGGTAAAAAAAAATTCTGTGTTGTTGTCTTTCCTTATCGATAAAAATAAGAAGACTTTCTGAAAAAAAGATCATTATACTCACTTTGTAGAATGACAATTTGAAAATTGAATGCTTTATAACTCCTCAACGATTAGTGCGATTATACTTAAATTTTTACTCAAGATATAAACTAACAAGGTCTATCAGTGATAAAAATTTCAGTCCCGAATCATCTTCTATTCCGGAGAAATTTACATTATACTGAGAAATGTAGAATGACAATTTTGCGCGAATATTTTCACTATGGCTCATTCGAAAGTTTTTTTTTCGACGTAGTTAAGTGGGAAGCGATCATAGAGTATCATTTTGGAAGAAAATGATGACCTCAAAAGCGAAAATGTTGAAGATGTGGACGGTTTTTTCGAAAAAAATTGCTCAGGATAAACATAAAAAAACGGGTATTACTAATTTACGTGAACAGCACGAACAGCCAAGTTTGTGAGATCGCATATTAGTCATCTTTACGAACACCCACAGCCTGTCGAGCTATATTCACGAACACCCATTTTCTATGAGCAATAATGAAAAAAAACTGTCAACAAAGACTAAAAATGACCCCTCTCAATACGAACACCCAGAATCTCTGTTATAGCCTACGCAAACACCTTAAACTTTCTCTTACGAACACCCACAGAACTGCATAAGCTACATTTTGACCAAAGGGCATGGTATCCTAGAATCAATCCTTATAGGACTTTTTCTCTGAAAACACGACATCGATTAAATTTGACCATATATACCCAAGAGGTCCATTTTAAAAGCTTAATAGCACCCAACTTACTCCTACGAACACCCACAGAACTGCATAAGCTACATTTTGACCAAAGGACATGGTATCCCCAAATGAATTCTTATAGGACTTTTGTTCTCAAAATACATGCGATGGGTCGAAATGTGACCATGTACACCCAAAAGGTTCCTTTTAACACGTTCATAGAACGAAATTTAGACTTATCAGCACCATTATCAACTTTCTAGGGTGTGGGTATGAGTTTGACTGTGGCTGATGGTAACTATTCCGTGTTTGAAAAATGGCTATAGCCACACCCAGGTACAGACCGAGACCGAGACTCAGACCCACACTCACACGCAATAAACATAGATATCATTTATAGAAAAAAAAACGATACGCAGAGACCAGTTGACTTGACATGATCTAGATATGATCCGTTTTCGTGAAAAGAAGAAAAAGTCAGCATCGTCTGATGGTGTCTGAGAGCGATGGAACCAAGCAGTACTATATAGATGTTAATAAGAAATTGACTGTTTAATAAAATATAATATGTTAGATAATTGGTAACTTTAAAAGTCATAAAAGCTCCAATGATGAGCTTTTAACCAGAGAGCACGCAGTGAAACGTTTCAAAATTGAGGTAGTTTTTCGTGAATATTCTCCTAAAATTGATTATTGCAACCTACATAAAATCATGAAATCCGCGGGCTTGTTCAGTTTATAATTTTCTATCGAAGAACATTTGAAGGCTCTATCTGTCATTTATCTCTGCGGAATTATAAAAATAGAGAGAAAGGTGAAAATTCAAAATTTGGAATAAGTTTTTCAAATTAAAATTTTGTTTTTACCACTCAATTTTTCTTTTGAATACTAGCCTTTCAATGCTGAATCGGATTCTGAAACCAAAAAATGTGCTCTGCAACTCAGTTCCATCAAAATCTCACTTTTTTTCATTGCTTAAAGCTGAAAAATCTTGGTTTCCCGGAACTTTCACTTGCGAGGCTTGTACAGAAATTTTTCTCTAAAATATAAGAAGAGCATCTCAGAAAACGCTTTAGAATTAGAGGACAACTTATGGCAATCAGTCGTTTTCAAAATACTCTACATCAACTTTCCAATGTGGACGCCTGTTGTGGGCCCGTTACCTAAGCAACTAACTGAATCATATATCTATAAGTAGATAGAAAGTTGATAATGGTGCGGATAAGTCTAAATTTCGTTCTATGAACGTGTTAAAAGGAACCTTTTGGGTGTACATGGTCACATTTCGACCCATCACATGTATTTTGAGAACAAAAGTCCTATAAGAATTCATTTGGGGATACCATGTCCTTTGGTCAACATGTAGCTTATGCAGTTCTGTGGGTGTTCGTAGGAGTAAGTTGGGTGCTATTAAGCTTTTAAAATGGACCTCTTGGGTATATATGGTCAAATTTAATCGATGTCGTGTTTTCAGAGAAAAAGTCCTATAAGGATTGATTCTAGGATACCATGCCCTTTGGTCAAAATGTAGCTTATGCAGTTCTGTGGGTGTTCGTAAGAAAAAGTTTAAGGTGTTTGCGTAGGCTATAACAGAGATTCTGGGTGTTCGTGTTGAGAGGGGTCATTTTTAGTCTTTGTTGACAGTTTTTTTTCATTATTGCTCATAGAAAATGGGTGTTCGTGGGTGTTCGTGAATATAGCTCGACAGGCTGTGGGTGTTCGTAAAGATGACTAATATGCGATCTCACAAACTTGGCTGTTCGTGCTGTTCGCGTAAATTAGTAATACCCTAAAAAAACGCACTATTGTCTAGCTTCCATTTTTATTCAAGAATCCGTACCTAGCACAAATTAGGACATGGTCCCAGATAGAATCGCCAACGTGGTTGTCCATAAAAATGAAAAATGTTTTTTTTTCGAAATTGCCGTACTCCCCTCCAGGGTTGCAGGTGGATAAAAAAAATTTCATTTTTCGTGGCAGCTGCATCGACCATTCCATCTATGACCATGTACTGATTTCTGCTATATATAAATTTTGAACTTTCAAAGTGTGGTTGCTTTCGTATTGAATCACCCACAAGTAGAAAAAGTCATACATTTATAAAAGGGCCATATCTCCGTTAATAATCGATCAAGTATTGGGAAATTTTTTTTGTGTACTACTGGCATAGATTGTGATAAAATTCACTACTCAAAAATTGTATAGGTTCACTTTCATCTGTTCGCGTGAATTGTACCAAAAAGCTACAATTCACTCATATATATTGGACCTAGAGAAACAATAAAATTACGCTTTTTATTCTACTTAAAAGTTTTGATTTTCCTTTTACTTTGGCTTCCAGATGTCGCTTATAGTTCGAATCTCTTGGATGAATATCCGTTAGGATTCTAATTGTTGAAATGTCGTAATATAATCTGGAGTTGCTCTTGAAAGATTTCTCTCTTTTTTTGCAGTTTATTTGTCTGTAACAATAAGTATCTATATGTTCTTTTATTTTTGTATTTGTTAGAAAAGTGCAACTGAATATATGCTAACATAACTTTTTCGACCACTATTACAGTCTTTTCATTCAGTTCCATTATTCTACAGGGCAAGGAAAGAAACAGAAATACAGTGATATCTATTATAAATAGGAAAATCATAGGCTTATCGTAGAAATAATAGGAGTTGATCATGAATAAAGAATACTCTTTTTAAAGACATAATGTACTGCAAACGTTTTGAAAAACCAATGGTAATTTTAAATTCTTACATCTCAAGAGTCCTCGCTTAAACTTTAACTGACTTGATGTAATGAATTGTGACAGGTACTTTCATGAGTAAACGAACATAAGACGATATACCACTCAATATATGATCGTCCTTTGTACAGCATCATGTACAAAAACATCGCAGTGTTTGACGTGCCATCATTAAAAGATCATTTTTTGCAACAGATAGACATTGAGAGTACCCAATTAGCAGAATTCTCAGTATTAAGGAATTCGACCGGACGAGATAGAATCGATATGCAAAGTTCAATGCCTAGAAAAAGTTTCTGATGTCTCTACAGACTGCCTATTTTTCAACTCGAGAATGATGGAAATCATCAAAAAATTTTCAAAACGATATGCAGAATAAAAAGTCCTATTATTTTTGAGAGAGCTGACTTATTGGCTATTTTCACATGAACTTATCTCAATTTTCAATTTTTAAAGAAAACTGAGTACTTTTTTGAGAGAGGAAGAAGATTTCAGTGATTCTTAACTTCTCCAGAAAACTATTTTCACAGAACTGATTTTCAAAATAATTTCAACTTAGACCACTTTTCCGGAGCTCACATATATTTTCGAAAAAAATAGTGAGTGCACGTGTTTATAGGAGAGATTTTTGCAGCTCCCCAGTTCTCTCCATTACACACATAAAACACCAAAAAATAAAATGTTATTGAGCGAATTAGATATCATTATAATTAAGGTTCAATTTATAATTAGACTTCAAAATCTGTCTTTTCAATATTACAGACCTTAACAGCGACTCTATTTAACCATTGCAGAGGTGTGGGTGTGGGTGTGGGCGAATGCAGTGATTATTTACACCCACACCCTGACTTGTTTCGCGAGATAACCGTAATTGTTCACACAATTTTCTTTGCGGAACCTACAAGACCAGAATACTTTGTAAATTTTTTTCGAACGAAAGGCTTGATGTAAGAGCAGTTCGAAAGTTTTAAGCGACGGGAAAAACGAAATTCAGGTTACATCGGCCCTTTATCTTGTAAGACTCGAGGGACAATCCATCTTCCGGTTACTTCTGATCCCTTTAAGCGCAATTATAGCTATGAAAATGTATGAAAGACGGTAAACAATACGCCGAATGAAAATAAGGGTATCGAACACACTCATTTCTATACACGTTGCGTTACTGTAATCATCACACGATTATATATGTTTCGGACGGAACAAGAGCAACTCATCGATAACATATCGAGACTTTCTCATTCCTACGAAATCAACGGAGAAAAGTGGACTTCTGTACCTCTTGTACTTTTTCAGTACTTGCTGGTATTTCTTGGCACTTCTTCATACTTTTCCGTACTTCTCGATACTTCTTGATAAGTGTACTCTAAACGAAGAAGGTATTTTACAGAACCTCGAAAGATTCTTCCCCTGTGCCCAAGGGAAAAGTTTCTTTCTGTGAAACCTTTTTTCAGTTCTGTACAGCGAAAAAAGGTTTTGTAAGAAAAAAGGAAACCTTTAGAGTTTCGTTCTAAATTAAATAGGGCATGTTTTACAAATACCCAAAACAACTTCGCTGATAATAGCTTAACAACAAAGGATTTTGCCATTCAAACAAGTAATAAAATATTATCTATCGATACATTTTACCCGCTAATAAAACTCTTTATCATCATATAAACTGAAGGTAAAAAATCAAAATTTCCACATATTTTTAAAAGATATCATCCAAATGCCTACTCAGCCAAGATTAAGTCTTCATACTTTACCAATTGAAATGATTTATCGTATTCTCGATCAGTTTGATGATGTTTCAACTATTTTCTGGTCGTTGCAAAGTGTTTGTCAAAGATTAAATAAAATTCTAAATACTTATCAACGATATAAAGTATGTTTATATTTCTTAAAAGAATGATTTAAAAGTTATAGAGAGAAAATTCTAATTGGCATTTGTAACATTTCCAAAGTTTCAGTCGTTATAACTCAAATGGCATCATTTATAAGATCAAAAAACACACGGACTTATCTGAATTTCTACATGTTTAATTTAGACATTTAACTAGGGGTGGGCCATTAACATTAATTTTATATTAATGTTAATGTTTTCATTAAAATCAATGACTTAATATTAATGGTTAATGTTTTCATGAAAGCATTATAACTTTCCATATTAAGTAATTAACACTTTCGGAGAAAACATTGGCTATTAAGATCAGTTAATTGATTAATAATTGTAGATAATGTTTCCTTAGAAAAGCCTAATTCAGTAATATGGAAAAATTAATGTTTTCATGAAAACATTAACATTAATATTAATGATTAATGAAAATATAATCCCTAATATTAACGAAAACATTACTATTCATACTAATGGTGAATGTTTCCTTTAACCGTTAATATCATTTAAGAACATTGACATTAATATTAATGATTAATGAAAGCATTAATTTTAAAATTAATGTTAATGTTTTTCATTAATCATTAATATTAATGAATTAAGCTTTTCTTAGAAAACATTAACCATTAATATTAATGGCTAATGGAAGTCATTAATTAATGTCATTAATTAAGTTCCGTTAAAAAAAATGGTCCACCCCTACATTAAACACACTTGATCTTAATACAACAGTACATCGCTACCAAAACTACAGATTTGGAGAAAGGTTCCAGTTGAATGGACTGAATTTTAATATATTCAATGACACAATTTCTGTGAGTTTACTGATTTTTTACTGATTTAGTATTCGAAAAGTGACCGAGATGTGTATCTGTTTTTTTGTGTTGATATTTTTGTTAAGTTATGCTTGTGACGAACATAGAGAGTGTCGCCTATGCCCATCGGCATGATGGTGTATTGTGTCATCTGCACATCTCTAGTCGTGCATTTCCTTTAGTTACATTCCCTTATATACGCGAGAGTGATCACGATTGGGCGGATATAGACAAAGAGGGAACGGTCATGCAATAGAACAATGAGAGTTCATCAGGTCAATGCACAAACATAGGATACAGCGAAGAGGATAAAGTACATAAAGTGAGCCATAACGGTAAATACCGCTACATATAGGAAGAACACTATTGAATGGTAAAATAATATGGTTGGTGGAATACTTTATGATATACTTTTGTAAATAGATGACCATTAACACTTTCTACAGATAAATCAAGAAAATCTATTGAACAACCAGCTTGAACTTTTAACTGAATATTTAAGTCAAAATTATTCTAGCGATCAATTTGTTTATATAAATGTTGAATAGACCAGTTGATGATAATGAATATATCATCGATATATCTTAAATAAGAATCGCCACGAGTAATAATTTGTTTATGATGACATCTCTTTCAAAAAAGTGCATATAACAATTAGCAATAGTAAGGGTTATAATGGCGAACCCATAGCACCACCACGAATTTGATGATAATATCGACCGTCTTAGGAAAAATAATTGTTTTTTACAATCAATCGACTTAGTCTAATTATTGTTTCATTTTTTAAACCACCAATTTGTTTTCTTTTTAGATAATCTAACATGTTTTTTAATTTCAAATACACATACACCTTCTGTTTGTGGTATCATTGTATAAAGATCTACCACATCTATAGTACATAATAAAGTTTTTTGACATAAATTATGTATCGATCATTCATATAAATTTTTAATTACTTCAAACCTAGAAGTAACAGTTGATTTAATGCCATTTTATCAAATAGTGGTCGAAGTAATTCATCAAGATATTTTGATATTTTACTAGTTGGATGTTTAAAACCAGAAACAATTGGACGAAGTGGCGTATGTCAGACTTATGAGTTTTAGGTAAATAGTATAAATGGGCTAATTTAACTTCACTAGGTCTAATACATAATCGTTCGTGTTGTTTTTGTGAAATCCAATTAGTGGGTGTGGGTGAGGTTATCTTAAACATTAACATTAACATTAACATGCATAATCGCACCAGCACCCTCAAGTTCTCACACCCACCTTGTTTTGCCTTGTCATTCTCAATAAATCGAGCACAAATAGGATCGCCTTTATACTGGTTGATTGAAGAAGGATCTAAGGGTGGTAAAGCACCCTTAGGACTAGCCCAATCAATGATAACATAAGGTTCTAATTCATAATAAGGATGAGCAGCCTAAATATAAAATTGTAACAGAATTAAAGTTTATCAAAATCCAATATACTAACTTCGGATAAGTACCATCCAGTTGGCTTCCCATTGAGTAATTAATCATGAGAAGTAAATACGAAGAGTATTTTTTTCTGTGTCATACTTACAATGTGCAATATTGGTATCGTTATTTGATAGTCGAGTAGTGAATGAAGTAAAATATGAAAAGAAAAGGTGAAAAGGCGAAAATGCAAAATCAATCTTTTTTGATTGCCAGGTGTTACTTCTTTCGATTCAATCAATATAAGACTATGAGTGTATCGTGCATAGTGAAGCAGCTGAGTAATATTGATTCTAGCTTGATATATTACGATTAACAACAACGATACTCATCTACATCCATAATTAGTATCAAGGTCGATATCTCACACTTATTATCAAGATCAATTATTGTTGCAAAAAAACTAAATAAAAGAACATACATAAAATTGAAATAATAAGAATACAAGACAAGAAACGACAGAAAACAAAATGTTACGACAATATTTTCTGTGACTCTTGATGGAAGTATTACACGGTGAGCAGTTCTATAGTATTGAATGGTAAAAGCTTAATAATTTTCCCTTTTCCCTTTTTAGAACAATTCACATAAGTAACAGTAAATACCCTGCTAAAATTGAAAATTCAATGCACCATTTTTTTCTTCTTCTTTTAGGTCAAGGTTTTGATAAACAATCAGAAGAATGTAAGTGCACATCCATGTTTGCTAGATCATTGCATGAACTATGTTCAACTTATAGGTTCCTGTAATATAAAATGGAGTTTAACAGTAACAACAATCATCGGCAATGGTTACAGTGCTGGTTCAGATCAATTATCATTTGTTGGTGGTATATTTATAGAACCTAAAACATAAATTTTATGTGACTCATACTTGTAAACATGTATGCTAGCATACCTGACCGATCTGGAAATCGTGCTGCTCAATTGTTCTATCCTCAATGAGTCATTCTCGATCAATATGGAAATCTATGTCGCCGATGCATGAAATTTTCGAATACAAAAATTTGAAAGAATCCATTAACATTACATAAATAGTTAGTTAAGTTCTCTAAATAAAAGAATCACCTACATGAATGATTCACGTAGAAGAGACATGGGGAAGCACAATATACTGAAATGTCAAAGTTTCTTTTCTGACTCGATGAGCTTTATTCAATCATTACTAGAAAAATTCAAATAGTAGAAAATCGGTAGAAATACAAGTATTCCGAAGATTCTTTCAGGTGAAATTATGCATATGCAGCTAATTTTTAAGCGTATGGGTGTTACGCTACATGAAAAAGATAGAGATAGCATTTTTGAAACACTCCAACTTCCAAAGATTTCAATGAACATGATAAAACAAGTAGACAATTGAGATAAGTACTTTGTTGGTGCAATTTAAAGACATGGAAAGTTTTGATTGCTTGTTTTTATTGTCTTTCATTTAAAAGGCAACATTGACTGGTCATACATTGTGACTACGTGTTATTCAAATTTTAGGCATCAGAAAACAGTTAGATGTATCTTATTTCTATTGACATCAATGAATGTTTGTTATATCAACAACAACACAGGAAGATGAAAAATGCCATAATTTGCGTTCTCTTCTATTTCATTAAATATTACTGATTTCGATGTTGTGCAATCGTTTTCCATGCAATTGTTTTTTCACATGTACGATATTTTATTACACGGTGATTTTCAGCTGCTTTTCTAACGAAAATAGTAGAGAAAATTTCCCAATAGCATATGATTTTGAACTAATAATTCTTAAGATGAAAGAGTTAGATAACTTTTTACAGAAACTTCATCAAATAGAGCTCTAAAGTACATCGTTGGTACAACAGTCCAGCATATTTTTTGCATTACATAAAAGAATCAACCAAATAGAAATAATGATCCCAGAACGTATCTCTCGGTCATCTTCACGAGTTGCATTCTTCAAAATCATCTCTCGTATTGAATAATAATTCTGACAACCAAGAGAATCAAATAAATATTTCATAGCGTTTTTATGAATGAGCCATGTTCACACTTCGCTTATAAGTCACCCGACAGCAAAATAGTACCTAACGAGAGAGACAATATATTGCTTAATACGGCTTCTCTCTTTTTATCTTCTTCTTCTCTCCTCTGTCCAAGAAACTGCTCTTAATTGGCAAGTTACATCGTCTCATCTTCTATTATCTTTGATATTTTCTCCATCTTGCAAAAAAACATAAATATGAACGTTTGGTTTACTATCAAAAAACATCTCACCCCTTTTTACTTCAACTTTCTTTTGCCAGGGATAATAAAAGCAATGAGATCTTTCCTTATTTTCTTAAAACACTATTTGCCTGTTACAATGTATTGAGTTTGCTAAAATATACATTTTTCCATAAAATTTCTATAAAGTAATATATTAATATTATTATCCTATATTTCACTGTACAAATATATTATACTTGATTGGTTTTCTATATGATTATGATTTTAGGACGTTCATATATTTATGTTTTTTTGCAATGAAATAGATTACTTACATTGACGAAAAAGATGGAGAAAATATCAAAGATAATAGAAGATGAGACGATGTAACTTGCCAATTAAGAGCAGTTTCTTGGACAGAGGAGAGAAGAAGAAGATAAAAAGAGAGAAGCCGTATTAAGCAATATATTGTCTCTCTCGTTAGGTACTATTTTGCTGTCGGGTGACTTATAAGCGAAGTGTGAACATGGCTCATTGAACTACGTATATCAACACATCGAAATAAACAGCAAATATGGTTTGAGCGTGGCTTTTATTAAGTTCAAACAAAGTCATCTCCTATTACATAGTGTTCAAAACGCTCTCTGTTTACCAAAAGATCTCCACAGTGAAATGATAAACTTCAATTAATATTATTAGTATCAGGCATGAACAAGACAATGATTTCTCAAGAACAAGGGACGCAGTCGGATCAATCTAATATTCTACCTGTTCGATTCTGTGGTTTAAAACTCAAAGATACTTTGCAGTTTCTATCCTCTTTGCTTTTGCCACTGGTATTAGGCGTCTTCACCCTCGTTATAACTTTTCAACAACAGGAAATAGCAAAAAAACAACGTGAAGAAGATCGAATAGAATCACAGAGACTTCGCCAGCTGGAAAGGAATATATCCCAACAACAGCGCGAAGAAGATCAAATGGGGTCCCAGAGACTCCGCGAGCTGGAAAGGAATATATCCCAGCAACTACGCGACGAAGATCGAAATGCATCCCGACAACAGCGACTCGAAGATCAGCGTGCAGCCGAGCAATTGCGTGAACAAGAAAGGAACGCGTCCCGAGAACAACGCCTTGATGATCAGCGAGCAGCTGAAGAGTTGCGTAAACAAGAAAGATATTTGAATAGTGAACGATATCAAGATGAAATTCTCGATACTTATATTAAAGAGATCGGTGAACTTCTAGAAAGATACACTGGGTCATTGACATCCAATGAAGTCGCCTCTACGCTTGCTCGAGCTAAAACTCTTAATATCTTCCGTAAACTCGATCCGCAACGGAATGGGCGCGTTATTCGGTTTCTTTACGAAGCAAAACAACTCACTGAAACACAAAATCATAGTTCCATAGACCTATCAACAGCGGAGCTTAGTGATATCGATTTTCGTAATGCATCAATAAATAAAAAAACATTGAAAGACCTTGTGTTAACTGGTATCTTTCTATCAAATGCTTTATTTGTTGATATTAAAATGAAAAACATCAACTTTGATGATACTCAGTTTGATAATGCAAACTTTTCGTCTACACAGCACAACGAAGTCAGCTTTACACGAACTGAATTCCGCTATTCTGATTTTTCTTCTACTCAACTCAATGCTACTAACTTTTTATTCGCTAAACTCAGCGACGTAATATTTTCCTCTGGAAAATTCGAGAATGTCAATTTCAATTCTACGGAGCTCAATACGGTAGATTTTTCTACTAGTCAATTGACTACTGTGGAATTTAAATCTGCTGAACTCAAAGATATAAAGTTTTCGAATATTACGGCCGACAATATTGACTTTACGGCAGCGAAGCTTGAGAATGTCGATTTTTCAACCAGTAATCTTACCACTGTGAAATTTAAATCTACTGAACTCAAAGATATAAAGTTTTCGAATATTACGGCCGAAAATATTGACTTTACAGGAGCGACGTTTGAGAATGTCGATTTTTCTTATGCTCGACTTAAGAATGTGAATTTTTCATCCAATTCGATTTCTAACGTTATTTTTGCAAACTCGCATTTTGATAATGTGAAACTTGTATTTCGCACACTTTATAATGTGGATTTTTCAAATATGCAGCTCGATAGGATTGATTTCAGATCCAAAAATCTTACGAATGTCGATTTCTCATCTGCTACGTTGAGATACATCGACTTTTCAGTAGCTACATTAATCAACGTAAGCTTTTCATTTGCCATATTAGGTAATAGTTATTCAACTTGTACCATTTTGATAACATGAGACTAATGTTTCGATAATAATTTTTAGTTTCACCGACATTTTCCAAGACTAAAGCAGCTAACACGAATTTTCAACAAGCACGCTCTGTTTCAGCTGATTTTAAGTCTGCGAAATTATCTGGTTCCAACTTTGGGGGTTCAAGTGCTACACGTGGTGATTTTGTACTTGCTGACTTGACCAATGTTAGCTTTGATGGTGCCACTTTGTACAGGGCCAATTTTGGTAACACTAATATGACTCACAATCAGCTGAATAGTGCACTCTCTATCCAATATGCCATGGCACCTAATAGAACAGTTTTGCATGACAAGAATTTGATCAATAATGGTCATGCTGATTGCATAATGCCTCTTAACAAAAGTTGGACATTAAAAACTGGCATAATCTCTACAGCAATATTGACTGATCGTTCAACTGATTGTCGCTTCGTTTTTCAATCACGTCGCACTGGAGCCATCATGTTTCAACGTATTGATTTATCCAACAAGTGGAATTCAGCAGCTTGGTCATATTCACAAGCGGTGTTGAGTGCAGAAATGAGTACAGGCGTACAAATTGAATTGAGGGGAATTGACGTCAATGGTTCAGTTATTGCCCATGATGTATTAAGTAAGTTGTACTATAGTGCTATCAGTGATTTCTCTGTGTCTTCCGGTTTTAGATATAAACCAAACAAAAACGAATATGATATTGCGCAGTGAAATGTATGAACTTGAAGTTTTCATTGATTTCGCTGCATCAACCAATCAAAATCCTGCAGAAATTTGGTGTGACAACATCCATTTATTCATCGTCTATGATGCATATGGTGCATTTCAACAAAGTAAGTGTTTAACCAGGTACAGTATAGTATGAACTCAACATTTTTACTCCTAGACCTGTCAAAGGCTTGTTAAATAATATTATTTTGCTCATAATCGAAGTCTCCATGTTTCTATAAATCTATGTTAAACCCGTTTCCCCATACTTTCTCAGTCAGAAATGCTTTTCTCGGCTCGTTACCCTATCGTTCATTAATCTTTACTGCATTGAATTCTTTATGAAGCACCGTATTCTATGAATGCAAAACTATACATAACAAGATACACGAACAATAAACGTCTTTAATTCAGAATATATGGCAGCCACACTAGTTCGCACTATGATTGCTTTAGATCCTATGATGAGCATTTCAAAAGACTGCTTCCTCGGCTCTATTCCACAGTCTGAATATTATAATGGTATTTCCGCTTACAGTTACCGTTTTGCAATCCTATGTCATCTTTAAATCACTGTAATATTTAATCTAAAGCTTTCATATCGGAGTCGACATGTTTGCCGATCCAATAGTGAGCCATGTATACATTATTGTACGTTGTATTAATCATCTCAAAAGCATTGTTCACAGAAGCACATGATTTGTAGTATTGGGATGTTGCAATATGAAAAGTGAACAGTAAGCAAGACTTTATAAAGAGATACTCCATAATTGTTGTTATCAATAATTATGGTAGAAACAAGTTTTATCTTGGATATATGTGCCTTGAATATTTCATACTTTTATATAGCTTTAATACAGCAATACTTATCAGCTTTTTATGATTCTCGTTCAACATGAAATTAAGAAACTAATCTGTTCATCATCTAAAATCCAAGTCTCCATTTTGATTTTCTGTTTTGTTTGTGAGATCCCGTAAGAGTCTTTTATGGAGTCTCAACAAAGTAGTCAGATTTACTACAAGGAGTTTGGAAGTTTTCCAAGGAATTCATGTGAACCTGTTCCTGCTTTTTAAAACCAGTCGACCTTTGCTTTAATTTGAGAAAACTAAAATCTATTTTATGGAAGATGATTTATCATTTTTCAGGAGTACCTCAAATCTAAGCCGACTAATAGGTCTCGTCGACCAGTGTTTTTTCTAGGTTTCATTTTTCAGGCGGGCGGTTGAAATTTTTGGGTGGGCTGCTAGCCTAAAAATATCTATCATATAGCATAGACAAACTCTTAATTATTTGTTTCTACCATAGCATTGAACTTTTTTATTACCAGTACAGTGAGAAAAATCAATTCGCAAAATAAAAATTGAGAAAAAACCATAAATATAAATTGTTGCTTTTATTTTTTATTTTTATTTATTATGCTCGTAAACGTAACACTCGGAAGTGCTTACATGATAATAGAAAAAGGAGTGTAAGATATATAACACAGAAGCAACAGTTTGCATGCGAAACGTTTCATGATTCCCCGTTATTATTAATAAGACAAATTAAGCGAATTTAGCACGCTTAGAAGGATTTTTGCTGCTTTTATTATTGTTCCGCATAATGAATAACTTTCATTAACATGCGATTGGGTACCATACAACGGTTCAGTATGTTCGAGAGTGCACGCTTATTCGTTGTATTATCATTATTTCCAATATTATTACAATTATCATTTATTTTATTCTTTGTTATGGAATTATTTTCAGACTCTTCAACACTTTCTTTTCTTTTAAAATATGAAATGAGAGATTGTTGTCTTGATGACATTTATTTAGAGGTGAGTCGTGTCGAAGTTGAATAGATTGAATATGCTCAATGTGAAGAGTGCGAAGCGACAGAAAAATTAGCTCGATAGAAAAAATACATGAATTTTCTTATTTTCATTCCTTTCAATCTATTATTATGGCGCATCACTATAAGAATTGACTATTCAATGAATAGTGGAACTGAGTTATAAGGATGTTACCCGTGTAACTCAGCGACAATGACATGAGAGTGAAAGTGAGAGAGAAAAAAATCTGATTTTTTTCTATGAAATCCATTGCCTAATTTAGAGTGGGCGGCGCCCACCTGACCCGTACAGTAGCTAAATCACTGGTGCCGTTAATGATACAAATTCCACTACCTCTGACAATTCTAATAGTTCTCGTGTTTCTATGAGATCCAGTGGTTCCAGTTATTATCGAAGTTCTAGTATTTTCATCAGCCCTCGCGATTCTAGCAATTCGGATCACTTCATCAGATGTACTAATTCTAGTTGTGGTAGCATTACCGGTAACTCTCTGAGTTATACTAGTTCTACTGGTTTTAGCAAGTCTTGGATTTCCATTAGGTCTAGCAATTCTGGTGGTTCAAGCCATTCACGCAATTTCACGATGTCTAGTAGTTCCAACCGTTCTAAGAAATCTGAGGATGTCTTGAGCATTAGCAATTCTAGTAACTCTAGAGAAACAACCGATTCTGGTAGTTCCATCAGTTTTAGCAATTCTCCTAATTCTAGTAACTTCATGAGTGCCCGTAAATCTGGTAGTGGTAGCAAATCTGGTATTTTCTTTAATTTCATTAATTCTACCAGTTCTAGGAATTCTGCCTACCCTATGAGTTCTCGTAATTCTTGTAGTTCTAATAATTGTATGAATTTTAGCAACTATCATACTTCCAGTAGTTCCGTGACTTCAGTACTTTTAGTAATTCCAGTTGGTCTAGTCAATCTGACAGTTCCAGTGATTCCATCAACACTTATAATTGCAGTAACTTCTTCAGTTTCAGCAAAGTTATTAATCTTCACCTATTTAATCAGTTCTAGCACTTCAGATGGTCCTCGTAGTTCCCGCAATTCCAGTGTTATTAGTAATATCAGTAGATCTAGTAACTCTGTTAATTACAGTAACTCCATTGGTTATTGAAAAGCCACCAATTTTTACCTATTTCATCAGTTTTAGCTATTTACGTAGCCTTGGAATATTGATTAGTTCTAGAAACACTAGCACTTCTGTTAAATCCAGGATTTCTAGTAACTGAAAGAGTTTCAGTAATTTTTTGAGATCTAGCAGTTCAGGTAGTCCTCGCCGTACCGGTATGTCTAGTATCTCTAGTAGTTTCTGGCAATTCTAATGTGTCTAGTAGTTGTAATTGTTCTCATCGTTGGAATAAGTATACTAAGTAGTTTTCGCAATTGTAGCATTTACTTGAGTCCCAGTGGTAATACTAGTTTCAGTAATTCTAATAGTTCAATGAGTTTTACTAGATGCAGTAATTGTAGCAGTTGAAAACGTGCAGTTGATTGCGTTTGAAGTGTTCTCAACTACTAGAACCCTTGTCCTGTCTCATACAATGAGTACTCAACAGGTGGAATTATCGAGTCTTCTTCTGAGTTTTACGCTTATCTTCTTTTAGCGCAACCGTATCTCCCAATTGATTTTAGAGAGCGTTTTATTATTACACTGCTTTATTTTTAGCCATTCCGAATATTCCCACAAGTACTCATTGGTCACAGTATGGTGTTACTGTTGCTGGAGGTACAAAACGTGGCAGTACTGTCAATCATCTCTCGGATCCTCACGGTCTATTTGTTGACGATGATCAAACAATTATCATTAGTGACATGTGGAATCATCGTATCGTTCAATGGAAGAATGGTGAAATCAATGGACAAGTCATTGCTGGTGGCAATGGCAAAGGAAATCGATTGGATCAATTCAATCAACCAACTGATGTGGTCATCGACAAAGAGACCGATAGCCTCATTATCTGCGATTGCAAGAACGATCGAATCGTCCGATGGTTTCGGCGTAGTGGCACTACACAAGGTGAAATCCTCATTAATAGCACCGCTTGTTGGGGATTGGCCATGGACGATCAGAGAAATCTCTATGTCTCTGACACCAATAAAGATGAAGTCCGACGGTATCCAATAGGTGGCAAGAATGGAACTCTCGTCGCTGGTGGCAATGGCAGAGGTGCTCGTCCCAATCAACTCAACTCTCCGAATTACATCTTTGTCGACCGACAACAAGCTGTCTACGCGTCGGACTCCTTAAATCATCGTATCATGAAATGGCATAAAGATGCAAAAGAAGGGATTGCAGTCGCTGGAAACCCAGTTCAAGGGAATGCTCTGACACAATTGTCTTATCCTGAAGGGCTCTTCGTCGATACCTTGGGTAACCTCTATATTGCAGACAGCGCAAATAATCGCGTTCTCCGTTGGCCTCAAGCTGCGAAACAAGGCACTGTTATTGTGGGTGGAAATGGTGAAGGATCCACAGCAAACCAGTTTCATTACCAGAGAGGTCTGTCCTTCGATCGTCATGGCAATTTCTATGTTGTTGACCACAGCAATCATCGTGTACAACGATTTTCAATCGAATAGAATCGAATTCCGTTTGCTTTCTCCCGCTTTTTTCTTGTTGCTTTCGTTACATCGCATGATAAATTGCATTGGGCTATCTTGAGGGTATGGGTGTGTATTATGTTTTAGAAATTAACTATTATCTAGATTTCGACCTTTCTCAAGGGTCATCATCAGGTAGTTTAAGGACTGCATAAAATATTAAATTGAAAGAAAAATTCGAAAGAAAAATTCTTCTCACTTTTAATATCAAAGCAAAGCAGAGAATTCTTAACAATAATATGGTGTGCATTTTGATAAATATATAGTTGAAATTCAAAGCATCGCACGACACGTTTCGATCTTTCTCAACGGACTCGTTAGGTATCTTTACAAATCTATTATTACATAAATGAAAACCCTACAGAATTTTTGAGGAAGTTAAGAAAATTGCCATAGTTTTTTGAAAATAGAAAGAAATTGTTTTGTTATATCAGTGGTAAAGTTATCCCCTTGTGTATGGTTTTGGTGTGTACTAGAATGAGCGATAGTGGATGACTTCTGACGCGTTGGCCATGCGTGGTACTGTTGTTGTTTGAAAGGATGGATTAAAAAGAGTATGTCTGGTTCCTTAGTTTATATAGATGATATATTCGATGTATAAAATGTGAGACGTGCTGAGATAATATGTATAATGTCCTACTGGTGTTTTCTTGTATTATTCGATGATCTAAAATAAAAGAAATTCATTTATTCTATTGGTGACATAGAAAAATTAGTTATCATTGATAATTAAGAGAGAGTCCACGAGATCACCACCAAAAAAAGTAGCGATCGGTTGCCGAAAATTTTTAGATTTTGAAATTAGCTATCAGGCTCGATAGAGCATACAAAATGAGGCATAAATCCAAATTTGTACTATTTTTGAGTAAAGTCTTCTTTCGATTTGGGAACCCAACCTTTTTGAGGTTCCAAAACACGTGTAAAAACATTTTTTTTTCAAAAAGTTTTTCGATCGAATGTTTTTGTTCAAAAAAGTAATCAATTGGAGAATTATCTTATACCATTCGATAGTGCGGAATCTACTCTATACAATCCTATATTTTGTTTATCTCTTCATGCTATCTGTTATTTCTGAGAGCTCTCGCATCATCGTAGAGTACCCAGTTTATGCCGGGTTTTTACGTGGGTTTTTAGCAATTTGTACGCTCTACCAGCTCTATTTCAACAGTGCTCAACCTAGAGTTTAGCTTATCTTGTAGAGCGTGAAAAGGCACATTTTTTCATTAAAAAATATTTACTTCAAAGTACCAGCAAAGTTCCGAAAGGTACCTAGCAAGGTACCTCTGCATGAGTCATTTTTTGCTAGCTTCAAACTCCGAAGTGTCTTAGTAAATCACTTGAATCTCAGTATTCCCTTTACCGTTTTGATCAGGGTTAGTGTCATTCGATATAGCTTTTGAAGCTGCATCAGACGCAGTGATACAACACGGGATTGTATTTCTCTACCCGGTAGCAGACTAAAAAATCAACAATTATAGCCATTCTGATGAAAAGAATTGCTTTGAACTGCACTAGCATGAGACCATTACTTGTTTGGTACTCTGCGAGGAAGAAGAATAAAATAAGAAACTTTTAGGTTGATAAGAAAAATAATGAAAGAAACGATGAAGGTGACATTGTCATTTGCTCGATGAAGCATTCTAACCAATGATGCGTCCACTTCTCGTAGTTGCTGCTCTTCATCGTCAGCTGATGTTAAAGCAGTTGTGTGTTTGTCTTTTCCTTTTGTTCGACGTTCTCGCGTCACACGAGAGAAGTAGGCTCTATAGCGACAAACAAAATAAGCAAATAGATAACTTCTTTGTTTCCATATCTTCCACTCACTTGATCTGTGATGTGGTTAGAAATTGGTCCGGTTGAAAAACGAATTGACCTTTCTTTTTAGCTGTCTGCATGGGCTAAATAGAGGAAACGAATACTGAAGAAAAAGTATCGGCGTTGGACATTGTCTTGCCTCTGTTACTGAAGCAGCATTCCACTTAGCACCTGATTTCTCGCCTTCATTGTATTTCTCCGCGAGATATGATCGTTGTATCAATGTGAAAGGTATTCGTGGACGTTAACGAAAAAGCGCCCAGCCCTCTGTGAGCTTTTCGTCAGTCGTTGGTAACGATGATATATTGGTAGTGACAGCTGACAAATGCGGTACTTGTTTGTGATGATCGCTCTCCAAGCCTGCTTTATAAATGATGACCGCTTTGTCGAGAAGCCGAAACGATGGAATCATAATTTTGTGCGAGTCAAGGAGAACGTGTGCACGCAGTTGATCTTCACGTCGGAATTGCATGATACAATGTATCTCGGGGCAATCGAAAGTGACGAATGCCGAAGATCATTCCCTGATGTCACTAGTGTTATCGACATCCATTACTTGCTCTTGAGGGTGTGGCTGGGTGTGAGCAAAGAGCAGAGAAACACCCATCACCCATCACACACCCACACACCCTTCGTTCTATACATATGAGAACTAACAAAATTGTCTAATTTAACAATGAAACACTAGTTTGAGCATGTTAGCTTCCCGTAATAATAAAGATGGTTTGTAATTAAAATCGAAATATTTCAAAGGATGAAATTCTTAATTTTTTAACGAGTTTTCACATCAGATGGCTTAACTAGATTGCAAAATAGTTCTGCATAAGGAGCCATCAGGATTCTTATTGATGAAAATCATTAAACGCTAGCATCTAAAATCGCGTACTTCTCTCTACTCAGCATGACTTACAACCATTCAGCAATGCGGCATTGTTTTCTTTAAGCATGAACAAACGAATGAATGAATAAATGAATGAATGAATGAATGATATTTCAGTAGCGAATTTATTTTATAATGGTTTTGAAGAAATTAATGTTCGAAAGGAATAATGAAATTTGAAATAGAAAAAAAGGAGGATCTTTATTGTCGTTTAGTTGAATAATATTTGAAGGCTCCGGATTAGTTAGCTTTGAATTGGATGTTCATAAAAATTAATATGTTTAATCAAAATCTAATTTCTACGATGTTCCATCCATTTTTGATAATGACCGCCGTAATTATCTTTTATACAGCTCTAAAAAGGCACACACATGAGCTATGACGATTATTTATGAACGAAGATCTTACCGTATATGTAGTGCATCCCTGTTGCGCATCGCCGTCGAATCGATAAATAGTAGTAAGCGTCTTGCTTTCATCAACCTTATCGTTATGTATTGGTTCAACAATTAACATATCTGGATCAACTTCTGTTCTCTCGACCAGTTGATGTCCTTCCGGACATTCAATACTTTCTAGCAAGCATAAACCAAGTGTTTCACTCAGACCCTTTTCGCGAATTCCATCAGCAACACTTATTAACGCTTATTGTAATTTATTGGTTTCATCATGTTCAACCTATAATAGTCATCAGTTAGCTTTTCGCCACAAGGTGAATGATGAAATCTCCAGACTAAATACCTTAGTAAATTGAAATGGTACAATGCCTTTATCTTGAATCTTCCAAGCTGATGGCTTAATTGTCAAGTTGTTCGTTACCAATTCAGGTTTCGTTATCATTTGAGCATTGTGCTGATCGATCGATTGAACCATGACCGATTTTGCAGCCAACTCGCCAAAATTTTTTCACCACATTTCTTGGTGTCATCCAATGTAGATTTTGTAGAAACAGCATCTACTGAACCGAAACTTTGATATACGGCTGAATCGTATTGCAACACTTCAGACATTTCTAAAAGCAGAATAAAAAAAGCCCCAGTAAAGAATTCTATTTCTCGTTATACTCGACCTACAAGATTATCACTAAATGGTTTAACGTACAAACTTTGCTGATGTATTGTCAATTGGTTGTGTGTATTTTATACTGTCGATTTTCCGCATGTCCATTATGCACACCACATTCAGCTAACCGAATCCAATTCAGAGAAAGCATCATCACACTGTCTTTTTCCAACATAAATTATCGTTGACTTCCCTTGAGTGCGCGATCAACCAAATCCAACATGAAAAAAATATTCCTATGCTGCCTTTTTCCAACATACACTATTATGGGAGTCGTATCTTGGATGTGGGTGTGGATGAAACAAGAAAGTGGATACCAACACCAACACACCCACACCCATTTAAAGGAACAGGAATGTCCAGAATTGCACATCATTGTATACAAAATAAACATAAAAATGACTGGAATTATAAAATATTAGTCATTCAGTCCAATATATCAAAAGAGTGATTAAAAAAAGTTTACCAATGAACATTGTACAAGAAACAACTGATCGAATGATATACTCACAAAAAGCTTATGAATTAAATGCTTTTCAATGACCCTATGGGTCATTTTTGCAGGCAATTAAAATTTAACAAATTTATAAGATAATAAAACGTTTTATTATGTTATTGCTTCTCTTATTTTTCTCTCGTCCAAATGAACAATAGTACTCATAATTTGTATATAAAGTTTCTTTTTCATGTAAATTCATTTCATTTTGACTGACGAAGTTAACAGTAGTTGACGAAACGTCTCAATCATAAAAAAATGATATATTCGGTAGTCTTTTCTTTATTATTTCTTGTTAAATGTATTTACCGAATTAAAACAGACAACAATTATTCAGTAATCATATAGATTTAATAACATCTCATGGGATCTTTAAGCAGGATCGAAACGCGTCATAGCTGCCTATATCACACCCACACTCTAAAGATGAAGTTCCGTCAGGACAAAAACAACCGTTGTCGTGGTACGGCGATATAATTCTAAACACACATCCACCGTCGAGATAGATCGATCTGTTTTCCAATTCATTTTTTGTTTTTTTCTAATTCTGCTAAATCTGTAATGCAGAGCCCTGAAGAGTGTTTTGGTATTTCAAAAGTATCATGAAATGTGTCGGCGAAATAAAATTCTGCATTTATTTTAAATTAATCAATTATAAGCACATTATTTAGAATTTCAGTTTCCAGTAAAATTTGATATAAATACAATAGTACATGAGATTTTAAT